AGTGTGATGACACAAGCACAGGCGATCGCGATGTTGACTTCGATGACGCCGAGATAGGTGATGGGTGCCTCGTTCCAGGAGGTGTCTAGGTTAAGCAATGTCGTCTTGAGCGTGAATATCCGTACGAACGCGACGACACCAGTGCTGTGAAGGATGATGTTAGGAATGCGAGGGACAACGGCATATTGTGTCAGTGTCCGGACATACCAGAAACCAACGCCGAACAAAACAATAAGAACGACCCGCTGCTTCTTGTCCAGCTGGAGAGCCCACGTGGCAGGTATAGGTAGGATCACGACCGCGAAGTCTGTGACGAGACTGATCGAGGACGTAAGAAGCCAGACTGTGAGGCTGGGCAGGCAGATATCTGTAAGGTTCGTGTTCAGTTGCGCCATCGGCGTGCACGCAAATGACACGAGGAAGATCGTGACAATGCACCAGACTGGGACGAATCCCATAAGCCACCGACAGGCGGACGCTGTGAGTGTCCCTCGGAAGATTCGGCGGTATTGAAGTAGGAGAGAAATCTTGGCGACCGTCTTGGACACATTGAACATTAGTTCATTCGCGAGTAGCAGCTTGGGGAATGTTAGCGCATAGTACACCGCGAAAAGGAGGAGGGCGAGTCCAGTTACCTCTAGCTGCTTGGTGCGATCACTTAGTGGGACCATCCATAGGTGCAATCCTAAGCCATATACCGCCTCTGGGGGCGTGATTAGTTTGCCAGTTGCTCTCGGGCGGGTGTAGCTATTACTCACGCAGTATTGTGACAACGGAGAGGCCAATGGATAGTATCTGGAGTCGAGAGTGTTAGGAGCCGAAGCATCCATCACATGACGTGCGCGTCTCTCTTGGGCCCAACATACTAGAGCAACTGCTATCGATATATCGTCCGGCCCTGCTGCCTTGATCAACCTGTAGCGCGTGTGAAGGCGGAGGCCGACCAAAATTCCTGAAAAGATGACGAGAACGATGGAGATCGTGTAAATCGCTGGCCTCTGTGTTTGGACATCTAGGTCTGGGTATTCCCCCGGATATGGCAGGTCGGTGGTGAGACCTGTGAGGCCGCTAGCCGCTGGCAGGTCGGGCGACTTCGTCGTGGAGCTCATATCGCCATCGTCTCCCAGAACAGAACAGTATAGCGGGAAGGAAATCTCGTCTTCTCCCCGTCAGATTGGCGCTGTAGGGCGCATCCGTCAGGTAAAATAGTACTACAAGTCTCCGAGCAGCGAGATGGACTGTGCCTCGTGCGGGAAGTCGAAGTCGGCAGTGAAGCCAAAAACATCGTCAGACCCAGTTTACTCGGTGGTAGTTCCTTTTGTAATCCGGCACGAGGAAGAAATGTGCATTGATCATGACATGAGTTACGAACATGCAGGGAAGAGGTTGGCAGCACCATACAAGGGGTTGAAGTCAGGCCTGGGGTCAGTCATGTTGCTGTACGTGTCACGGAGTACTTCGGCGATGGCGGATAACCCATTGGGCTGGTATCTCCTTGGACCTTGGCCGATACACACGGCAGCGACTCTGGCAGTGGGATGGGTTGATAAACTCCGCCCGCAAGACGTGTGAAGGAAAGTAGCAGCGGAAGCGAGATTCGTTAGGGATGCTCCTGTATCGCTCACGCCCAAGTCAGCGCTGACTAGTGGGTTTGCTCCGAGCACGCATCCCGTCTGTTCATCCGCACAGACTCGGGAGATGACGTCCCCGGGAGGGGACGGCCTGACGTCCGGCGGGTACAACCTTGGAGAGCAGCAGAGTTTTGTAGGCATGCACGCCGCGAGGACGGCAGAGGCCTCTGCGATTAAGGTTTGCAGTCACTGATCGATCGGGCACTGATCAGCGTCCGCATTGGACGATCGGCGTCGTATATTCAGGGTAGAGGGGCAAGCAACAAGCACTCAGAGGGGAGTGGCTGAGTGGTTGGCAAAGCCTGCAAAGCCAGAGCCCTTCGCATCGATCCGGCGGACAAGAATCAAGTTGAAACTTTACGTCGAAGATCCCGCCAGTATAGCGCAGAATATTGGAGGAGAAGTCTGGATGAAAGTTTTCTTGCAGGACAGTGGTCCATGCGTCATGTGAAGAATAAGACCACCTGACGGCACGGATGCAGTTCTTATCTGCCGTAGTGTGTGGAACACAGACATATAAGCCTCTTGTAAGAAAGACTGCCCACAAGATTTCCAAGGCCTGTGCATGTCATGAGATGTGCCAGTCAGCTTGCAAGAACGCCGTCCTTGGGGGCCGAAGTGTCGCGGGATCGTGCCGGATCGTGCCCCCGTCTGAACAGCTCTCTTAGCATGTCCAAGTTTCAAGCAGGCTGGGTCGATCACCCGGTAGAATTATGATTTATAGTCTGCCTGGACGCCAGGTTTCGTTTGATGCTTGACAGCTGCCGACTACTAGTCCAGATGAGCCTTGTTGGGCATCAGTGATGCGATGCGTAACGTCATCTTATTCAGCTGGCAGCATCAAAAGGGTCTAGTCTTCGTCTCTGCTGCAGTGAACCATCTGAACAACCCTGCTGCCCGCACTCAGATCAACTCCATAGTACTACCTAGCTGATATGCCGGCCGATGCGCCTCGTTCCCCTTGAAATGTGAAGGGTCCAGGCCGTCGAGTCAGGCACAATCATCTTTCATTAACGATGACGAATATTTTAGTATTCAAGCAAGACTACGCGAATGTTTGTCAAGTCTGTTGGTCAACCACCAGTCGGGGACAACACGAATACAGTGGGCCAATAGTCGTTTCTCACAACTGCCGGCCGCTGCTCGTGGGATCGTGCATGCTGCATACTGGTTGGTCGCAAGAATAAACACTATGCTAGGTTTGCACACCCAAATGGTGAGGTTGGAAGTCATGTGATGACTTAGTGGAACCAACCATATTGCTCGGACTTCGCACCTCTGCTCGCCGTACGTCCCGTCCGTCAGTTTCATGTCATTGTGGGGCTCCGAGTGCCGAGCGGCAGACAAGGCGACAAGACGGTTACGATAGCGACGGACAGAATCCAGGATTCAGCTGCGGACAAGACAGCCACCCAACCACCCTGAGGCTTGCCAGGGTCGCTCTACTGGAGCTGTCTCCAAGGCACAAAGCCACGGGCGCCGTGTCCTATTCCGCGGGGTGTCTGCCGTCAATAGCTTGGAAAGCAGACCGGACGCCTCAGAGTAGACCATGTCATGCAACAGCCGGGGTAGGCAACCAGTCGCGATGGCTCATGAGATGAAATGGGCGCAAGAAGCAAGCTTGGGACAGGCCTCGGCCCCAAGTTGAGAGCCCGGTGAGCCTGATGACATGCCGGCGTCGAACAATCACATCACTTTCATAACGCTTGGGACTTTCTGTGGCGAAACCCCGTCACACCGACAGACCGTCAAGAGCTCGGACACACCTGTTGACCTGTCAGCCTGTCGAACGGACTCATGCTAACAGATGTTTATCTGTCAGGGTGCATGAGCGCCTGCTGTACCGCCAAGGTTGGGCCGCACCACAGTCAATAGCAGCGACTGAGACCAGAACCCAATCACGATGCTCAAAGCCGCTACTGCTAGCCACGAACCCAGGAGATCCCGTCTACGCGTGCCCCGGATAGTGGGGCATATAAATACGCACATGAACTTGGTTCGGAGTACGGTTCGGCGTGGGGACCATGAGTTCGGTGGTTTCCCCAAAGGTTCCGAGCTTGGTGTTCGACCGCTCAGACCCGCAGGCAGAGAAAAATGGGATCAATATTTAATAATGCGGGAGATTTGCTGATTTTCATTTTGCTCCGGCTGTGATCTTCTGTTCAGCCTCCGGCTTGCAAATCCCGTCGCCCCCGTTGAGATCCGCACCTCCACTACCCGGAGCACAAGACATATCGGAGCCCCGGGCATCTGTAGCCAACCGTTGTGCAGCCACGCTTATATGGTGAGTGCCTCGGAGACCAGGGGAGCGTCGGTATGTGGGTGCATAGGAAGGGGAGGGCTGCATGGGCTGATGGGCTGAGAGAGGGGCCGCCAATGCAACCGCCCCTGATTTTCAGCAGCAGCAACAGCAGCAGCAAGCAGTCAGACACAGCCAGTGGACACTCGCGGCGCCCTGAACGCAACCCTTCTCAGAACTACGCACCTGGACTGGGCGCAGGTGAGAACACCGCGCAGCTGCCGCGTTAAAAAGAGCGGCCTCGGTGAGAAAATCTCGGTTCGGCAAGGCATCCGCACCTGGTATCCCTGAGGCTCAAGGTTGATCTCCTTGGCAGAGTTATGAACCCTTGTCAATAGCCTTTCGTACCATGATTTGGTTGGTCAGATATCGCTGTGCGCTGCATGTGCAGCGCCTGAGTTTGCTGCTAGCCTCTGCAGAGCTTGAGGTCAGGGCTCTTAGCTAATTATTTGGCTGCCATGTGCAAGCTTCAAATCCGGAAGCGGGAGGAACGTGACCAGTCAGCCAGCCCGACTAGAGACGGGCCGCCGCTCAGCATGGTGCCGGGCAGGGCGCAAGAAGATGTGGCTGCGAACCTTCGCGACCCAGGCCTGTCCGGGCAGCAGTTTGCATTTTAGTCGCAATCTTGGAACGGCGACCGTTGAGCCGGACAGGCCGGGCAAGGTGCCCCCAGGTCTCAAGAATTCTGGGGGAGGTGCGGATTTGCGGCTCTTCAAAAGTCACTTATGAAAGAATGACTCGGCCAGCACCAGCAAGAACAAACACGAAGACCGCTATCTCCGTTGATCGACGGGGGAAACGACCGTGCTGTAGGGCAGTACATCTGTCAGAGAGAGGGAGGCAGGGAGAGAAGGAGGTTGGGAGAGAAACCAAGAGGAAAACCCAATCAAACCATTCCGGCGAACCCAGGTACAAAGTCGGAGCGAAAAGTGTAAACTGGAACTGCCACTCCAGATCCGATCCCTACAGGCAGTCGGAGACAGCAGCAACCCCGTACCTAGGTACGACAGCGCGGCTGTATGACTCGCATAGGACGCCAGTCCGGTAAGCTACAGACACCTGTGGAGCGGCACCAATGGAGACGATGAGCTCCTGAATTCCACAAGATACACCGGATCCCAGTGGTTATCAGGACGAGCTCGTGGAGACGGATTGACAGGCAAACAGGCTCGCGGTTTCACAAGGGAGGAGGATGTGGGAACCCCAGAGAGAGTTTAGCGGATGTTCAGGACGATCCCCTGCGCATGGGGGCTGCAGGAGAGAGGGGATCACACGGAATACCCCGTAGCATAGCCTATACTGACTACGAAAGCATGGACTGCACTCAGACAGCCAGGAATAACAGAGACACGCCCACTCCCACACCCACATCCACACCCAGACATTACACACACAGCAGGGGAGGCCAAAGCTTCAAGCCTCCGTCCACGTGTGCATCGAGAGGGGGCTGGTGGCCAAAGCATGTTTAAATGACATGTCGCATTGGTCTTGATTTTAATCGCGCCTCGTTGGACGCCAGAGTGCCACCGGGTTCAGGTGCGAAGTAACACTCGCTTGCGGCAGAGCTGGGCGGGCCAAGCTGGCAGGCTGGGCCTCCAGCAACCCAATGCTCCGGGCACAAAGGGCTCGTTTCCGAAAGTGATCCACCCCAGGCCCCGACGTCATGTTGTGACAGGCAAGGGCCCATTTTGCAACGGTTTTTGGGGCCGCCGCTAATAACTGACTTGACTGACTTAGGCGCGGGCTTTTGGGATTGGACTGGGCCGCACTGCCACCACCAATTCAATCTTTCATTCCGCCTCCAGGGAGATCCTCGGCTGTACGCCGTCAGAATTTCCCGCATATATCTGGAACAGGGCTGGTACGCGTTCAGAGTACGAACATGACTGGCAGCAGACCCACGCCTGGCAACAGACGCATTGAACGACAGAAAGCAATTTGGGGATTGGGGTGGGCGAGGTATACGAAAAAGAAACCGACGGACACGGGGAGGAGCATGTACACAGTAGTAGAATAGGTAACGATCAGAGCTTCAATGCCGTCGGGGGCAGACTGGGGACGAGAAGGAGGAGGAGGAGGACCGGGGTGGACTGGGGGAGACAAAAGGCCGGGGGAGGCGGTTACTTCTCTCGCTGAATAGGGGGTCCAGGGGTAGCATTACATCCGGGCTGACAAGCACAAGCATCGCCCGCCTGCGTGGGTTACAACGTGGCTCCCACGTTTTCCAATCTACAGGTAATCGTACGATATAAACCAGAACATGCCAAATCTCTATCCTAAATCTTCATATCTGCATTAGTCCGTTTCTCTTTCCCACTTTCCTCCACCATCCCCGAGATTCCCCCCCGGTCCAGTCCGTCCACGGCCACCCGGAGGCTGGCAACTACACTAGCAACCAACCTGAAGCATGGCGTTGACATATAAGGAGGCCCAGCTGGTCAAGGGGACCATACCGTTCCTGAAGGAGCACGGCGAGTCCGTCTCGGACATCGTCTACAGCACCCTCGTCAAGAGGCATCCCGAGCTCAACAACACCCTCAATGTCATCCACCTCAAGGACGGCCGCCTGGCCAGGGCACTGACCGTCGTCATCCTGCGCTTCGCCAGCAGCGTCAACAACATCTCAGAGCTCATCCCGAAGCTCGAGCGCATCTGCAACAAGCACTGCACCCTTGGCATAAAACCAGAGCACTATGAGCTCCTCGGCGGCCTGCTCATCGAGACATTCGAGGATGTCATGGGCCCGGCCCTGACTCCCGAGTGCAAGGCGGCCTGGCTCAAAGCTTACAAGATCCTCTCCAACATGATGATCGGCAGGGAAAACATCATCTACAAGGACTTCGAAAGGTACAAGTGGGGGTCTTGGCGCAAGTTCAAGCTGGATCGCAAGGTCTGCGAGTCCGACGACCTCTTCAGCTTCTACCTGGTGCCCAAGGACGGCATGCAGCTCCCCAAGTTTCTGCCCGGGCAGTACATCAGCATCAGGCTGTTCGTGCCCGAGATTGGCTACTACCAGACCAGACAATACTCCATGTCAGACTCGCCGCGCGGCGGCGACTACTACCGCATCACAGTCAAGAGGGCCAAGGCGCAAACGGCATACCACGACCCGGGCATGCTCTCCAACATCCTCATCGACCGCGTCAAGACTGGCGACGACATCGAGTGCAGCCACCCGTCAGGCGACTTCTTCCTCGACACGACGGTGCCCAGCAGCGTGCCCATCGTGCTGATCTCGGCAGGCGGCGGCGTCGGCCCTCTCGTCTCGATCCTCAACGCTGTGACCGAGGAGCAGCCCACGCGGCACATCTCGTGGATCCACGGCTGCCGCGAGGACGTGCCCTTCAACACTCGGCTGACGGTGCTCAAGCGCCGCTGCCCGAACCTCAACACGACCATATTCAAGACAGTGTGCACCCGGGGCGACATCCAGGGCGTCACATATGACTACAACTGCCGCATCGACCTCCCCAAGGTGTCCCCATCGCTGCTGCACCTGGGCCACAGCGGCACCGAGTACTACATCTGCGGGCCCGAGACCTTCATGAAAACCATGATGCAGCAGCTTATCGACCTGGGCGTGGACAGCAAGCGCGTCAAGTGCGAGCTGTACAGCGTCGGCGAGATGAAACTCGACTCGGTGTGTGGGTATCTGACCCCCAGCAACGGGACGCCCTTGTCTTCGCCTACCAGCCTCGGTAAGTCCCACCCACACCGCACCCTCACGATCTCCCTCGGCCACTCTGTGCGCTGGTGGGCGCCGTCCCCATCTTCCGCGAGATCTACCCACGGACTTTGGTCTCCATTGCGGCCGTGAGGCGCGCCGATCGACCAGGGCGATGGGCCCATACGGTGATCGCGGGATGAGCAATCATTCGGGACGTCTCGTCTACCTGCACATCACCTGGCCCCACTCCTCCTGCAGCGGCACATACACGTACATTTGGACATGCACCAAGTTCCAGCAGCGGCCCCTCATCACGTGAACCATTTCCCTCATACATACATACATACATAACCGACACGAGTGCTAACCAAGACTCTAACCAGAATCCAAAGTTTCTAAAGAGTACGCCTCAAGACATGTACCAGGCATGGCAAAGTAATCATCAGACATGACGGCAACATAGACTCGGAATGATTGGGTCGCAATGCAACGCAACAAGATGCTGTGGGACAGTAGGCCACCCCCTGAAATCACTGGCAGGGCAGACGACGCCGGCCAAGCAAAAACATCGACGATGGCACGACTCATTCATGATGGAGAGCGGATGATACCACCGGTGCGAATTTCACGCGGCTGCAACACTCTGCAGCTTTCTGCCAACACAGTGTGAGAAGAAATAAGGACCCCCCGTTTCGAATCGGCCCCCGTGGCTGTTTTTTTTTCTTTTCGCGCTGGGCACTTGGCGTCCGCATGGGGCACGACTGGGTTAATCCTCCCCATATTCCCGACGATTTGGGCGGCGGTCCTCTACCCAAACCCCTTCCTTCCCCGTGGAGAAAACGGCCGAGACATGGGCGGCCATGACACGTTCTCTTGGCAGAGGTGTCAGGGAAGCGTGGGTCGGTGTGGGTCGATCCACCCTGTCCGAAACCACTCATCGGCCATGCCGGCAACAATCGATATAATGACATCTTATCATGAGGGACTCAATCGGACGGAAACGGGAAAGGGGTTGCAGGTTGTCTTTTTTTGTGCGCCTTTAGCTTTTCTGTGCCTCTATTTTTATGTTCCTTCTTTTCAACCGCATATCTACTAGGACCGAGGTTACCAGACTTCAGGTGGGGGAAGGGATGGGCATGGAATGAAGGGTCCCGGTTATGGTTTGAGCGCCGGCGGACAAAACAATGTGGCCTCATGGTATCACTCGGAGTGAATGTGTGTTATATCTCTGGGTGGGAGGGAGGAATTATTCGGAGGCTCTATCCCAACAACACGGATCGATGCTAGATGGTCAAGTCAAGTCCCAGGCGATAGAGGAGGGCAAGAGGCACGCCTGGCCACCGAAATTGATATCTTAGACCGCTCGCAAGTTCGTCCTAGAACTGGTAATGACTCGGCGGGAATCGAATCTTAATACATATCGATAGCGCGCGCACCTGCACGACTCAGCCACAATTCGAGCGAGAATTCCCCTCCCCTCACTCCACAACGCAAGTCAACGTCGAGTGACTTCAGGTGACCTGCTTGCTGATTTATAGAGCTGTTAATGATGCGGAAGACTACTACGAAGGCACAAGATCCCATGGGATGCTATTGGGAAAATTATAGGACACCTTCCGAGGTTCAATACCTATGATGTGCCCGCAGGTGGTCTGCACTGCGGCTTTCGTGATTAGCTACCAGGTACTATGTCAGCCGCGCCGCACTGGCAGCCTCGCCGGTCGTGGGCGGTACCTGGCCGGCGTGCTGAGCAGTGTCTTTCCCACCTTCCGGACGGTGATTAGGCAGTCGTCCGTACTGTGTCCCCTGGCTGAGGGAGCAGCGCCGCAATGGCCAGCCAGGCCTGTTCACGCGTGCTGGAACCAATTATCACGCCTTGTGGCGTCCTTGGACCAACCGCATCTGGCGGGCACCAGATGTCTTGATTCTCCGGCGCTCAACTTGGCTTTTGCCACCACACCGGGGTTTGTACTCGAGGTTTGCGTGATTTCGAGGAAAGGGGGAACGGTACAAATAATAGTTTGCCGCCATAAAAGTGATACCTGAGGCAGCCACGACAGCTGAGAGCGAGGTCATGCCGGCATGCGGCGTCCGCGCGGGTGGCCCGACTATGCCGTGACTGGTACCTACATATGTGCTGGGAAAGGCCATCACGAGGGATGTGACCAGTCATGAAGAGCTAAGCTTCTCGTTTGGGCCAGTCACGAACCCGATACTGGTCGACTGATGGGGGACGGTGACCGGCCTCTATACAACAGGCAGAGCGATGACCGGTCGGCAGATGGGCAGCTGGGACCGTCGAGAGCCCTGGAGGGTCGTGGTCAGTCCTAGCAAGAAACGTAACTCTTCCCGTGACAGGTCAATCCCCACGCGAAGGCTCCGCTACCCGCCACGTAAGGCTCAAGCTTGGCTCTCCTAAGCCTCTCCATTATTTCAGATATTTAAAACAGGCATAATATTACTATAAATACTGCTAGTGCGAATGGAACAAAATATGAGTTGTGTGACCGTGAGTTGGGTATGAATCGATCAACGGGCAGACACCCAAGGTACCCATTTGGGTAGGTCAGGGAACCAACACCTGGAAACGCAGCAAAATCGCTACTAGAAGCATCTCCAATAGCTCTTGAGTTGCAAAGTAGGAGGGATTAAAAGGACCTCGGGATACTGAATTAAACCAGGGGTAAATGAGCATGTACACGGTGTAGGATTCTAGTTGTTGGTTATGGACTGTTGAGCCATGGGTCCTGTAGCAGCTCTTTCGCCGTCTTTCTGTCTTCAGGCCGCCACTGCAACATACCCCTCACAAGGCTTATGAACATTTCCTTGTCCTCACCCTCGAGAAAGAATTCATTCTCTTCGAGCGTAGTAGGTTTTGGTACCACAACTTCACTCCGCCACTGACCTATATAAGAACCCTCGTTAGCTATGTTCAAGCAAGATGAGTCTGGGGTAGAAAAAGTTGTCATGTATACCTTCTTCGGTAAAGAACTCATCACTTCGCACCCCTCGTTTGACCAAATCCAGTGGCGGTGGACCAAGCAATGCTATTACCTCGGCTAGATGAGCACGGGTTGAATATCCCTTACCATCCGGATCTTGCCCGTAGAAGAGATGTCTTCCTTCAAATAGATCCCAGATCATACACCCCAAGTTCCATATGTCTACCGGGTAACTCCAGTCGATATTCAACATTGTCTCAGGCGACCTATATACATCCGGCTGTGCGTCGTGGTTGCGCTTTTCATCGCCCCTAACCGCAGAACCGAGATTGCCAAGCACTGCATCGCCGAAAAATTCTGGGAGCTCGAAGGGCCGAGACCTGTAGATTGTATATCCGTCGACTAACTTCCTGGGAGAGGGTCCAGCCATCTCCAGATCAGCGAACCAAGCAAGGATACGCCCATCAGCAATTTCCTGTAGGATATTGTCGGATTTGATATCAGTATGTACCAAGTGGCACTGTGTGTGTAAAAAGTCCAGTGCCAAAAGGACCTGCTGTAGTCCGGCCTTGAGTAGAGCCACGTTGAAGCGTCCCGCTGGGTTACGGCGGATAAGAGCCTTCCAGGTTGCCCACATGGGCTTCTGGACAAGACAATAGTGCTCAGTCGTCTCGTCACTCCCCGCTGGGACACGTGGGCTTGGAATTGTAAATATGTCCCATGCTGTCCTGATGTGAGGGTAACCCGGATGCGATTGGTTGCCAACCCTCCTGATGTAATCATAGATCTGAAACTCATCTCTGTGTCCCATGTTGCGAGTATACACCTTTAGGGCCACATAATGATGCTCTCCGAGTCTGTGGGAGGTTTGGTTTAGGCTACAGGTACCCGAACGCAGGGGCGAAGAGTATATACTTACTGGAGGTTTCGGGCCAGCCACACCGTAGATGTCGTCCCAAAACCCAATTTGCCCAGGATCTGATATTTTTCGGCATAGATATCACCAATATTAACTGGATAGTACTGTCCTGCGCTGATAGCATCCTGGAACTGCTCCTCTTCAAGAATTTCAGATTTAGGCACCACCTTGAATCCGGCCGTAGGAAAACGCAGGGGCGCCAGAGGCGTTAGCCGGCCGAGGGTGCGCGCCCATTTGAGAAGGGACGACATACTGCTTCGAACGGGATTTCAAGAGAGTAGGTCGGCAAGACTTGTGCGGGTGGAATAGCAGCACGCTCAGGTTGGATGATAATTAACTTACGAACATTTGAAGTGATAAGGTGTCTCCCAACGGTTTTGAGCGGAGAGCAGCCGTCTGTCATCTGACCCACCCTAACCCTGCGCACCTATTTGTGGAACGGAATACACGGAATCTTGACCAGTTATTACTTACGTACTTACTAGGTACTTGGCCTTGAGGATTCACTGCCAACATTTGAATGCTGGCTGCATTGTCAGCCTGGCGTAGAATATGTTGGTATACCAGTATCGGTCATTTCAAACCTGAAGGAATATGGAGTTTCGTTGTTTGAATTGGGTGTTTGGTTCTCTTAATGGTAGTATCGTGGTTTGTGGAGGTGATGCCTATTTTGGCTGTCAGCATGAGGTCGCTTTTAGTGCTGAGCCCTACGCTTCTGACTCCTGCAGAGTTACTCAGCCCACATAAATATGACGTACACCAAAATCGGTTGTTGATAAAGTAATGGACCAGTACTTCAGGTAAAATGGCATGAGATTGAATCAAATGGGTCGTCGTCCCTGGCCGGCGCACTTCTTGCTGGCTTTCGATCTCCGTGAATAGTTGCCGGCCTGCAGCAGGGCCGCCCCTCTGAGGATTGGCAACTAAGTATGTATTGAATGTGCGGAGTTTACTGTATTGCCATTGCCTCATACAAGACGATCAAACTGCCCCGGATATAGCCGCGAAGTGGCTATAGGTCATTAGTTCTGGCGGCGGAGCCGGCGGGCAGCCGCCCGTGGAATTATACACTTTCACGTGCGAGGAGAATGATCCTTAAGACTAACAGGTAAACGTTTCATGTGAAGCGAGTCTTCATAGACGCAGTTACAAGAAACTATAACGGTCTCGGACTCTTCTCAAGTCTGGGAATTGTGAGAATAGAACAAATCAAACCATGCAACACCTTCAAGCAATTCCTCAGCCCAGGACAATTACCCCTTAATTATCTTTCACCATCTTGCAATCGCCTTATATATCTCCATGATGCGCAGCATCGGTGAATCATTTTCTACCTGAGTCAAGAAGCTCGTCACGTAGCTTGAACTCAGTAACTAAAAGCAAGCTTCCCGCATCTTACCAGACTGCAGTCAGGGCGTTCACATGTGCACCAAATCTGCCCGCAGGTGGTGGCACTGCCGAACAACAACTCGTCGAGACCAAGGCAGTGGAGATCAAGTTCGTATTATATACCGGTACATAACGTCGTAGAGGTACAGCATCAATGTTTAACAAACTTATTTCAGGCACCGCAATGGCGTTGCCGTCCACCAGTCTTCCTTCAACCCGGCCGACAAGAATCTTTTCGTGAGCGCCAAGATTGTGGGGGACAAGACAACTCGTGTATGCCACATCTATAAGGATGGCACCGGCACACTCAACAAGGGAGGCCAGCAACGGTCTTCTTGATTTCAACTCGGATCATACTGCCCGTGGCACTTGTAGCAACTGGGTGGGACATTTATCTTTATAATTACAGGATACTAAAGGCTGGAGACAAAGGACAGCATGGCCAGCATTTTACTCTATACTGAATTATTTTAAAAAGAATCAGTGGTATCAGATAACAACTTGGGCTTCCTGGGATCATATGATTGCTTGCTGTGACACTGGCGGGCAGATGTGTTAGAACGTAAACGACTCAGTACCTATGGCAAGTAGCGGCGTCGAACTGTTTGCGGATAGAGCAGTGGTTCACGGTGATAAGACCAATATAAATATGAACTCTTCTTTGTCTAGCGCTCCCAGGAGAGGGCATCGACATAACGACTTAGAGCAACAGAGTGTCTGAGAGCCTAGGAGTTGATTTAGCGCAGGTGGATGGCGAACAGTGAAGATGAATGGAAACGATTCTGGTTAGGACGCATTGAAAGCTTGTAGTATTTAACGTAGTCTGGCCCTGCGGGCATGACTCAATATCTCGATCATCAATACAAAAATCCAACACTTTGGTCGACCATTGCGTAGACCATTTGTGTACTTGATTTCGATCGCCTGCAAGCGGGGGAAACAAATACATAAGAGGTTCGAGAAGCAAATCTCGACCCCCAGCTTCGATATCGTGCCTGCCACTTGCTACTTGCCTCGGGGCTAATTCCTGAAGCTCCCCGGATTGAAAACACCGTCCAGCAACGGCCTAAAATGAATATTCGCTATAACATTGGTTTGCAAAGCCTCATTGTACTGAAGCACGGCCCGACATGACGGGCAGTATCTATCACCCCGCAAATTGTTGTAGGGTCTGGTGGGCGTAAGGCTGAGAGTTGTATAGCACTTCTTATCCAGCACATGGTTGTTCGGGCAACCGTAGTAGACTGGACAGTTGAACTCGTGGTTCACATCGTACTGGTCGCCGCATATAGGGCAGTCTTTGTCGGTCTGGCTGTCCAGCTGCTGCTGTGTCAGCTTTGTAAGGCTCAACTCGACGGTGGCGAGTATTTGAAGCCAATTCTTATAGAATGTCACCCAATGGCTCATGGCATTGACATAGACCTGGTCCAATGTCAAGTCCACACTTTGCAATGCGTACCCCGGGTCCCCATCCAAGCCGTGATATGAGAGTTTTTCCCACCACCAATTGAGTTCGAGGGGCAACTGCATCCCCGCTTGTGGGGTCGAAAAGAAATCCACACAATCCTCGATGACGCTCCGGAACTCGGCATTGCTTCCCTCATGCCCCTGTGGGATGTACCCTACTCCCCTCTCAAGTATGGAACCTCTTTCAGGGTGACCATAGATCTCGTACCACGGCTCCATTTGCAGGGAATGAAACAACCTCCCAATCTCGATCATGCGATCGCCAGAGAGCCCCGGGTCGAGTGCCAATAGCTGGAATATAAAGCCCATAGTGTGGGTGATGAAATTCTCGTGCCGTACGTATTGGTCGGGGTTACGACCTCCGAGAATTGTTGCATCTCCCCTGGGTGCCTCGATCTCAGCTCGGGTCGTTTCCTCAAGCAGGTCGGCTTTCAGTTGGTTTACGCGACCGTCCAGGATCTCACGGGGCCACTGCGGGACAAATTCCAGGATATCATACGGACCTTTGCCGGGATTGTAAGGTCCTGCGATATTCTCCGATCTGAATGCCCACATGTATCTTTGGTACCGTTCGGCCTCCTCGCGGAAGGGCTGGTCGTCATACTGTCTTGAATTTCCGTCGTCATCAGCGTCTTCCGCACTCCAGGGTGTCAAGATCATAAAAAGCTCATTTCGGAGACTCCATTCCACGTCCCGAGCCATGGCTCTCTTTAGATCCGTGGAGATGTTGTTGAGAGCAGGGATGCGTTCACCCAGGTGGGTTTCCTTGGTTTCCCATTCCAACGCCGCATCTGGAGGAGGATGACTCGTCTCCTGACGGCATTTGAGTTCGGGTAGCATTTTATCCATCAGGAGCATAAGCAGTTGGTCAGGTCCAGACCACAAGTCGGGGCCAATTTCGCGTATACACTCTCGGTAAATGTCGAGGTCCGGCCCGTCATCGTCCTGTACTTCCCTGGCGTTCGCCTTGGATCTGTATAATGTTTCAACCCGAAATACTAAAGGCAGGCAAGGGTCAGCAACCTTGTTTGTATGCGGTTTCGAACACGATGCAAGTCCGAATCACTCAAGCCTTGTCTTACACCCAAGCGTACAAACTTCAATGAGATTTCAGCTTACTATTTACGGCATGCTCGGGCCAGAATTTCAAAAATTCGAGGAGGTACCTATGATAATTTTGCTTCATCAATTCATAGGCCGCCGGATTATCACTGCCGCTTTTGATACCGATGCGTGATACAAGGTCACGTCGGCTATGAACACTGCCTTGGCCGGAGCTGTCAATTGGCATTCAGTCAGCGCACAGAGTGACCACATCCAAAGCAACCAAGTGCAGAGCCCATTATGACCCACCAGTCCGGACAGCCGAGTGAATACCGCTCCTCGATTTCATCGAGGCAATCAAAACAGCCAAAAAATGGGGCTGGACCCGGATCCTCCGGGTTCACCTTCTCGACCCGGTCGAAGATTGATGCCGGCTGTTGCGGCAGCTGGACGTCATCTCTGCGATTGTATACCCAATAAAATGGCATAGACTGTGAATATGTCCCATCAGTCTCTTCTCAACATTAGCTCGTCAAGATGGAACTTCTCTCGTTTGTTTGAAGATCGTAACAGAAAAGACAGCCTCCCAATGCCCAGAATAAAGGAGAGGGGGGTTTAGCTTGGGCCGAAGTGTTAGAAACTTACACAGCGGACAATCTTCTCGACCTCATGCCCGCAGGTAAGGTAAAGTCGTTTCAAACGGATGCACCTGTGGTGAATTGGTCAGACAGTCCATGAAGAATTTTGCCAAGCTGAAGCAGCGGGCGGCTAGAAGTTCTTACATTTTGCTAAATGCGCCAAAGCTCGTTGTCGAAATGGTAATTGTCTACAGTAGTGAGCAGGTCGGAGTACGTCTTAGCATCCTTTTTGGAATTTTGGTCACACAACTGCAATGTTATGTCGACACTGGGTGAACTATAAATGAATACCTATCCTTGATCCGAGAGTCTTCTTTGTAAGCGCCATAGCTGCGTTTCCCGGAAGCAGGCATGTGGCGCTCACGGCGCGGTAGAGCCCGGGTCGATCGCTTTTGTTTGCATCACCTTCTGTAGTCAGAAACCCAGTCAGCCTGCCGTGAGCTGCACCTTTCATATATGGTTCCGGTAGCGGTAACAAAGACTGACCTACTTCGGTCTGTATAGGTACCCTACTCTTTGCCAAACCTCATTGTGACCTACAACAGTTCGGTTTAAAAAAGAGTTGTTCGCTGTATTTACAAACATACAAGTCTGCTCGAATGCTGCTGAAATTCAGCTGAAGTCTCTTGTAAGTATCACCCATGCAAGAATCAATGTCACAAGGTACCTATCATGAACCACCCCAACCTCTTAAGCAGCGAGTGATTCTTACCTACACAGCTACCTGCAGTTTCTCATATAGAAATAACTCCTCGTTTTATATGTAGACGTTATGTAGTCATTTCTTAGTTTTTGATGCACTTGTGATTCCTCAAGCCATGCAACATCGTTTGAAAACAGTGAACATTTGAAGTGATATAAAGTCACCAAGTCTAGCTGCTGTTACCACAACAGATTGAACAGTTCCCGTCATCAACCCTGACCTTATTTGAATCCGAGCCCTAGCTTCACACATTTCACAGGATACATACATAATTAGTAAGCTATATATTCAGAATTTCAAAGGAAAAGTGTGCCGTTGGCTTCATTTTAGTCCGAGGTGGGAGACAGCCACATTGTGAGTGGGGATGCGTTTAGTTGCCCAGGTGTTGGTCAACAAATCATCAAAACTATGGAGGGTGATTTGCCAAGAACGCATGATCTGCGCACAAGATTGCCGTGATCGGCTTACGGTCTCCGTTCAAAGTAGATCGCCAGAAGTCCTGGAGATGTTTGCTTTATTGCATGGGCCCAGAACCTGATCGTCTCGATCCGTACTGACACCTGGGCAGTTTGGCGGGGAGCGTCGACCTTCTCTCCCACCTACATCCTACATTGCAAGCCAAATTTGATAGTGGATGCAGTTTTCGCAAGCAATAAATAATTGGCGAAATGCTCGTGCTTTTTGGAGACTGACTATTTGGCCGCAAATCGGTGCTGCCTCTGCTGACATTGAAATGGTACGTGGAGGTCTAAGTGGCAGACTTGAATTAAATCTGATTGGAAGTTTCACAGCAACAAGTGAAACACAATTCTACAGGGCTGAAAATTATTTGGCACGGGACTCGGAAAAGAAACCAAACCCGTTCGCCGGCACTCAAGGAGCCTCGACCTGGGCGCCGGTAACACTTCCTGGGTATTTCGGAGGAACTTGTCTGGCATTGTGGAACTGCTGACTGTGCGCAGTTCAGCTTACATGCATGGTGGTTCCAGTGAATTCCTAAATCCGGTCTCACCAGACGTGACGAGCGGTGCCTTAATGCAGGAAAACTGGATGTTTAAAAAGTATAAAAGCAACAAGCCTGTCTAAGTTCGAACTCAGATTCGACTCTCTATCTAGACCCACCATCGACTCAAAGCTATAATCAGCGGACAACATGGCGGTTACCTCTCAGGCTCATCGAAAAATCGTCTTCGGAGCTATGACCTTTGGTCAAAAGGGTGAGTGAGTATCCGCGTGTGTGTATCATGAGTGCCGAGAGCTGATTTTCATTCGTCAATCAAGGCGTTGAACAGGCGCGCATACACGATCTCGAAGTCGCAGCCAAGGCCCTCGACGTTTTCCAAAGCCATGGACACTCAGAAGTGGACACAGCTCGCGTGTATGGAGGAGGCAGCTCTGAGGCTTTCCTCGCCGAACTGGATTGGAAGTCTCGCGGCATTGCTCTTGCTACGAAGTTGCCGCCTGTTGGCGTCTATTTGCCACCATTCATGGACACCAGGAACAAAACCCTGCGTGATTTGATGCGCGAGAGCATGAGCGCTTTGAAGACGGATAAAGTAGATCTCTTGTATCTGCACGGACCAGACCGCAACAGACCATACGAACAAACACTTCGAGAAATCAACGATCTATATAATGAGGGCTGCTTCACCCGGTTCGGAATCAGCAACTTTGCAGCATGGGAAGTCGCACAGATGTGTGAGACGATCCAACATAACGGATGGAAAAAGATCGATGTGGAACCAAGGTATTTACAACGCGTTGCACCGAGCTGTCGAGCCAGAACTTTTCCCGGCACTGAGACACTATGACATCGCATTCTATGCCTACAACCCTCTTGCTGGAGGACTTCTCACCGACCGCTATCAACGAGAAACGAAGGACCACGACGGCGGTCGATTTGATCCTAATCACGCACAAGGTGACCTGTACAGGAAAAAGTATTGGAACGATGCGCGTTTCGATGCCTTGGATAAGATACGCCCTCTCGCCAAATCATCAGGTCTTACAACCGCACAGGCAGCTCTGAGGTGGATCAATCACCACAGTCAATTGGCCACGGAGTCTGGCGATGCTATTATCACTTCAGCGAGCACGGCCGAGCAACTCGAGGAAAATCTCACTGCTTTTGAAATGGGCCCGCTCTCTGATGAGCTCCTGAAAGCGTTCGATGAAAGCTACCTGGTGGTGAAAGCCGACGTGTCTGCATATTTCTTCTAGCATCCGAGATCGAAAAACACTTGGATGAATTGTTTAGAGGAGGCGGCCAGAGGTGGAAATCTCGCCTAGAGAAAATCGTGATGTTTTGATCTCAACTCACCTAGAATTATGTAGCAAGAAGCGAATCTCCCCTCATTCATTGGGCAACCGAATGAGCTGTCATTTGACGGATGGGTAGAAAGTACAGATTAAAGATATTCAAACCGGGTTACTGGAACTGGAACTTGAAAGCAGTTATGAGTACTATTTATTGGTAACGAGCCTGTTGATATTGGCAACCCGCCAGCCTGTAGATTTGACAAGTACAAAATCTCCGAAATCTCATAAACAACACCCAAATAGCTTTGTCGCTGTCCTTTAACACCACCCGAAAAGATCTTCAGGTCTGAAGACTTAGAGCCAATACCCTTCCGCTAACCGTTAATTAACGCTTGCGAACAATCCGCTAATTCCACAACTCCCCTACTAGTAAGTCAGAATATCCACTCACACACCAACCCCCTAGCGCCTACTATAATTTTTAAATACTATTAAAAGTACTACCTAACTTTAAAATTAAATTTCTTAATAACTATTAAAACTATTTACTATTTAATTAAAACTTCTTAATATCTAACCTTTTAACTTTAATATAATCTTCTATTAAATCCTTATCTTTATTTTTAACTTTATTATTATTAAACTTTACTAAAGCTTCCCTTATACTTAATCTTATTACCTTCCTCTCTCTCTTAAACACTATAACATTAATAAACACCTTATTAAAATTAAATACAACCCTATATTACTTCTTAAACTTCTATTATTTAAAAATATTAAAAAAAATATCTTACTCTACCTTTATAATAGCTATATAAAAACCTAATTTATTAAAGTCTTTACTAAATTTATAAAGAAAAAGTAAACTATAAATAAAATAAAACTATTATTTAACTTATATAATTTAAATTTAATTAATATAATTTAATAAAATAAATATAATATTTATAAAACTATTATAATTAATTCTTTATTAAAATAAGATTCTTTCTTTTAAAAATAACTATTATAATAAATACCTTAATATTAATAACTATTAACCTTAAAAAGCATTTTTCTTAATATTTAAACTAAATACTTATTATAAACTATATTTTTAAACCTTAAAATTATAAATATTATTTTATAAATAAAATTATAAATATATAAAAAATTCCTTAAAAATTTCTTTATATTATAAAAACTATTAAAAGTCCTAATTACTAATAATACTAATACTTTAAAACTAAAAATACCTACATTTAAAAGCTATAAAATATATAATAAATATACTAAAAAAGATAAGTTATATATAATTATTAAAATAAGTTTAAAAAAGTTTTTAATTATATAAAAATAATAACTATTAAAAATAAACACCTATTAACCTTTTAAATTAACTAATTTAATCCTTAAAATAAAAACTTCCTATAATTATAATAATTTAATTTAATTATTAATCTAATTAATTTCTAAATATATAAACTTTTAATCTAAAACTAATTAAAATCCTTATTAAAAATTATTATTATTAAACTAACTTTACTTTAAAAATAATTAAAAATAAAAATATAACCCTTAATACTATAATACTCTATTAATATAATTTAAACCTAAAAAAGTTTATTTTTATAATAAACATTTTATTAAACACTCTAATAATAAAGCTATTATCTCTATTACCCTTTTAAATACTAATTTTATTATTATACTACTAATTATTATTTAAAATATTTACTATTTTAAAAATTTAAATAATTATAAAATTAATTAAATTATTAAATATAATACTATTTATATAATAATAATTAATATATATAACTTTAAATATCTTAATTAATAAATTCTACTTTATAAAATTATAATATTAATTCTTTTCTAATATAATATAAATAGTTAAATTTAAATTATTATAATTAAAAATTTATATAATAAAGTATTAAAGGATAAATTAAATAAAAATAAACTAAACAGCCCTATATAAAAGCTTAATTAACTAAACTAACCTTTTAAATAAATAATAATTTTTAAAAAATTAAATTATAATCCTTTTAAATTAATATACCTAAATAATAATAATAAAAAGTATACTAATTAAAATAATATCTATTATATACTTTATACTAAAAGCTATTACTAACCTAATTATTTAAAATAATAAAAACTTTTAAAATAAAAATAATAAACATACTATTATATATAAAAAAGAAAAAGAAATTAATTAATATTATTTTTATATATATATAATTTTTATAGGGCTTATAATATAGGTATTTATATAAGTAATATTAATTATAAGTATATAAAATTATGGTGGGCGCTAGGGGGTTAGTGTGTGAGTGGATATTCTGACTTATAACGCCTCTAACCAGATCGTGGACTCGATGCCCGTGAATCCTAACGGACGCCTCTTCTTGCCACCGGGACCCTCGGACTTGACAGCTATGACAAGATCAGAGAAGCCAATGCCCCTCTCTTGCATCCGCTCGATATCTTGTTCCGTCTCTGCAGCACGCACCACCACTTTAGAACGGGTAGATCCGTGTGGGACACCGATGTCAAGGGTAATCGAGCTTTGACCGGCGGCTGGTTCGAGCTTGGACCCAAGGATCTTAGAGTAGACCTGGGCATACTCGGTCTGCAGGTGCTTGGGTACGAGGATCTCGCAGGAAGCGATGCCTGTGGCACCACAAGGATGTGTCGTCTTGTTCTCATCCTGGCTTGGGACTCTATCTGTCCGCGGGGTATCATCATGGCAGAAGAATGGGACGTCAATTCTGCCGTTGGGAAAAAGCTCTTGGCCAGGCGTCTTGTCTCCGTTGGAGAAATCTGGTCGTGTGACTTTCCACTTGATCTCCACGCCGTCGGCTTTCTTGCGCGAACCAGCAACCGGCTTGCCGAATCTGATACCAAGACCGGCATCTTTGTGGGGCCCCTCGGATAGTCGCTCGTTGACCGTTCCCACCGATTCCTCAGCAGAGTGGGTTGTATCAGTGATTGCAAAGTCGATTAGCCCCGGCTTCTTAGAGCCCCAGAATCTCATTGGTAAACTCTCGTTGTCTAGAGACGGTGGTGTGTCGTACCAGTTGAAGAACTCCAGGTAGCTGCCATCAGCAAAAATTACTAATTTGTTGCGAGATGGCTGGCCATCGTGGTAGCCTCCAGGGGTGACCGTGAAGTTGTCGGTGACCCAGGCGGGTAGGTTTTCAAAGAAATGGTCATCAACAAGGAGAACGACGTGATCCTGCTGTGTGGAAGCCATGGTGCACTTGTTTATGGCTGGTTGTGGGAGAGACTGGTTGATGAGGGGTCGCTGAATTGTGATGAGCTTGTGTGAGGATTGTCTGATGAACATCCGGAAGCTTGAGGTCGAGAAAATAATATTAACTAAGTGACGAGTGCAACACACTGTACATTCTGTTCAAGTGTATTTCTGCCTGGTTGGGAACGTCTGATCAAATCAACAGGTGTAGGATGTGTGAGGCTTGAGAACTTTGGGAGAGGCAGCGGTCGGAACTTTGCGTCTGCAGGGCTACCAGTAAGGTGGCCCACATTCGGAGGACCCCCCGATTCGGGCCACTTTTTCACTAAAACCCGCTATCTTTAAACACTGATTTCTCAATAGAATAATTTTAATATATTATGTAAGTTTCTACGTAAAAGGAGGTCCACTTATTCTTGTATATCAAGGTACTTGAAAAATAGAATTATGTTTCTATACTCCTAAACAATACTTGGAAATCACTTCAATGGGTCAGTTAAGGATTCCACCTATCTACATAGAAACCCTTAACATTGTCAAAACTTTTATAAAGTCTTATGAATGTGGGCGGGTCACCTTACCGCCTGCATTCACGCATGGGTGTGCAGTCGGGCTTGAGCAAACCTTGAGCGCCTCAAACCGACAACATTTTTCTTATTAAGTACGTAAAGAAGATCTTCGTGACTCGGTGAATGAATTTCCAGCCAAAGGAACCTTGCATTTTCCCAAGATTGGTCGTCGTTTTGCAGTTATCTGCTCACGTCACTCAGGGTAGGTCAGCCCTCTCCCAAGACAGCTGGCGCATAGTAAGCCCAGACAGAGCATGGAACTTTGGCCTTTTCCGTGTTTCTGCGGTAGCCACTCTATACTGATGTTTAAGCTTGCGGTAGTTGAAATGGACAGGCATGCAAGGCTGTTTCAATGGCCAGCATCGACTCCTTTCCCTGTGCCTCCCCGCCCCGGCCCGTTTACCTGCTTGGAGGTCGACTGGTCTTATGTCTCTCCACGATACACGTCTACATGCAGTCAATGTACTTGTGCGGATGAATAGGCTAATACAGCGTGGTAAGAAGAGCAGTGCCAAGTGTAAATACATTACATGAAATTCTTTTCGTATTCCAAGAAGTCGCGCTTAGCAATTGTAGAACAAGACCAATGCGCATACATCAATTTCCACGTGAACTTCTTAATGACTCCACGTAAATTGTCATCCAGTCTATCTTTCGGTGGCCTCCTTCAGGTCTGAAGTCAATCCCACTGCCCTCGACGTAGTACATCTTTACCAGCTCAGGCTCCCTTAATAGCCCCAACTGTTCCATCATCGCCTTTGCCCTCATCTTCCATGACCCTGCCATACTCAGAGGTCTTTCTCTCAATAATGATCGGGTAGTGGGCCACGCGGTCCCCATCAACCGAAGAGCTGTCGCCTTCTTTACCCCCATCTGTTCCCCCAGCCCCTGAGGTTTCAGCTTTATCCATACCTCCACCCACCTGCGTGACATGCTGGCCGCTGGCATTGGCAACTCCGTTGTCCAGGTCAGCCTCACCAAGTGTCCCCATCCCATCTTGCTCCAAGAGGCCGCCTTCCATGATGACGCGCAATTCTAGGGCCTCATCCTTTGAGTAAACTCTGAAGCCCACGATTGCGATGGCGTTCCATGGGTCAGGAGTGTCGGCGTCCTCGTCGTCAGAATCGTCGTCTTTGGATTTTGCGGACGCGGGCGTGATTGGAGGAGCTGGGAGCAGGGCGCTTGTGGTGTCGTCGTCCTCGTACAGGTTCTCGTAATCTTCGACGGGAGAGTCTGACGAGTATCCATCCGAGTCTGCTGCTGGCGAGGATGCCTTCTTGTTGCTGCAGGAACAACATTGGATCTTGAGCTCTATTGGCTTGTTCCCTGCTGCAGCCTGGGGTTCATTGACAGTGAAATTAGGCTTGCTCGCGTCCGAGAGAGTATCAGGGGCCGTCTTGATGGAGGTTGGGGGGATTTCCACCCTGTCTTGACCGTTGGAAATGAGCTGGGCAGGCTCAGTCCGTGGACTATCCTGTGGCGTATTTTGTGCTGTGCCGGTAGACGAGCTTGATGCAACCGAAGCATTATCGGCGTCAACACCGGCTCCCAACTGTCTCGCTTGCTCTGTCAAGTCCTTGATCTCGGTCTTTATGTCTGCAGCCTCCTTTGCAGCCTTCTCTTCTTCGGCCTTTGTCTCCGCCGCTTGCTTCTCAGCCTCGGCTTTGGCCTTCTTCTCAGCCTCGGCTTTGGCCTTCTTCTCCGCCTTCAGCTTTTGCTTCTTTTCCTCGTTCTTCTTCGCCTGCTTTGCCTTTACATCTCGTCCTACCTGTCGCCTCTCCCAGGCTTTCCTCCGCTCTTTTATCCGAGCCTCGCTGGCCTTCTTGCCCTCTGCTTTCTTCCGAACTTCACTTAACATCTTCAAGTGCCTGGCAGCCTTCGAATGGGCGAGATCGTACGCTCCCCCGACTTGGGCAAGCTTTTCGTTCTGGGACCGTCCCTTGCACTGTTGTTTAATGACCTCCTCTGTGCTCCAAATGCCGTTGTCTCGCTCGCCAATGACCGAGATGAATACTACATATTTTCCAGGAGGCATGCTCGGCAGTTCGACCGAGACACTGCGGTCCATGAGATAATTCCCATGGCTGCGGACTATGTAGTCCTCTGCTCCGGGGCTGCCCTCTTCGTGCAGTCGGAACTGGAGGCGGAAGTTGTATTGTCCTTGCAAACCACGGAAGTAACGCGTGTCCAGCTGTGAGAGGACGAGGACGATTGGCGACTCCTTGGTAAGTTTTATGAGGAATTTCTCGTTGTACTGCGGCTTCCAAGGGACCTCGACCCCGGCCCATCGCTGGCACGACCGCCAGTCTGGGTCCCGGAACAGACGGGTGCGGTCAAAGTGCTGGTACTTGCGAAGCAGGTCATCGTAGGATATCCAGAAAGTTGAATCGCTGCCGAAGGTGTGGTCGAGCTCTTGCTTCACCTCTGTGGTCCATTCTTTGGAGCCATCAGACCACGCGCCCTCCCAATTGCCCTTCTTGACCTGGCCCCAGGGGTTCCTACAGACAAGTCAGAGTTGCTCGACTTCACATGTTGCAGGATGCAATGCGTTTGAATTTGTGCTTACCTGAGCTTGCAGAGGCGCGTACCATCCTTGAGTGTCCTCGCCTCCATAATAACGTACGCGTGGCCCTCGGAGATTCCGTCTCGCTCACCATATCCGCCGTCAAGCAGACCGGTGGAGCAGCCGAAGAGGAATTCCTGGTTGACCTTGCTCAGCTCGTTGTCCCAGAATGCATCCGTGTCGAAAATGTCACTCGCGAGAAGCTCTGTGGTGACGCCCCCTGACAGGTCTTCGAGTGCTTCGCCGATCCAACCCCCGTGGAGGCTGCCGTAGTCGCCGTGTGCCTTGGCGTAGGCCTTTTCCAGCAACGGGACCCATGTCTCGTTCTGATCCTTGTTCTGCCCAAAGAACAAGGCCTTTGACCCGGTCTGGTATGTCTCGCGGTAGACACTTTCAACGTCTTCTCGGTCGATCTGCTTCAACATCTCTCGCTGCATGGACTTCGAGTCCCAGCACGGTGACTTGAGGAAAAGCTTGTCGTCCACGATGGAGTAGATCCACTCCCCGTCGCGGTAGAAAACGAAGCCATAGATTCCTATCTCTGTCGGGTTGAAGGGTTGTGTCAGCAAATATTCATACATTTCCAACCATCTACGGAGCAGCTTGAGCTGAGGAGCGTGGGTCTCTACTATACTCACTGGTGTCATATTCTACGCAGATTCGTTTGATGCCGCCTGGCACATTGGCTAAGCCCGTCAAGCTCGCTATGAGCCAGCAATCTCCGAGATTACCCTGCTTGATATCTCCAGGGAGGATGTTTTCCATGAAGGTGGGCTTCTTGAAGATCTCGTGCACGCGTTTGACGGCTTTGGGGATGTTCGCCGAGGGACTAGCAAGATTAGAGTCACAGATTTTGAACCTGCTCGACCCCAGACTATTCAAGCAATAGCCTTTCTCCCATTTGAAATCCCAGTCCTGAGAAATGAAATGTCAGCTCAATTTTGAAGTCATGATTTTCTGGGGCAGGCGTAAGGCCTTATATGCCAGCAGCTCTAGAGGACCAACCATTGAGCCTGGGCGGACTGAAAAGAGAAAACCGACAGGCGCGGGGTTTCATAGACCTACAATATCCCAGCCAGGGTCGCGATAGCGACTGTTAATCCTCTTGCACTCGGAAATGATCTTTCGCACTCTGCGCCTGCATTCCTCGGCAGCACGCTCGTAGCCGGCGCCCAGGAGTTCATTGCCGCGCTCGATCGAGGTTGACGCAGAGGTGGGAGAGGAAGGAAGCACCGTCAAGGCTTTACTGAACTTCTTCTGTGAAAATCTCTCCCAAATCTTGTCTATGCCTTCCTGTGGTGTAGTCTTTGACTTTTTCTTCTTTTCTTTTGTATCCCCTCCGGCGGCGGCGGCTTGAGGTGCGGGAGCATGAAATCGTCGGGGCGCGGTGCTTGGTGTCCTCTTGTGAGACCGCCTCTCACGGTAGCTGCGGCGGGGCGAAGACGGTAGAGAGGACTCTGAGTCCGAGTCCGAGGAGACGACGTCGATATGACTCTTCTTGCCCATTTTGGAGTTCCCTGTGCAGAAAGAGGCAATTATATCTAGTTGCAGCGTCGTGACGTGAACAACGGCCCCAGATATTGTTGGCCGTCTCGGTGATCTTCCAGTGGCGTATCAAAGCAGGGAAGATATTCGATGCAGTGAGTATTTGGCGATACTTGGGACACTGGTGCCTATGGGGATGGTTTGAAAAGTAAGGCGAAACGCTAATGCAAATTCTACTTCAATGAAACAAGAAATGACAGGGGATAATTCATCTGGGCTAGTTCGATTGTGGGAAACACGGCTACAATCCAGATGTCCCCAGATAGCCGTTGCTGGTTCACGCTTGCGTCAAATATGGCAAGGCAGATGTGGCGAAAACTGACTGAAGATCATCTGGCAAGGATTTCATGAAGCAATTTCTACTCCTCAGGTCTGTTCTAAAAGCCTTTAAGAATAAACCAGACAGGTTCCTATAATGGCGCTCGTGCTGGACATGTAGGACGGTCGGACGCAGGCCCGACCTGCGACCCGGAGGACGGCAACGGGAATGGGCCCGCAGAACGTCGCAAGCTGAACTAGTCATTCAGCCAGCCATGCAGATGCATGTGCGCATAGAATGAGACGTGGGCAGGGAATAGGCGTACTACAGATTGCAGTGAACAGAGACTACCTGATTCCTGTTGGGAGGCAACGCTGTCGATGTAGTCGACACATGACTGAGGATGCTGAGCGGCCCCTGCTGCAGTTTCTACAAGGTTGCTGCATATTGGGGCGAGGAATGGAGTGGAAGGGTCGCTGCAGTGCAGATAAGTTCGAGGAAAGACCCGGGAAATGGTGCCTGGAAATGGCCCCTGGAAATAAAAGATAATGTCGGCCAAGCAGTTGGGGGCCAGCTAGCGCAGCTGCTGTGGAATAGAGGGCTTGGAATTGGGGCTTTGGACCCCGGATGCAGCGGATCATGTGTTGCGGGAATGGCGAGAATAGAAGCAGCCCGGGGGCGAAAAGGAAAGCGAGGGGGGGCCATTCACCTGCACGTTGTTGATATGATAAGATAGTACAAGCAAAGGACCATCTTCGGGTGAGGGTCAATCGTCTAGGATCATATATTTGACATGGCCACGATGCTGAGGGAGTGTAGGGCATAACCTGACGGCGATCCGATATCAATGTCAAAATCCAAGCACTCGGGAGTCAAAGTTTGAACTACAGCCTAGACAGCCATGCGTGTTCTCTTCCGGGCAGCCCCACTGATCACCGTTTGTACTCGTAGACTCGGGTGTCTGACATGCATGTCTTCATTCATGTGCACCCGCTCTGAGTTTTGCATCATTTTTCACCTGCGAACCTGCAGGGCGGCTTCATCACCGGTTGCAGGCTGTTGTGTCCCCCACGGTGTTCTAAAATCGGCACCTGCAAGGCCCTCTGCAGCCGGGTGGCCAAGCGAGGATGTGGTATCCAGCATCGACCTGCTGTTCCAAATGACTCAGCTTCTTGCTTGCGTATCTTGAGTGCACGACACGAGCAAGGACGAGCCATCATCGGTTTACATCAACCTGCATCGGCGAAGCATCGCGATATCGCGATCCGCCGCCGTCTCGGCTCTGTTCTCCCTCCGCCCGCCTGCGCGTATCGGTGCTCTCTCGTTCCTCATACACCTCCGTAGGACCAAAGTTCGTCCACCCCTTGCTCCCCGAGTCAAGTCAAGCCCCACTAATAACCCTCCGCCATGCTGCCGGCCACGCAGCCGAAGACCCGATCCTTCCGGCGGCTCGTGCGGCGGGCCGGCCCCGACCTCACCTCATGGGTCGCTCCCTTGCCCAGCTCTCAGGTGTCCACACATGGAAGCAGACGACCCGTAGCTGCGCTTGTATGGCATCGCAGAGTCGGGAAACAGTGCGTTCCGATGAAGGCAACTGCCGCGCCTGACACGCAAACTGGATTCACTTGATCAGCTTGTCTCCCGGGGTACGTATTCTAGAAGTCGGTTCGTCCGTGTACTATGCATGCACCGATTTAGTCAAGCAGTTCTAAAGAGTCATGTCTTGTCACCTGCATGCCTCTTGCCACCCCATCGATTCTCACCGCATTTTTCCATGAGTGCTGCTCTTATTAAGTCCCACTGTACGTTCCAACTTCCAACTTGTAGTAAGTGCCCGGTCTGACACACCCAGCCTGCCGTGTGCCACCCTGGGCTCGGGGATTGTCTTGTCTCCGGACTACCCAGGGACACGATAATCAAGTCCATGTGTTCCAAAGTACACGGGTAGCCCGCTGTGACAATACCATAATCTCAGCAGCAGTATCCGAGGGCTGAGGTCTGAATTGTACATACTGGTCGACGAATGATGATATCTACTCAGGTATATTTGCCTAGGTAACGACAAACAGGTGAGGCCATGTGCCATATTTCTGCTGTCTTCACTTCCTCGCCGTATAGAACTCAGCCAGATGCTCTGGCTCTCTCTCCTTCACTCGTGTTGCTATCCCGAAGTCCCACTTGTTGGCGTCTACCAAGTTTATCCTGGGCATCGTAGAATCTCCAAGACAGCTCTCTCTTAGCCCGACGCATGGCTTGCATCGTCAAGCCAGGCAAAGTAGTGAATCGCCACCAGGGATGATAGAATGCCTGCAGTGTCAAGGAACTCAACACGTGATAACACCCGCATAGATAGCAGTGATTCGGAGGTGCTCATTGGCCAAATTAATTCAGGGCCCGAAGCATCAACAGTGATCGCATCGATCGTTGGTGGTGAATGGTTGGTTGCGTGTGCACAATATTGAGCAGTGATGGACAGGGTGAAGCTCCTCAATTTCAGGTGGTCTCATTTCTATTCCCCATACATATAAAACGTATCGGCCTTCATACAGTGGTAAATGCTCAACTCCTCGGCTTTAATAACCCATGTTCTTCAGCCACGAGCTATCAATATTATCCCAGGGATATTTCACTGAGCTTTGCAGGCACGCAGACGGCGCTCACAGCGACTGTTGGGGAACATAGGGTAGTAAAAATTAAGTCACTCAACACATTTCGAAATCTCCCTGCATGCATTCCTGCATAAGAGCCATTACTGAGAGTATAATTCTTGAAAGGGTTGTTCCGTAAGCTTGTACATACAACCCCTCCAGGGAGTATATTCCAAATTAATTTCTCCTTCTCATTAGTGGTCCATGGGATGTCCTCAGCCAGTCTGGTTGAGCTGGCTTATAGTTTGTCATAATGGCTTTAAAGGATTCTTTTACCAACCAAGGACACACAACATGTCATAGGAGACATTATTGCGTTTTACAGTTCTTGTTTTCTCAGGTGCTTACAGATCTCCCAGACATTAACTACCGAGAATTAGCATGTGCTTGACCGGGCATAGTAACATGCAGAATTAGGCAACCAGTCAAGTGTAAGCCCTGCAGGTGCTGTTTCCGAGAAGGTCTCATTCTTCAAACACCGAGGGAAATTAAAAGCAACCACGTCACCAAGTTGGCACCCAGCCGCTTCCTGAACTCCACTACATAGGAGCCCGGGGAGAGGCTAGGAGTTCCAGGCCCACGTGTTCCCCGCTCCGAGCGGTCAGTGACAGTTGTGATCAATGCTTATCCTAGGTTTCGGATTGAATAGGGGAACGAATGGGGATTTGTAATCGGACAGCGGGCGCGGCACGGACTTAAGGTCGGATGGCATCCGCAAGCATCATTTGAAATCAAATGCCGATCTAAGTCGTGAGTTAAATATAAATACGACCGAGGCATGGAGTCAAATCTGAACGTGCCAGACATGAATACTGTTCATCCACAGTTTCCATAATAGACATTACGCCTGACTCGGACTACTGCAAACTTTAATTTTCAGCAAGATCGTCTTGGATTTTGGCTGGTCAAAATGGCACAAAGTCAACATCCCATCATCGTGCTTGGCGCCGCAAATGTACCTCGTCCCAAAACAAATGCTTGTTGACTCTGAGACTGACCGACGGAAACGATCAGGTTGGCGACGCCAAGGCGGACAAGTTGGTTAAATATGATACCCCTGAAGAAGTCAAAGCCTTCCTCGATACCTTCTATGAGCGGGGTGGGCGCCATCTCGACACATCCCGTAATTACTCGCCTGGAGCACCAGGCTCGTCCGAGCCCCGTCTCGCAGCAGCAGACGCCGGGTCCCGCTTCAATATTGACACAAAGGTTCTCGGAATTCCTGGTAGTGGGCCCTTCCACACTGCTCGGCAGATCAAGGAAAGCATTGATGCTTCCGTCGCGGACCTCAAGCTACCGGAGGGCGCCAAGATTGACATCATGTACCTGCATGTGCCTGACCGTGAGACGCCGTTCGAGGAGGCATGCGGAGCCATCAACGAGGCTCATCAGCAAGGCAAATTCAAGCGATTCGGGTTATCGAACTACACCTCCGACGAGGTTGAAAAGATAGTAGCCATTTGCAAGGACAAGGGCTACGTCGTCCCGACCGTCTACCAAGGGCAATACAACCCTCTGGTCCGGAGCGGGGAGGACACTCTGTTCCCAGTCTTGAGGAAGCATAATATCGCATTCTATGCGTACAGCCCGGCGGCCGCAGGTGTCTTCGTGGGGAATCAGAAGACAGCGCAGTCTGGCAGTCGGTTCGACAGCTCTGTGAGTGGCACCCTCCAATGTCTTTCTTCCCCCGCTGTTTTCACCGCTTTGTATATCTGTTGTCGTCATGTATATTCGGAGACTGACAATATTGTGGCAGCACCATGTTGGGCAGCTCTATGCAGGCTTCTACTCCAGGCCCAAGGTCGCAATTGCTGCGGACCATGCCAAGGAGGTAGCTGCCAAGCACAACATCAACGGCCACGCGGCTGCTCTCCGATGGACCACCTTCCACAGCATACTAGACCGGGCCAAGGGCGACGCGGTCATCATCGGCGCTTCCAGTGTTGCCCAGCTTTCTACAAACCTGGACATCATTGACCAAGGCCCGCTTCCACAAGAGCTGGCGGAGGTCCTCGATAACGTCTATGGACAGCTTGGGGACGAGGCCATCGAATATCACATGTAATGCATAGATGCATATGCTTGATTTGATCCGGATTACATAGCCAGGGACTCACATGGGTTTCATTCCTTCCACATTTTTGATACCATCTCTAGCTCGACATACGCATGTAGTCCAATAGCCAACGCATTGAGATTCAATCTGCGCAGGTAGTTCGATCTTTCACCTCAATTTCTTGACTAAAAAGTATCTATCTGCCTTTCGAATTTGAAAACTTCCCTATGCATACAAATACATGCGAATATGCGATGTAGTAAGATGCTTCCCCCAAGATGTCTCTAATCTGCAAGTTGAATGAGCTGGGATCACCATCTCGACTCTTTGAACTAGGCCCCAGGCTAACAAATAGCTCCTACTTGATCCATTCAACTTTGCCGAGAACGGATGCGACCATGGGGTCTGATTCTGTTCCATTGACTTCGCCTATAGAGCTTGTCAAAATCATGTTCTACCCGGCAGTACTTGCAATTAACTCACCGTAACGCAGACATTAATTCTGTCTCCCATCCAGGCACCAAACGTTCCGGACGAATCAGTTGGGTCAAACGATCGCTTCCAATTGTCAGGTATGCAGACCACTCTCGCAGGACGGCATCGCGCCATCGCGCGAAAGAATCCATCCGCTCGGCGTTGGAGGAAGCAAAATGCTGCCTGCTGAATATGACATCGAAATGACGCCGACCGATCCAGCCTCGAATGTTCTCGTGGTGTATAATCCATAAGGCCCTGGTCATCCCATCTGATAGGATGCCGCCGCTCCTTTGGTGATCCCACATATCCAGCGGGAGGTTGTTTCTGCGCCGAGTTATGCCCAGGAAAAGCTCGCCAGAAATGCGCAGGGCGTGAACTCCGCCGGATGATTCTATCGGCCCCGTTGGTACTTCGTGCTCCTCGAGGTTGCTCACAGAGAATAGGATGCAACCCAGTCGCTCAGGACCATACATAGTCACCCTGGGCATGTTTTCGCGATGGCCGCGATGGCCGCGATGGCCGCGATGGCCGCGACGGCCTCCGCTGAATGGGAATGTAAATGCCGGCATCACCAGATTAGATCAGATGAACCCTCTCGCCTTCCGGCAGACTACTTGAGGGTCCCACGGGGTGCCAGCAACGCCAATCCGCGTTCGCCGTCGAGGGATGAGAGGTTGGATAGGTTGCTGTAAGCGTCGGGATTTTAGTGGTGGCAGGCTGCAACGACAAGAAAATCTGGATTCAACCGAATTGGATGTCTCTTTCGATATCTTCTTTTTTTCCCGGGGGTTGGGGAGAGGATTAGGGAAGGTTTGTGAGGGTCGAATGTCAGGTTTTTAGACATTACTACTGCGTTGCGTTCCTTTTATATCGATAAAAATTCGTCCCTATTTCTTCTCTCAATTTTGTGTTTTCACTACCGGTGCAAGTTCTATGGCGGGCTCTGTCTAGGCTGTCCACCGCTTGTGATAGCGCCAGACGGACCCTCACCTGCACACATCCCAAGGCTCATGTCTACAAGTTTGGGAGTCGCATGATCATTGGCATGATAACTTATCCGAGCTCTACTTTACCACCGTGCAGTCCGACGAGTGCAATGGGATTTCTCGTTGTACTGTGATTCGACTTCGGCCTGGGCTCCGGCAATTCTTTTTTAAAAAAGAGAGGAAATTCGCGCACCCAAAATCAAAAGCTGCACACATTTCCTACTATTCAGCCAATCAAAGGACAGAGCCTTAAAATCTTTATAACTTCAACAAATACCTACTATATAATTTTAAGAAATATAAACAGGGTGGGTTGGTCCTCTAGGAATTTAGGTTGTGCCTACCGGCCCTATTTATAGCCTTTCGCTATACTTTACGCTTTACGGCTTGCCCCCTTCGCTCTAGCCGGCTCTTTCGTGGAAGAAGTCTTATATAAACTACTTACTTAGTTAGTTGACGGTGTGCGGCTTCTAATTTTAGATGTATAAATTTTTATTATCTTAAAAAAAATTAAATATTTAAGAGAATAAGTTAGTCTACTAACAACCCTAAATTAGTTAATGTGGGCGGCTTAGATTCCGACCACCCTCTAATTCTAACTACCTACTTTTAGTGTAAACTATACTAAAATATACCTACTTTTTAAACTACTTTATTAAATTTAAATTAAATCTTATAATCTTAACTTTAAACTTTATAAATAGTTAATTAATTATATTTTTATATAAAAATACTAAATAAATATTTAAGTAGTAATATTACTTTAAAAAGAATTTTTAAACTTAAAAGTTTAAAAATATTAAGAATTATTAATAAAATATTAAAAGTTTATAATTAAGTTAATATTAAATTTTATTATATAAATATTAATAATAAAATTATAAGAAAATTTATTCTTATATTATAAATATTATATAATTATATATTAAGTTACTTTTATTAGTATAATTTTATTCCTTATAAAATAAATATATTAATAGGTTTTTAAGAAAACTTTTATAGGAAAAGTAAAGATTTTAATTTTTAAAAATATTATTAATACTTTTAAGTAAAACTCTTATATATTTAAATAATAATAGTATTAATTAAGGTTTTTAAAAGAAAGTAAAGTTATAACTAATTTATTTAATTAGTTATAATTAAAATAAGTTTATAATAAGAAATATTAGTACTAATATATAAAATTCTATATATTTCTTAATATTTTAAAATATTTTAACTTTAAAACTTTTTTTAAATATATTAAAATATAAAAATAAACTTTTAAATATTTTTATATAATATTAAAGTTAAAATGCTATTTTTAAAATTTAGGTTTATAGTTATAGAATTTTATTTAGATTTAATAAGGTGGGGTAGAAAAGCAGGAGTTTATATAGAAAAGGCGGTCGGAATCGGGGGGTGGTCGGAATCTGGGCCGCCCACGTTACTTAAGTAGTGCTATAAGACCACCTAGGCAATACCCTATGGAAACCTTAGAACCCTCCAGATTATAACAGAGCAAAATCGAAAGTTTTGTCCAGCAATACTGTTGACGCATGAAAGACTGTCTTATTGGATTATTTTCATTAGAAGGTACGCGTGTTGTGCAGCCTACGGCTCCGACCGTGGCAAGATCTAGTGGAAATGAGCCATAGCTACTTGCGATATTAAATATTTCGAAAGCTAAAACCACCCAACAGGTTCTCCAGGTACCCCTAGGTCTCACTCGTGATTCAAGTAACGTGGTTTTGAGATAAGGAATGTGTGGTGACTGGCAAGAAGACGTGAGATGACACGGCAGACCCAGAATTAAGTGCCTAGGTAACTTCAAATGCCGATGCCATTTTTGTCAAGGTCAACCATTCTCTATTCTGGTGAAATTTGTTAGCGTCAAGTTTGTCTTACACCCTAGGGTAACTTCGATACTGAAAATTCGTGGAGTGGGAGGCCGGCGTACCTGTGTCGGTGTCACTCAAAATAGTCGCACTGGTCCCATTTTGCGGGAATGTTTGGTTGCCAGTTGTTGGGGGCAAAATTCCGCCGTTGACTTGTGAGTCAGGGTCTAGCTCAGGAAAGATATCGCTGTCAGCTGCGCCTGTCTCAGTCGCCGGGGCATCTGCAGTAGGCGTAGGCGTAGGCGTAGCAATCTCCCCGACGCTCGAGCTTGTCGGGGTGTGTGGGAACGTGTTTGCCGTCGCAGTCCTGTGGACTGGGAAGAAGCCGGTGGTACCATTAGCTGGTTGCAAAGGGCCCCCGGTTCCAGTAGCCAGGGCTATGCTGCGAGTGATGGTCCGCGTCGATGTTGATACCGTTGTGGTTAGAGTAACGTTCAGAGAAGGCGATCCGTTTCCGACACTGGGAAATAGCGGCTTGTCCTTCTGGATGCAGCCAACGTCATAGTACTTGACATCACTGTGTCGGTCCTCGTCGAAGTTTTCGGCGAGAGACAAGTCGAATAGCATGCAGGCTTGGTCGCTGAAGCCAAAGCTCTCGCAGCGATCACTGCTGGCACATCGGGCGGAGCAACCCGAATATGATGCCAGTTTCTTGCTCTCGCTCCAAAAGTAATTTCCCCTGTCCCGGTCATAGCCGTTCACACCACAGACATCAGCACGGCGGTTCAAGGTCACAAGCGGCATCCAGTGTGGCAATAGGCCGGCCAGTGCGGTTGTAGGAGCAAGAGAAACCAACAAGAAAGAAATCTGGGTCAACATGGTCTCGTCAAGAGAATGAAAGAATAAAGTGAGTGTTAATAAATGACAGTCTTTCGAAACGAAAGCAAAGAATGGATGGTTGAGCTACACAGAACCGGAAAACAGTCTCTGAGCACCTTTGCTTCTCTTTTTGTGCAGCTGGCTTTTCTTATACAAGACTGCCCTACCAATATTCCCTTCTCAACGCCTCGTAAGCTATGAGCGGAATCCCCAACTGCCGTCCGAACCTCAGTGCTGGCCCGAGTTAGTCCCTGCGGCGCTGAGTATTAGCAAACGCCTCCCGCTGTGCCTCTTGAGCGTCTTCGGCAAAGATCAGGAGAAAACCACCAGGCCAATGCGTGTTTTCATCCGAGTGTTGCAGTGATGCGGGATCCCGACGGTCCGCCCGTCGACGGCGTGCTGAGTGCCCGGACTCTAAGGCAGGGGTAATGACATTGTACCCTTAGCCCAAACAGATTCATACGCAATTGCCGACACTAAATAGTAGATCGCCAGTGCTAACACGTGCCCTAGCCACTTAGCAAAACCTCCACGCCATGATTCCAAAATGGCCCAAGCAAAGGGCACATGCAGTAGTGGCAGCAAGTACGCCTTGGCCCGGACATACTAGTAGGTTTCTTCGGATTGTAGTTGATTTCCGCAGATTCGCGGGAGACTGGATGAGTATGTAAATACATTATTCTCTGTAGTGCTGTGTCATTTTGGCACCTGAAAAGCTCGTGGTTCCATTCGAGGTTTGATAAACCTTCTTGTCCTGCTTGCCTGCTCTTTGCCGTAGGGTAATGAGTTGCTTGTTGTTTCGTCCTTGGACTCCTCGAGTCTGTGTCACTCTATCCCATAGGCTTCTCCGAGCTGTCAATGATCAAGTGGCTGTTCGGCTAGGCTAGCCACTCCCTCCGCCACGCCGGCTGGACACGACCTCGGCGTCTCGGGGCTAGCGAGTGCCATGCTGCCAGGCCAGAAGATGTACGGAGGTACCTGGATAGGTCATTCTTGCCCAGGTGGCTTCGGCGTCGAGTCGACGGCTTTCCTTCCGAAGTCCGGCTGCTCCTTAGCGCCCGCAGTTGGAGTGGAACCGAGCCTTGTCCTAATGTGATCTCGACAGCCTGACCCAGGCGTGAACCCCACAGAAACCTGATCTCAGCTGGACATGTCAATCTTGGCGGCCGAGGAGTACTCCGTAGTCCACAATCACCAAAGGTGACGGGATATTCAAATATTTACCAACACAATATCCCGCCAAATCCCCCGAATCAAGGAGATGTCGATGATACAGGATGTACAGGGGATTATGAAGGGTGTGTCTTGTGGTCGTCTCTGAAGCACTCGCTCCACTGATCCTCTCCGAGATTCCCCATCGGCGGGCCCTTTGCCTCCACTTATTTGATTGTGGGCGGATTGCGACGATTTCATCGGGCCCGTGCTCGGTCGCGATGCTGGTGGACTATATACAGATTATCACTCACCCACGTGGGTTCAAAATGTCACCTGCTCTTTCAAGCCAAGTTTTAAAGCCTAAGACATGCCATTTTCAGGGACCGGTCTGCTTGTCAGGCTGAGTGTCATTTTCTTTGCCAGGTACTGACGAGCGGCATGATTGTTTCATTTTACTAGGGAGACAAGCTGCCAACTCTGGGATTGTGGGCGAGTCATGGTTCCGGTGACGTGAAGAAACCTGTGGGTTCTAAGGGGTTGGCATACCCACATGCCGAAGCAACCTTGGACGAGGTTAAACTTAACCGCGAGCGATCTTCGTTCCTCCAATATCAAACCTTGGCCTCTAGGGCTCCTTCATACTGTTAGCCGCGAACGAGGGTCTGGCACCTTCGGCTCGCCTCGGCCAAGATAGCCGCGGACCGGTCAATCAGTGGTGATCACGCCTGCTGGGCGGCGGTGCCGACAGTGCCACTCCTTCATCAACAGCGAGGTGGAAGAATTTTTCATCACGTCTCTCGGAGAACCCAATCACTCCGATCTCTCGCGTTCGGGTTCCAGCACACGGGGCTGTCCACCCAAACGGCTGTCAATATCGCTCCCAGGCTGTCTGTGGCGGAGACCTCACCCAGTTACCGGGGACAAACCCGGGGCCCTCCTGAGTCGCACATGCGCGCCTCCGGGATGCGCCGTCAGCAACATATTGGTCTCGTGGGCTCTGGGGTCCTGTGCTGCGCTTCTATTGACGTTGATCTCTGGGGCGCAATGCCGCAGACTCCGGGCGGTGCTTGCGCATGAATATAATCGGCCTCCCCACAGGCAGTGGCACGTCGTTCACGCGGCAGCCCAGAGCTCTCATCCCTGAAACAATAAAGAACAGTTCAATGGTACCCTGCGGCTCAGGGGCCACCAGGCACCATCCTCCCGGCATGTTGACTCGCGGCCGCGCGCAACACGAAAATAGGGCCTGTTTCAAACGCAAGGCGCCAAGTGCTGGAATTCCAAAGCTGCCCCAGAAGAAAGCCCGCCAAACTGCTTAAGCGAGTTTACCACGCCTGTGGGACTGGATAAGGGCCCTGGGAAAGGCCGTGGAAAAAAGGCTTTGACGTCAATATCTCCGTGGGGCTGGGGTCTCGTTTGGTATGTGCTCGCCGATGCAAAGACTGGGGTGATCCTATGGATTGTATTTCGGACGATTGCCCACGTTCCCGTCACCGTCCCCAGGATCCAGATGTCTCCCGAGCCCTCGTCCCATCTGACCCTCTTGCCATTTTCAACTCCAAGCCCATTTTATTCGCCCTCAACCGTTTAGCGGTACCGCGCGCTCGTTTCTAGTCCACTGTTGGGTCGCCCTGATGTTTATGCGGAGGAGGGAGAAGCTGGAACCGAGAGATTCACGGGTGGAGATAGGCTCACCACATGTGCAGGCTTCTCAGAAGTCGACCCTTCTCAGCCACCGCGCCGCAAGCCGCCCAGCCCACACGTCAGAACGCATTGGCAAAGTCGACTCGTATGAAAGAGGTGGAGCAGCCTGGCGATAGCAACCAAGGACGATGAGGCTCGATACGTTACCGTCGACGATTATTTTCTATGTCCTTCTTCTCACCACACCGACACATGCCTCTGTCGACGTCGACTTCTCGGCATATCCCGCCTCGGCACAGTCATGCCTTACACTAGCAGTCGATACCTCGGGTTGCTCCTCCGAGAGCACCGTTTCTGAGATGAATGACTGCCTCTGTGGCAACAGTGGTGACTTCGTCCTCGATTCGGCGAGGTGCCTAGGGAGTATCGGGAGTAGCGCCGGGACAATGAGCGAGGTCTACGATATCATGCAGGAATCTTGTTCAGAGACCAAGACACCACTGAGCGTATCGGAGGCCCAGTGGTTCGTGGAAGGAAAGAAGAACCAGGCTGTCACCAGCACTATCACAACAACAATAGGGACTATGGTGTTGACATACTCGACGACGATAACACCCACACCCACCACACCATCAACATATACCACAGCAACATCACACGCACAGAGCAACGACGACGATGACAACGCAGAGGACGACGATGAAAGTGAGCTGTCGCTAAGCGCCAAGATAGGAGTGATAACGTCCAGCATTGCTGGTGCAATGACGCTCGCATGTATCACATGCATGATTATTTTCTTCACAAAACGAAAGAAGGATAAGCTGCTGCTCGCCGAGGCACGCGCGGCGGCAGCACAAGCCCAAGCCAAAGACAAGGACCAGAATCGGGGCCTACTCAGCCCGGGCGCCGTCACGCCGGGATTGCCCAGCCCAGCGGGACCTGGAGGGGTGGTATCAGGGCACGAGGGACAAGTGTTTGGCGCAAGCGTCGTGCCGCCAACGCCGATATATACGGGCCCTGCAGAGGCCCAGGCCTGGAGAGGAGGCGACCGCGGCCTCACAGACTCCCCGAGCGAGCTCAACGGCGACAGTGCCGTGTTTCAACTATACGGCGACCAACCGCAACGAGACTTGTCAGCGTGGCCATCGCCACTCACGCTGCCTAGCAGAGGCTTCTCCCAGGGCCTGTCGAGAACCACGACGCTCCGCAGTGAGTCATCCTGGGCGCCGTCGCCAGCGTCCGCCTACGCCTCGTCGAACGCGCTCGGCATGTACAGCAACGGCACGGCTGGCGCATCGAGGTACGGCGCAGACTCGGTCGTCTCGTCGCCCATACTAGCGAGGCAAGGCACGAATACGTCGCGGACGAGCTGGGCCCACGACAGGCCGTACCAGGAGGAGCTGTACGAGCTGCCAGGTATGGAGGCTCGGAGTCCCGTAGAGGCGGACTCAAATCCTATAATGACGTTGCCGGAGAGCACAAACGATACTGCCGGGAGATCAACGCCGCCCGAGTATTCGTCCGGCGGGTGGGTAGACCCAAATACGGACAAACCGCCCCTTTGATGGAACGATCGTGGTCGACATCTCTGTGAGATAGACTCAGTGGATGTTATAATGAATGATACGCCTAGCCACGATAAATGTACTACTTTGTAATAACCTCGCCTGTTGTAAAGCAATGTTGTTTTATGTGTCGTGTTGTCCTAGGGTGTGTATCATTGTCACTGATTAGGGTTCCGAGAGAAGCCTCATGTGTGAGATGAATTCAGATGAGGTCAAAGTACCAGAGGATGTCAAGAGGCAATCAACAGCATTTTCCAATGGTGCGGCGATTTGCCTCTATATAGACAAGAAAGTCGCAGACCGCTTGAGTCGTAAAAGGCTATCTATCATTCGGAGTTTGTCAATCCTGGAGCTTGTTGGACAAATGCCAACAGAGATGCATGGACAGCTAACGTTATGAGGCTTCTTTGGTCACGGACTCTTTCGCAAACCTGATGTGGACCCATACTATATTTCGTCTTATGCTTTCTTAGTGTGCATCCATACAGCATAGCCCTATGAATTAATCAGAATAAGTTTAAACTAGTGCTTTCTAGTGTTCACTAAACTACCATTTCCCTACTGTTGAAGTGCCCTCTAGCACTGTCTGTTTGTACTAAGTAGAACTATACCAATTTTAAGCTTTGACAGAAACTAAAATAGAGTAAGGCCAGTACTAGCGCCATGGAAGCACTGGGTTTAATGTTGTTTCCAGGAAACCCTGTACAGTGTGTTTCGGGGGGAATAGAGAAGTCCTATAAGGCACATCTTATAAGGCGCCCCTCGTAGTTTCAAAACTAGTACTGCAGCGCTGCTAAGCCATTTTGGTCACGACTAATTGCAGTAGCTTCTGCCTTGTAAGACATTGAGGGGAATATGGGCGCGCGCTTTCGTCAATTCTAGTTACACTCCTGAAATGCTCACAGCCGAATGATCCGAGGAGTCCAGGTTGCTTTGATTTAGGGCGAATAGTGTGAATGTACAAGGCATCTGGAGCACTTGAACAAAACTCAAGCGGGAACCACTTCAACGTATTATTGAGAGATTGCTGCTAGAAACTTGGTTCAATATTAGCGGGATACCGTTGCATCCTCGTACATATCCTCCAAGGTTCCTAACGAGGAACGGCACGATTCTGCTGGGCAAGGTAAGAGTGGGTGGTAAAATCTTGTGGATAAGGTTTTGGAGGCCCAACTTAATTACGATCACGAGCAGCAGTTGTCAACTAGGCAGCGAAGTACACCCGAATCAATTATTGTGGAAAATCCTTACAGTCAGGCTATTCAAGCTGTGCTGGATCACAGCAAAATAATGGAGACTGATACGGATGGCAGCTATTTCCCAGGACTGGGCTATGGGTGCATCGTTGACGATGCTTTACAAAGGGATGAGAGATCATATACCTGTTCATAAAGCAACACGGGTGCTACTTGGCTTAACTACGTAGGAAGCCGGCCTCTGCAGCCTCGCCAAACACATTTCCATGAATTCGATCTTGTATGGGCTGCTGATAACGGGCCCTAATATGGGTGTTCTGCGGTTCTATATTTGTCCGAGGCTGCATGATGTTTGAGGTGGCCAAGACCGCGGGTCTTGCGCAGTTTCATGGGCAGACCCACCCAAATTGGGGCGACTGCAGGCGGTCCTTCTCCATACACAATTCTACGTTTGGTGTAAAGTACCTAGGTGGTTTCGGCCGACGCTCGAATCCTGGATTCTAGCACAACTAGTGTTCCCCCCTCCTTAATCTCCGCGCTCTCCGCGCGGAGCATGTTATCATGCGAAGGTGGACCAAAATGCTGTGTTGATAAGGCTCGGTTGAGCAGCCAGTACCACCTATATAAAGACAATAGAACACGTCTGTTTCTCTTACCTGTGGTGTCACTCGATCCACCTTCCCTTCCAATAAACGTTAAGAACACAGTAAAAGATATTTCTTTCGTCTTCTCATCATGAAGTTCACACTCTCTGCAGCCGCCGTCCTGGCCCTTGCTACTGGCGCTCTGTCTGCGGCAGTAGAAACGCGCCAAAGCGCGTCGTGTGGTGTTTACAAATCAGCAACCTCACTGCCTAACGATTCCGACTGGGGCGGGTTTGCCCTGTGCTGTGATTACTTGGGACCTAGCGGAGGCGACGTAAGTTTTCTGGGTGTTTCTAGTCTTCCTATGGAGGGCCCAAGGCACACACTAACACGTTCGCACGACAGGTTGCGGGACATTGCTGTGACCGAAACGGCGTCAACACTGGTAGCGGGGCACCGGCTTGCGAGTAATTCTAGGGTGACCTGGTTTTTACGTGCATATAGTGTCTTGAGCCATCGTGTTGTTCGAATTGTTCAAAACATGGTTTTCCGTTAAGAGTGTGATGGAGACATCAAAAGCGGTCCGCCGAATCACCTGTGAAAGCGATACCTCGGAGGTGTGGGATCAAAACCGGTTTAAATACTCGGAAGGAAATCGAATAAACACGAGATTCTGAAAAAGCAAACAGACCCCTACCCAGGTATAAGTGAAGTTGAGACACCGTTGAGAAAAGTTGCATTGGTATAGCGGCAATCGTTGGCAGGAATACTACGAGTGCGCACTATCTTCTTCGCACCACAAAGACACCGGCTGTGAACGAGGGAGAACTTCCAAGCGCATGCTTTTATCAATTTTTGACCGTGGCCACAAAATACTCTGATTCATCCAACAAAGACATGTGAGGCATGACGTTAGAGAAGCTGCAGGCAGCCGCATCAACTGATACCTGAATCCATAATGTGAGATAAGATAGCCAGGCCTCCAGAGAACACAGGCAGACACGTCCTCATAAGGGGCAGAGGTGACATGGTTTTCAGCGAAGTAGCTCGACACTTCTATGATCATTTATTGGTAGACCCCGACGTCCTCCTCTCCCGCCTTGCGGAGTGGTTGCTCGTTACTTCGCTTTTTGGTTTATTTTTTATTCGGGATTGATGAAACCTCTTCGCAGCGGCTCGATGTCTCGTGCTCGGGGATAAATTTCCCATGGCATATACACTTTGGGCTGTTGGCTCAGCTGAACCCGCGATAAGCTTGAAACCTGCGAAGGCGGATGTTGAGACTTGCAGCATCGCGGTTCGAATGCACATGGATCGACGAGCAACAAAAGTCTTTGGACTTTTGTAAAGCTATGTTCAATTTGCGGTGGCTCTGTATCTACTGTTCACTGAGCTATGGACGGGTTGAAGCCGCACTGTTACGCCAACCATAATTGGCTTCCAGCTGCTCCTGACGATTTACAGTGCCCACAATGGCACAAGGATCAATCCAACAACAACGGCCAATGATCCCAGACCACCCTTATACCATGTCCAGGCTGCTGCCGATGTCTGTGTAGGCTCAGCGCCCGAACTCGTTCCGTTTGTGCCACTGCTCGATGTTGCGTTCGCTGTGGCAGCTTGGATTTCATCCCAAAAGTCGCACATGCTGTAGTCCACGGTTCCTACTGTAAAGTCATCGCCGACTACGTTGACCCCGGCCGAGCCGGTTGAATTGTATCGAGGCCAATCGCTGCCCGGGTTCGCGTTTGTCGCCATGCTGTCCCAGGCGCCCAGCATCTTCGCCGCGAGGGCTACTTCTCCGGCAGACAGGCTGCAAGTTCCGTTCGGCTTCGGCATGTTACTCGTGCCGTTGAAGACAAACGGGATCTCGGCAGTGTGGGACGAAGCCAGTAGGCCAAGAGCATAGCTTGGGATGGAACCGTACCACGCGCAGGTAAGGGTGTGATTGAAAGAGTACGTCCAGACTGGCACGCCGTCTTGGCTTGCCTTCTGGACGAACCGTCTCGTTGGGCATCTGAACTGGGCATGTGTCATGACAGCAGACATGGCTGCCAGAACGGGGCCACCAGGCGTGCCGGTATATTTCGACAACGGGTACGTCTCATTGACCCTCTGCGCCTGCGACCCGAACCTGTTTGTCAGGAAACCATCATAGTCCGTGGAGTTAAGTGTCAGAACGCTGGTCTGGTATCGGCTGAGAACGAACAAGGTGCCTTCGTCCGTGGTAGACCCTGCCACGGCAGGAACTTTGAGGCCTGCTTCGAGGGGCTGCGCGGGAACAACAGTGCCGTCGACTATTATTGTTGGTAATGATGATCCACTGACTGGGCCGCTGGATGACCTGATGACCGCGAAGGAACTTGCGCGAAGACAGGCCACATCGTCCAGACCACAACCCAAAGCTTTAATGAAGGTCTCTGTCACGTTTTGAACTTCGGATTTGGTCGACAGCCGACTGCCTGCCCCAGACTGCATGATAGCGGCGCTGATAAGTGAAGGGGCTTGCGGTAGACTGCTAATGATGAACGTGTCGGCGGCACCTGCTGACTGCCCAAACAACAGCACCTTCTTCGAGTCCCCACCAAACGCTCCAATGTTCTCCTGGACCCACTGCAGTCCAAGGAGCTGGTCCTGGATACCCTGATTACCTTGAAGCCCAAGGCTGTCTAGTGCGAGGAAGCCGAAAGGGCCGACACGGTAAGCAATGGACACCTGGATCACTTTCTCACTGGCCGTGCAGCCGTCATATGTTGGGTTCGAGATGCCGCCAGCCGCGTTACCTCCTCCGTAGAGCCACACCTTCACTGGCAATTTCGAGTCTGGCGTGGCGTCGGCCGGAGCCCAGACATTGATGAAGAGGCTGCAGATGCGAATTAGTCTCGCATAGGAAGTATCCGGCGAGGGAAGGGACCCTACCAGTCTTCTGACTGTGGCCCTGGATCAGAAAAGGCCACATTGAATTGCATACAAGCAGGTGGTGGCTCCGTTGCCTGAACATTCTCGTAGGTCTCGTTCCATAACTGAGGTGGAGCGAAACGCAGGTCGCCCACAGGAGGCTGGGCGTAGGGGATGCCCAGGAACGCGTTCACATTATTGGAAGGGCATCTGGCCCCTTGCAGTGTACCGTTGGTGGTCTTGATAGTCGGTGTATCCTGCGCGGTCACGACGGTAGCTCGGCCGGCGAGGATTGCAAGGACTGCTGCCGTCCTCATCTTGTGTTTGAATAAAGTAATTATGCAACGGCCTGTAGTCGCGAAGTGGGACAGAGAGAACGAACTCGTCCTTTGGGCTGAATATATAACTAACACGGCAGTGAGAACGACAAGAGCTGTATCCCGGATGCAGTCAGGCCGCTTGTACGTGCCCGGTGGTCAACTGTTGTGGGTAACCCTTGTTATGTATACGAGCCCTCGAATGAATAGTATAATGGCTTGGCTGAGCAAGACCTCTGTCATGGTTGCTCGATGGCAAGCGCTGGGAGACGATCAAGCTCGAGGCATCATCGCTCCAACAAAGTATGTGATATGTCGTCGAAGCAATCCATGACAAAGCAGTGTTCTGGGTGTGTGAGGGTCCGAGATGAAGGGGGGTAGTTGCGATTGGCTCCACGGATCCAAGAGGATGCTAGAGCTATGCAGCATCAGGAGCTAGACAGGGAACTGTAGAACCCGAGTTCTGCGGTAGGGCCGCAATGTTTTAGCTGCGTGCCCTAGCACTAGGGTAGCCGAGCGCGGTGACATCCCGGCTTTTCTGGCAGGATGTAGCCTGCCTGCGCGAATTGTGTCTCGCGAAAAAGAAACCGATCCCGAGGGAGGAAGCGCCTAAATCCCATAGTCAGTTGCGGACCAGCTTCGCATCAGAATCCTGGTTCCTTCGCTCGCTCACGATCTGGTGGGGCACAGGTTCTAATCTTCTTTCGATCCCCCTCTACTTGTACAGTATCTCTTAAAAAGGAAATGTTCTAGGTTTACCGGAGATTGCTTGTTGGAAAGGCAGGGTGATATCAGTGGACACTTGGGGAGCAGATGTTCCAAGCCGCATGCTCAAGCTTCGGGAACCCTGGGGGGGTTCTTATACCGAGGACCTATAGGGCAAGCATCAGCTTGGGAGCTACCTACCTAGGCAGCTAACAGCAGCTGATCCCGGAAGGACATCCTAAAAGGGTGTTTCGTCACGAAGTCGTCCCAAGACCTTCGTCGTAAAGTAGGGACGACGAGCGAGTTGATCACTGTCAGGGTCTCATCTGAGCTTTTCTCCCCGACACCAAGTCCCCAACTACTGACCTCCGACTCCTCAACGACACATTCGAGTCAAGTCATCAGACGGGAAGCCAAGCTTGACACCTTGCAACATTGTCGACAGGGTGCGGCCTACACTACATGCTTCTTGTGTGCCTCGCTATCCCTGGGGGATTCTACAGTGTACTTGAATCTAGTCTGTTCTAGCAACCTCGGCTCAATCGGAAATCCCGGACACGGCTTGGTGTTTATGTTGATCGGCCGTCTAAGTGACCATCCACCAAGACGATCTCCGGGCTTGCAGTCGACCTCTCGGGATGTGTCTGGCCGGCCCTCCGCCTCTGTTGCAACCGCAAGAATTGTCTGCCACACAGAATGCCCAATCTGTCTATGATCCTGATTTGGGCGTTCTCGCTGTCTTAGAAAGGCGATTTTACTGCAAGGGTACATAGCTGCAAGCCACCGGAAGCAAGAAAGGGCTCGAATTCCAACACCAGTGCATTATTAGCATGTGACCCAGCTCAGAGCTACTCGTAACTTTCAGGTCCATGAATAACGTACCTAGGTAGGCGTTGTTCATGGATTTACATCAGGCAGCAACTGGTGCCCAAGCACCTCTCATCTTCATTCGATTTTTACCGACTCTTGCTACTTGAATGCATACGGCGCTCTTTCATCCGCTCTCATGTACCACCCCATCAAAAGCTTTCGCTACTCAGACTGCCACATTGTTCTGCGTCGAGGTAGTCTTTTCACCATCGCCATCATCAGAAGCGCTGCTTCCCTTCTCCTGGTCATACAGAACGCTGGAAGTAACCTTCAAGCGACCGGCAGCATCGTGCGTTGCGTCGAACTCGGCTAGCTCCTCGTTTGGTATCTTCTTGATCTCGTGGGTCTGCGCTCCATTGTCGAGCTTAATCACCACCTGCCGGAGCTGGTATCCCCTCCACTTAGGGATCAACTTGGCCCAGAACCAGTAGTAGACGCCGCAAGTAACGAGACTTGATGAGAGAGATTAGCCAGTCAGCTTGGCACGGTCAATATTGAAGCGGCTGGACGGTTTCATGCTTACATCGCGACGCCGGTAACAGCGTAAGTGGCATACCAGAAGCTCACGTCACCGGCATATTGGCCACCTTCGGGAGGGTACCACGGCATGACTAGGAGATAGAGCTGCACCAGGATGTTGAAAATGACCACGACGTGCCACGCCTTGAACTCGGGCTCCGGCAGGTTTGCACGCTTTCGTCGCCATCGCACCACGTACAGACCAACGCCCATCGCCACGTTGAAGGCGGCCGTCGGGAGGATCGCCAAGTCACTCACTGCGGACGGTTCAGCACATATTTGCGTTTGATCAAGGGCACAGAGACATGTCCGGAGACATGGACTCACCGAAGTTGAATGCATCACCCGAGGGCAACGCGAGGATCATCAGAGCAGTGAGAGCCCACTTGACAAAATAAGGCCCAATCGGTGTGCCGAATGGCTTGGTAGTGACCCAGAACTTGGTCCACGGAAGAACACCTTGTCTGCGAGCCCGGGTCCACTCATGTCAGATCGTTGTTGTGCAGTATCACATGCGACGAATTGCTGTGCTTACCTGCCACATTCCCTTATCATCCGCGATGAGCCCAAGAGGGCTGCAATAATATTCCCAAATGCGCTCAAGGCCACGAGGAAGTTAAGTCCACGAACGGCCCCGCTGTCTCCTAACACGCCTTTGAAGAACAAGGTGGCAACTGTGGTACCCGAGTTGACCAGGTCATACTTGGACACGGCGGAGAAGAACGCCACATTGGCAAACATATAGAGGACGTAGACTGTGAAGAGGGCCAGGAATGCATACTTGCGGAGTGACTTGACAGGATTCTGTGTGCAGAGATTAGTCATTGTGTCAAAGACTCGGCGGCAGGGCACCATACCTTGACTTCGTTTGCGACATTAAAGGCGTTGTTGTATCCTCCGTATGAAAAGATGATCCTGTAAAGCGCGTTGGTCAAGCCATAAGCCGTAGCGTTCTCAGTTCCTTGGAAGGCGTTTTTGAAATTCGCTGTCGGGTTCTCGATCTTGGTATTTCCACCCAAGACGACAAAGCCAGTGATGATGACGAAGAGTAAGGTGCAAATCTTGACGAGTCCAATCGCATTGGACAAGTAGTATGAATATTTCGTGTTGAAGGTCAAGGCTGTGCGGCGAGCCTGTCAGTTTACACCGGATCAAAGAACAGCGGCGAGAGGGACGTCTCACATAGGGTCGCAACAGTGTAGCCGGCCAACGCGACACCTTTCACCTGCCAGTCGGTACCCTTATGACCAGCAATGGCAAACAAGTAGTTAGATAATACTGCCAGCATGTGCGGTCAGCTGTGGTGAACTATGCCCAAGGTCTGCTACAGATGGTCCTACCAATGGCATTGCTGCTGGCAAACGAAAGTATGACATTTTGAACGGCAAAGGTTGTCGGGAAGAACCACATCGGACGAGGATAGGCCTGTTCTAGGAAGACCACTTCAGATCCGGAGCGGCTGGGGAAGTATGCGGTGAACTCGAGGTACACTGAGCCGGAGGCGATGCAGACCTGGTCGAAGAGACACATCAGCTTTGAATGACACTACCAGAAAGAACTGAGAGCCTTACCAAAAAGCCTATGGTCCAATAGATAAAGCTCAGACCAACCGACCCAGTTCCTGACAAGATGGCGGAGGCTGGAACAAAGTATGTTAGCGGACACCCGTGCAGGCTTATGCTCCAGTTGGTCACAAAGGCGTATCTTACGTGTCGAGTAGATTCCGGTGCCGATCATCATGCTGATGTTCAACAGCAGGATGGTAACAGGCCCAACAGCGTAGCCGAGGGGAGACTGGCTCTCAACCGGAGCACCGGATGCTTCCTGGTACGTCGCGCCCGCGTTGTTGCCTCCCTTCTCCCCGACATAGGTGATGCTGCCGTCGGAGATCTGGCTCGCGCTGTCCGCCGTGGCAACATCTGCGCCTTCTCGGCCGCTGAAAGGCTTCCTCCATGATACCATGGTGTCAGTAGCGACTGTGTAAGTATCTCTCAGACACAAAAGTACACACAGGCATAGACAAGTAGGGCATACGAGGGAGGGTTTGTTTAGGGGCTTGTAATCACTGACGTCGACAGCAGACGAAAAGCTGAGAAAGCCTGTTTCGCCTGCTCCATTATGGACCAAGATGGCTTCCCCTTATGAGGACTTGGCCGGATTGACCTTCGGGCCCATGCCATCTACATTTTGCCGCAGAAATCCCGATTCCAAGATAAATAGTCTTTGCCTATCTCCACTGTGCCGTACCAATATCTCAGAAATGGTTGCTATCAACCCAGGTAGGTTTGGCTTCATGCAGCCTGAGCAGCACGATAACAATGTCGGCATCCGCTGAGAGGATGATACAACTGCCCTGGTATGGTATCGGGGCTGCATAAGTGCACCAACCCCCCCTGGGCCGAGCACGCGATTCTCCCTCTCGGGGGCTGGCTGCATTGAGAGACGGAATAAACGCGGCAGGGTTTACACGTTACGGAGATAGAGTCTGTATGTATTCATGCACGGAATCGTCCCCAATGAGGGATTTCCGGATTCCCAGGGCATCCGGCGTGGCTATAAAAAGGACTTATCACTTGTTAAGTCGGGTGGGTTGCGCGGGATTCGCGCCGTCACGGCAGATCGCGTAGAAATGGTGAAATTCGGTTATTAGCTAACAGAACCTCAACCACGTCGCATCCTGGGATCAATGCCTCGGTGATGATAGGCCAGGGTCAAACATCTTATCGCGGTCCGTTCCGGACGTCTACCTTCTCCATGGGGATTAAGCTTTGATTGGTGGTCTCGAAAATACTTATTACGACCAGGCCGCGCACGCAAAGCCAGCATGAGCCTCTTTTATATTTCTGGCCTCCCCCTCGGCCCATTTGCCACTCAGGAGAGAGGGACTGAATTATTATGGTTTTTATAAGTCGAGTGGCACTTATGAATCATCATTTGGAAGGAGCTGTACCTCACTGTGCGTTCCACTTCACAAACATCATTAGGCATGGAGCAGTGAATCGGGCACTGGAGCTGGTGACTCCGAGTACTTCCCTCGTAAATGACTGGGCAGCAAGATTCGAGATTAAGTATGAGAGTTGGGGTATTCACAGGGCAATAACTAGACAATTCAGGGCTGAATTCAAATTGTATAGGTCATAAGTACTTAAGTATAATCGTACAAGGAACGACAACTTGAATGTATATGACAGCCACTGTATGAAGGGGCCCTACGCAACCACGTTTACGACAGGCTGAATGTATTCACAGCTGGCTGCTGCGACCCTCTACCTACTTACAACTGAAGGAATGTTCCAACGAGATGAAATGCCCTGACAGCAATGTGCGACCAACCCCCGGACTCTTGCTTGAGATGCGTGTATACCGTTTTTGATGACAAACATACATCTGGTGGAAATATTTGACGAGGATAAGTTGAGGAGTAATGTCAACAAGATGAATATCCAACCATCTCTACAATGACAGCACTTGAGGGCCGGGCTCAAGTGACCGCATCCCCCCACACCGAGGACTTGCACACCAAGGAAGGACTCTAGCACCGGCCGGGCGGCAATCGACATCTCAGCATCTGGATATTAATGGAAGCCACCAGCAAGCCTTGCAAAGCCTGAGTGAGGGTACGCCTGTATACCGTGGCTGCATTGCCTCGCCTTGAGGCACGTGAAAACGTGCATTCGTGCCTGACCGTCGCTCGGTGCCTCGATACTACAATGTTGTCGCACCCAGCCGCTCAGGCAAGGCGGGCTAGCACAAAATCACGCCAGGGGGCAAAACATCAAATGGCAGCGGTGGTGGGATGTGGTAGTTATTCCATATCAATCCAGACATGCTATGCTGCCGCTTTACCACACACACACACACACACACACACACACACCTAACTAGACGAGATGATCCTCTCGAGCTCCTCGGGGTCCTTAACAACACTCGTAAAATTCTCACACCCATCCTTGGTAATAAGCACATTATCCTCGATCCGCACGCCCCCGACGTCCCAGTACCTCTCCAACACCCCCGCGTCGATGTACTTGCTCGTGGCCGGGTCCTTCAGCGCCGGGTCGATGATGAACTTGCAAAAGTAGATGCCGGGCTCGACGGTGATGACGCTGCCGGCGGGGAGGGTGCCCCGCTTCCGCAGGTAGCGGAACATGGGGTCCGGGTCGGCGTAGTCCGGGTCGCCGCCCGTGTCGTGCGTGTCCATGCCCATGTAGTGGCCCAGGCCGTGCGGGAAGAAGGCGACGCTCGCCTTGCTGGCGAAGATCTCGTCCCTGCCGCCGCCCTTGAGGATGCCCAGGGCCAGGAGGCCGTCGATGGCGACGCGGTGGGCGTTGGCGTGGACGTCGTCCCAGCTGACGCCCTCGCGCAGCATGGCGATGCTCTCGAGCTGCATCTTGAGGACGATGTCGTAGATGGCGCGGCTCTCTCGGGTGAACTTGCCGCCGATGGGGAAGGTGCGGGTGATGTCGGAGGCGTAGCAGGCGACCTCGCAGCCGGCGTCGAGGAGGAGGTTCAGCTTGCCGGCCAGGGGCTGGTCGTTGCGCACGTAGTGCAGCGTTGCGGCGGAGCGGCCGCTGGCGACGATGGTGCTGTAGGCCTGGTTCTTGGAGCCGCGGGACACAAAGTGCGACAGCAGCACGGCCTCGAGCTCGGTCTCGTTGTGGGCGTGGCGGACCTTTTCCATGACGGCGCGGTGGGCGGCCGAGGAGATGTCGCTGGCCTTCTGGATCAGGGCGACCTCGTAGTCGGACTTGACGACGCGGGAGTACTCGATGGCCTCCTTGAGGACGGCCAGGTTCTTGTCCTCGAACTCGAGGAAGGTGATGTGGTCCGAGACCTGGCCCGGGATGGCGAAGACGGTCTTTGCGCTGTCCTTGGCCAGGCGGGCGAGGGTGGCGTTGACGTCGGTGGTGAGGGCGGCGTGGTGGACGTCGTACTGCTGGAGGGCATCGTCGGGGCTCAGCGGCAGGCCGGACCAAACGACAGACTCGGGGTCGACGGGCGGCACGAAGAGGGTGGCCTGGCCAGAGGCGATGTCGTAGGTGTAGTGGCAGTCGGGCAGGTCGCAGCCCGTCAGATAGTAGAAGTACCGCCGCTGCCGGAAGTGTTCCTCCTGGTCACAGTCCTCAATCATCCTCGTCTTGCCGCCCTCGAGATAGATGACGCCACTCGTTGCGCCGGGCAGTTTGGACTGGATGTACTCGGTGACCCGCTTGGCGTGGAGCGTCCCAGGGTACTTGCCCTTCAAGGTCTCCTCGTAGGGCGCCATCGCGACAGGCTGGGGCTGAGGTGTCGTTGTGGAAGGTCGGAAGAGGCGTGTTGTCGAGGTCGTGAATCGACGGCAGGGAGGTCTGAGACGTGACCAGGAGTCGCACGAGGAATATCGGCCAGCACTGTTGAGGACGATGAGACTGGCTACGGCCGGGAGGGTCGTGGGTGGTGTCGCTGCTCTCTTGTATGCTGCTGCAATGTGTGGCGATCGCAGGGCAACAAAGGGTCGCATGGAGGCAGGGCAGGTTGGATGTGCTCGGCTGGGGTAGGTACTTAGATAGAGCAATGATAACGCAACGGAGGGGTGGTTATCGTCGGGAGGAAGCAGACCACCAGACAGCAGAGAGAGCTGTCATTCGTGCCCCGCACTGGGAGCTCCCCGCTCCTGGCCTGCAGTTGATCGACACAGCCAGAACTCGGAGCCAGCCGAGGTTGGTTCAGGGTCCGTCCCAGTGTGGCCCCCTGCCTTGCTTCCTGCAGTTGGTATTTTCCATACTAGTAGATACATACCACTTATACCACACACAGCATGCACGCTGCAAATCATATAGAATTAAATCCCTGGGTGCCCATGGACGACCAACCACATGGGCAAGCTACCCCAGACGCTACAACCGAGAACTCACATGTCAAACAAATTACAGGATCTCATCCCCCTCCTATGCACGTTGACATTGATGGCTGCGTGTATATATGTGATTTGAGTAGGTAAGTACGTAAGTAGGTAGGTAGCTAGGTATATGCATGTATATGTAACAAGAATGCTGCTCGTGTGTCCCTCCGTGCCAATGCAAACATCATGCCGCCCCGAGTAGATGAGATGAGCACGAACAGATGACAGATGAACATGCCCAGGTCCAACAACAAACACCCCGTTAAGGCACACACAATAAAACATGAACCGTGACGCTTCGCTCCAAGAAGGCGGCCCCCAATGCAGTAATAGATGTGAGAAGATGACGATGACGATGACGATGACGGTCCTCCAATATGGTCGGTTATGTACTCCCCCCTCCTCCCACCCACCCATAGATCAATTATCATCCTTCGACCACCGCCTGGGGTGGCGGGTTCCTCGGCTTGGGCAGGTTCGCCAGGCTCAGGCCGGGTAGTGGCATCCTCCCAGCCTGCGGCCCTGGCCCTCCCCCGCCGCCGCCCGCGCCTATCCTGCTCAGGTCGGCCCCGTTCTTCATGTTGGTCCAGTGGTCCTGCAGCAGGCCCGCGCCCACCACGAGCTCAAAGCCGCACAGGAAGCAGAAGCTGATCTCGAGCCGCGCCAGCTCCACCTCGCTGACCCCGCCCACCTTGGCCACCTTGGCGTGCGGGTAGCTGAGGTCCTCGAGCGCCTTCATGGCCACCCTCAGCCCCGCCAACAGCAGCCGGTGCGCGTTCCTCTTGGTCACCGCCACCGCCCGCTCGTCCACCGCCAGCCGGTGGATGTACAGGCTCGTCGCCAGGTACACCGCCGTGCTCATGGGGCAGAACCGGTGGATCCGCAGCAGGTAGTCGCTGATGCCGATCGGCGGCGGCTTCTTGCTGTAAAACTTGCGCGTGATGGCATTGTGCTGCATGTTGAGCGGCTGGCTGTTGGCCCCGATCACCACGTACGGCTCCGGCGTCGACGACGGCGGCGGTGGCGGCACGAAGCTGCTGGGCTCGGGGCTGGGCGTCGGCCGGAGGCGCACCCCGTCGATGGGCTGTGGCGCCGGCGCGTGGAGGCCCGGCACCGAGAGGGCGGCCGTCCTGGTCGGCTTCGGGACGGCCAGCACGGGCCCCGCCGGGCTCTGCTGGGAAGAAGGCGGGGAGGTGGTGCCCTGGTGGTCGTCGGGCAGGGTGGCCGCCGGGCCGGGGGTGTGGCCGGCGTCCTGGACATGGCGGGCCAGCTCCAGCTCCTGGTCGCGCAGGCGGGCCAGGCTGTTCTCGGAGTAGTTGCGCACGATGCTCTCCTTCTCGGCCTGCATGCTCCTCATGTTGGGGATGTGGGGCGTTATGGGAGGGGGCGTGGGCGGGATGTCGCCGGTGATGCGCACGAGCGCCTCGACGCCGGAGCTGAGCAGCTTGAGGGCGGCCAGTGCCGGGACCTTGAAGATGTCATCGGGCTGTGCGTTGAGCTGCGGTGAGGTGATGGGCTGCAGGTCGAGGCGGGGCGGCTGGATGACCAGGACGGGGTCGGTCGAGGGCTTGGGCGGCGGCGGAGGGGACTGCGGGACGGAGCTGCCGCTGGACTCGTGATCGTGCTCGTGGTTGGGTGGTGCCCCGCCGTCCTGCGGGTTTGGCGACATGGCTGATATCCTGTCCTTCTTCTTCTTGTTGTTCCTCCTCTGCGGCCGTGTTATCGAGTCGGCAAAGGCCGGCAACAAACGCGCAGCTTTTATCTCAGTCGACCGGGGGCAGCGACAGCGAAGTGGGCCACCTTTTCTTCTTGTATATATATCTTGTCCGAGCGGGTTGGAATACGGTGTTGGACGTGGTCTAGATCGTGGCGAGGGCTTCCGTGTTGTCCAGCGCTAAGCTGTCCCACCTTTCCTTCCGTCTCCTCTCCCTTCCTTTTTTTCTGTCTGTCTGTCTTTCTTGCCCTCGTCTCCTCCTTGGCTCGTCTGCCAGGCTGCCAGCTGATAACCCTGTGACCTTGTTGCCGAGGCTCGTGGATCGAACTGTCCAGTCGTGGTGGAATAGTCTCGTCGAGGGGTACCGTGGGCACAAAATCAAAGTGGCGTGTCGTGTATGGTGGTGAACTAGGAGGGCCAGGGCGGTTGGTCTCTTTTCCTGCTTCGTGATAAATATATCGAAGCAGGACTGCTCATGGTCTCGTGGTTCTGTCGATGTCGCCCGTCCTTTGATCTACCGACCGCTTTTGCCTTGTGGATTGGCGAAACTGTGTTTTGCAGTCAGGGTTCCAAGGTTGGTTGGACGCGGCGAGGAGATTGAAGCCAGGGCATTAATTGAAAGAAGAAGAAAAAAAAGAGGTCGAGGGGTCACGAAGACACGAGAGAGACTCGAGAGAGAGACAAGGCCTAGTGGAGTCGAGACCCTGATTGTTTGGGATGGACTGGAAAAACGAAGCCGAGGCGGGACCAGGGCAGGGGGCCAGAGCCAGGCCCAGACACAGGCGCAGGTGCAGGTGCAGGTGCAGGTGCAGGGCTGTGGTCGTGGTTGTGGACGAGTGGAGGCAGTTGCAGTTTTGCAGTTTGCCGTCGCACCTGATGCCGTATCTGGGAGTACTAGATTTGGTGGGGTGGGGGTTGGGAAGGTGCATGTGGGTTGTGGGATAGTGTGGGCAAGTGTGGGCAGGTGGGCAGGTGGCCAAGCCTTAGGGACCCGCCCGAGTCGGCCAAGTAACTTGAACAGAGGGCGAGAAGCCGAGTGTTTTGGTGGTACTACTAGTAATACTGGCAATGAGAATAAGAAAAATAAAAATGTAAAATATAAAATTCAAGAACGAGGATGAGGAGACAGACAGCAAGGTAATGGCAGGCAATGATCAAAACAGAAAGAGCCGAGGGACTACGGCTTACAGTACACACCTTCCCTGCTTTCCCTTTGTCCGCTCTGGACCTTGTAGTAGCCTACTTAGACTAAGTAGGTGCCCAGGTATCCCGGGCCACCACGGCAGCAGGTGCACTGTTGGACGGTGGACGGGAACGGTGGACGGGAACGGAGGAGGGCCGTCGACATCGACAGTAGCGGCTTAGAGGGGCAAATTGGCAATTTGACTTTGGCTGGCGTGATTAGGTGTGCACTTTATCAAAATGGTAGATCATCTCATTCAATGTACCATGGGCTGATAATTAAAACAACACGACAGACAGCACGACACTTGATCGGTGGTGCAACTTGCTGGGGCAGCGGAGCCGGGCTGCTGCAGCTCGATTATTGCGGCGAGGATCAAGGATGGTAATAATTGAGATTGAGTATCGACCGAGTACCTAGGTACTGCGTATGGGGTCAAGCATCGATGCATCGAGGACTAACACGACAGGCACGACAGCATTTAGGCTACACAAACCAGACATACTCGGTCTCTCCACGCGCCACAGTAAACACAACATGATATGGCCAGATGCGGTTCAAGCCCAGCTGGGTATAATAAGTCATCTTACTGATTGATCACTTTACGTTACTCAGTACGGAGCACAAGCTTGACCGCCCAGACAATCCCACAGGCTGACACCTGCCCCTCCTCCTCCGCTTCTCCTCCCCCCCCCCCCCCGCAATGCCCACGACTGGCCCAAGCTCCCTGCAGCTCCTCCTCACACCCTCTTGCCTCTCCCCTAATAACAAGTACCTGCTGTCACAGCAGAATGCAGACATGCAGCCAGAGCTGACCCGGCACCGGCAGACACCCGACCAGCCGACATGGAGACGCCAAAAGAGAAAAAAGCAACCCAAGCCACGCAGCCAGCCACACACCTGCAGCAGCGCTCACCCGCAGAGATCATCAGGTCTATTTCTTAGTCCTGATGCGGCTGCAGCCCCTGCAGCCTTGGGCCCGTGGGTGGCGACCCAAACAGCCCGGCCTGTCCAACGTTCAATGCTGCTCTGCGATAACAGCCGGCCCTGACATTGATGCCAGCGTGCTTGTGGTGCTGTTGCGGAATTTCCGGGATCCCACCTCGTGCTTTGTGTTAATTACCCGACAAGGGATATCTTGACTGAAGTAATTGGCTGCCCAGGTGGTGTCCAGCCTATGCAGTCACTGGCAGTGTGCTCGTTGTTGAGAGGTCCTCTTCAAGTCCTCCCTGAAGTGCTGATAAGACAGCTGTCGGGAGGCGTGTCGATCTTCTCGTGGTACTTATGCAGTCTTGTGCTGGCTATATACATACTAGCATATCAAGTAGCACGGCACCTGCTATACTGGTACCCAGGTAGCCTGCAAGGTAGAGGACATCCGGGTGCCCAGAAGTGAATCGGTCGAGCACAAATGGGATATCATCATTCTTTGCAATACAAGCTGGCCAGCAACACGCACACAGTCTGGCCCCCAGCATTCAAGTGCCAGCTCTGTCTACAGGTAGCTCCCAGGAATGCACCTCCGTGCTCAGCACGGCCACCTAGAAGCAGCACATGAGATGCTGTGCAAACTGGATACGATTTGGTCTATGGTGTGGCCACTCCGAGGGCCCCAACCACAAGCCTTACTACCGCATGTTCAGCGTGGCACAAGTCTCACTTACAGTTGCACACTGGCAGAGACAGACCGGGACCAGGGTAGAGTACATCTAGATCAGTTGATGAGATGTAACAACCACAGAATAAAACATGAACTCATTTTCCCTTCGTCACCACCACCACCACCACCACAACCACCCAACATTTGAACCTAGCACCCCTTGAGCACCTTGGCGTCGACGACCGCAGGCTGGCCGTTCTTGACGCTCTCGATGGCCTCCCTGAGCACGGCGTCCAGGTCTGCCGCGCTGTCGACCTTGGCCGCGTGCAGCTTGCCGCCCGCCGCCGCCTTGGCGATGCCCGAGTAGTCCGGCACCGGGTCGAACGAGATGTTGATCTCCTCGTTGGTCGCCTTGGACCCCAGCCCGTCAGGGTGCACCAGCAGGAGGGAGTTGCGCGGGGCGTTCCATCCTGTGTGTGTGGATAGACAGTTAGCAACATTCATCCATCTACCCTGATTCAGATGCCACCATCATCCATGATCCATGATGTATACCTCACCGCGTGAGGTTTGGGAGGAGGTTGGTTGAGAGGGAGAAGGAAAGGGAGGGAGAGAAATAAACAAGGAGAGAGACAGAAAGAAAGAAAGAACACAAAACTCACCCTTGTTGTTCAGCACAACAGTCAACACCGGGATGCCATACCTCTGCGCGATCCAGTACACGGACCCGGGCACGCTAAAGAGGTACGTGCCGTCGCCCACGATCTGCACCACGAACTTGCCCTTGCCGGGCCCGCCGTGCTCGACGTCCGTCGCCAGCTTGATGCCCAGCGTGCCGCCGCCCGACCAGCCGAGCCCGCCGCCGCCGCAGTTGATCCACGAGCCCGGGTCCTCGGGCTGCAGGTTGTCGTGCACAAACGCCGTGTTGGTCACCGCCTCGATCGCCCAGATCGTGTCCCGCGGGCACAGCTCCTTGAGCTTCTTGCACAGGTAGCCCGTGCCGAACTGCCCGTCGCCTGCTGGCACCGCCTTGGCGTCGATCTCCTTCAGCCGCTGCGCGTGGCTCTCCCGCAGGGCCTCGGCGCGGGCGCTGGCCTCGGGGCCCGAGAGGAGGGCCCTCGTGGGCTCGCTGGTCTGCAGGTGCGCGATCAGCTGGTCCACGGAGAGCAGGCTGTCGGCGCGGTACCGCTGCAGGGCGTCGATGTAGAAGACGGGCATCAGCTGCTTGAGCGGGTCGCAGTCGACGTGGAAGATGCGGGCGTCGGCGCGCGGCTTGCACCCCGTGGGGATCCACGGCACGTCGCAGTCCAGCACCAGGATCACGTCGGCGCTCTTGATGTAGTCCTCGCGGCCGAACCGCAGGCCCAGCCAGCCCGGGTGCGACGCCGGGAAGCACATGTCGCTGCCGCCCGTGTCCAGCACGCGCAGGCCCGGCACGGCGTCGGCCAGCGCTACCAGCCGCTCCGGAAACGCGTGGTTACGCCCGGCATAGCCCGTGATGACCAGCGGCTGCTTGGCGCCGGCCAGCGCCTCGGCGATGTCCTTGACGCCCCGCGGCGGCAGCCCGCCCAGCTCGACCGGCTCCCAGAACTTGGGGTCCACGCTGTAGGGCTCGATGTCCTCCTCCATGACCTCGCGGGCGCCGCACAGGTAGACGGGGCCCTGGGGCGCCGAGCGGGCGAACTGAAGAGCGCGGTTGACCATCTGCTTGACGTTCTTGCCCGTCTTGAGCTCGGCCGAGTAGCGGCAGTACTGCGAGACGATGGCCTTCTGGTCGGGCACGTCCTGCACCCAGTGGATGTACTCTGTGCGCGAGCCGCGCATCTCGCCCTCGATGGTGAAGGGCGACAGGCCCGCAAACAGCAGAATCGGCGCCCGGCCCGTGCTGGCGTTGTGCACGGCGGCGCCGAGGCCCTGGGTGCCGACGTCAACGTGCACGATGACGGCCTGCGGCTTGTTGGTCAGGCGGGCGTAGCCGTCTGCCATGGACATGGCCACCATCTGGATGTTTGTTATTGGTGGTCAGCATGACGGTGTACCTATTCAACTTCAAGATCAAAGTCACGACGACAACATACCTCGTTGGGACATGTGATGATCCTGGGGAAATTTGGGTTCTTCTCGCGCGAGCCCTTGACCATGGCCTCGATGATGCTGGGGTGGTCGGACCCCAGGTTGACAAAGACATGGCTGATGCCCGCCTCCCCGAGGGACTCGAAGAAGGCGAAGGATGTGGTGTACATGCCGGGCGGTGAGGCTGACGAGTGAAGGGCCCTGGATGAGGGTGAAGATGAGGATGTTGTTGTTGTTGTTGCTGTTGTTGGTCGTGGCAGCCGTGGTGATAGTGACGTCGTACTTGGGCCCCGCCTGTATGTGCTGTTCTCACAATTATTCACAGAGGTTCCTGCGGGCGAGGGCCTGGATATAGTAGCAGTAGCCAGTGACGACGAGAGCCTCAGATATTGTGAGTTTGAGGTTGGGTGTAAGTGTAAGTGTGAGTGTGAACGTAAGCGTGTCAGCGGCCCAAGTGCACAGCCGGTGTCGATGCCGTCCCGCGGGGCGTTCCTGGGGCCAGCATTGGCGGGCTCGGGGTTCGGCCGGAGGTGGTGGGCGCGAGGGCGTGCTCGGGATGGCAGGCCGGCATCGTGGTGCAGGAGGGACTGACTGGACCCTGCCCGCTGGCGGGCCCTGGCCAGCGTGCGTGTGGCCGACAGCGCTGCAGAGATGGCGCCAAGTGGCATAGAGTTTCCCCTGGCCGGGCTGGGGAGCGGGGTCCTGTGCAGCAGCATTCTTTGGTCTGGCAGGGCTGGCAGGGCTGGGCCAATTGCACGGCTGACAACCTTTGGGGGCGGGCCTGTCCCGGGCTGGCAGAGAGTGGTGGATATATCGGGCAAGAAAAGAGAGAAAATCAAGGTAGGGACGGCAATGGGTGGTGGTAGCTAGTGCCGTGGTGGTGCAGGGGGGCAGATCAACGATGTTAACCCCGGGTCTGTCTGTCCTGGGGTGACTTGACTATCACCCAAGTCAACGTCAACTTGTGGCGATGTGGTGTTGATGGTGGTGTGCAGTGTACAGTAGTACGGTACGCGGGTGGTCAACTTGACGCAGTAGAAAACCAGTCAGTCAATCAGGAGTCTCCATGGAATTCCAGGTCGTGTACGGAGGAAGGAGCCCAAGGGATTAACAGGAATGGCAGCAGCAAAGGGAGACGTCGAGCTAGCTCTTGAGGCTCGGCTTCCCCAGGTTTAAGCCACGCCATGGGCCACGACCAGCCGAGCCCGTGGAGAGCCCGTGGAGAGCCCTTGCAGCGATAGTTACATAACGGAATTATAATAGATAGTCTTCCTGCTGGCACGTACTACACGAGCATGCTCACGATGCCATCTCTTGCCGGCTTACTACTACTAGTACCACCTGCGTCTGGGCAGGGGATGCATCCATGTCTGGTACTACTTAGAACAGTTGAGGACTTGGAGGTTAGTGCTCACCAGCACAAACATCAACTCGTCACAATCCACGTTTAAAACACCTGTAAATACACATGTCTGCAGGGTCATCTCTCTTGACTGTCCTGCTCATTATTTACTCTGGTTTGCCCGTCGATACAATTACGGTTGACCGCATCTACGGTTGACGGATCCAGTTCGTGTTGTACATGCAGTCTGCCAGTCCAGGTTCCCCGCATCCGTCTATCGTGTGGGTGGTGGGTGGAGGCACTCCGTACCCAAGTACAGACTTACAGTACCGTACCCTAGCTTCTCGACCTCGTGGAAAATGCACAAGTAGAACAACCAATGGGGCAGCTGGCTCAACCTGTCATTCCTGTCACTTTCAGCCTCATAGATCGCACTGCCAACCTCTGCCCCGTTTTACATCACCAGTATACTAGTATAGCCTCAGTATGCCTCTCTGCCTTCTACCCCCCTTCCCCCCTGATGTATCTGGAGTTTCCGCTCTTGTGCCCCACCCGCCCCACTCTTCCACGGTTGAGACCGGTGCGGGGAATCGGAATCGGGGAATCGGGGAAAACTGCCCCTCTCTCCTCTCCGCCTGCCTTGTTGCCTTCCCGGCAAGCAATCATGTGCCACGCCTCCAACGTTTGAGGTCTCGCTTATCGTCGGGATGCCCTTCAAGTTTGTTTACCTCACCGACCAGGAACTTCGTGTCTGTTTTCTGTGTCCTCCAAGCCACCCGGCCACCCACTGATAGCTCACATGAGCCGCATGGCTCAGCTACTGACACCTCATCCGGAGGAACAGGGACCTCAGGCTGTCTTCCCTGCTCCACATCTAATCCTTATCTGGCCTCCCACATCCGGCACCACCTAGGACTGGTCTGTGTGCACTTGGTATGAACCACACTGGGCCCAGGATTACAACAATCAGTTGTGGTGAAAAATTGCCAATTCAAATTGTCCGGTCTCCCTGTGTGGCGGCCCTCTGGATTATTTAACTATTGTCAATGAACTCTCTCATACTACATCACAATAGACGGACACATAGTCTAACACTTGAGAACTTGGCCGTAATTCCTTATGACGAGAGCAGCGAACTACTACTCATCTCTTATGATGGCGATGCTTGCTTGTGTTGAATCGGGTGCTTTGACTGATTAGCAAATCACATACCTAGGTATCAAGCAGATGTCATTGTGCTTCCAAAACTTAACAGTTCCACATTTTTGGCACTGTCTGGGCGTACATTACCTTGGAGTCCAACCACACAATCCACCATGGCGCCCTGTAGAACAGACCACCAAAATTGAAACACAGCATGTCAAAAAGCTTCATTATGCATGCACATGTTAATGTCCCTGAACATCCTGAAATGAGCCCGCCCGAGTCAGAATGTACTTACTCGCCATTTAATGGGGAAGTCCCACTCCACCCCCGAGCCAGCCACGTCGGGCTTGCTTGGCTATCCTGGCCCCTTTTCGCTCATATCATGCTCGGTGCCTCTGTCAAACTTTAGTTGGGGATTGCCCTCTGAAGTGGATGCATACGAATAGATGAAAACTAAATGCCAACTCCGTAGACTCCGGTACTTTGAATGGCCCGATCAAGCGATCAGTCTGGAGCAAACCCGATTGTCCGAGTCCTCTCAGGGGCTTCTCTTGTGTTTATGATCCGAATTCATGTATTTATATATATCGTAGCATGCATTGCCCGCCATGGCGTAAACTGCGCACCCGTCTGACATTCTCTCCCAGTTGTGTGCAGAGGCAACAACAGCTTAACACCATAAGCCCGACACAAAATTCCAGATCTCCATCGAATCGCACCATCATGAGGTTCACACAGACTCTCGTTGCTGTCGCCATGGCTGCATGCTCGGTTTCGGCCCTTGCCGTCCCCGTGTCCGGAGGTTGGTCCTCTGGCCCAACGTCATGTCTTCTGTCCATGGCCACATTTCACTGACAAAGATGTAAGACCTCGTGGCTGAGCCCGCCAAGCGTGACGAGATGAATGTCGACTACATCTACGCAAAGAAGGACAAGAAGCGTGCAGATGAAAACCTTGACTACATCTACGCAAAGAAGGACAAGAAGAGGGCAGACGAGAACCTAGATTACATCTACGCAAAGAAGGACAAGAGGGCAGATGAGAGTCTTGACTACATATACGCAAAGAAGGACAAGAAGAGGGAAGGTGAGAATCTCGACTACATCTACGCAAAGTAGGAAAACAAGAACATGATGCCTGAAACGGATTGACTAAATTGGGCACAATCTGCTCGATGAGCTGTATCAATACCAATGACATCGAGTTAGTTGAACATAGAGCGCAAGAATTGCCGCGCGAAAAACTGAGTGTGACTTTTGGAATTTGCCCAGGTGAATATGCCGCAGTCTTTTGGTCTCCGCCATTACCTAGTAGTATTCGAGCAGCATCTCACCGCCCACATCCATGTCGAGGAACAATACTACCTACTTCCTTTGGGTACTAACGTGCCACCAAGTTGATTCTTAGCCAGCGGGAAGCATACAATTCTCTGTGTGGCTGTGAAGACACCGAAAGGGTGCAGGCTGGGCAGGCAATGACACGATTCGGTCTGTTGTATCATCATACTTGTCAAGTTCCGTGGCACCAAGCACGGTTCTCTCCCGAAAATTTGGACGAACCCTGTTCCACAAATACGATGCATTACGCGAAAAGAGACGATCTGCAATGCGAGCTCAGGAGAAACCTAGCTTAGACATGGTCTCCAGCAGAGGCCGGAATGGGCGGGACAGGGGCCTAATATACGACTCATTCGAGACTTTGAGCGAGCCATTCAAGTAGATCATCCTTGGCCAGTGTGTCCAGATCGTGATCAGACGTAGGAAAACATTTCTTCCAACTTTCTCCTGAAAATTCTCTTGAGCATGCATCCTGGTGTTGATAACAGCAGACCATGGGATTGGTATTGGCTTCCTAGATTCAGCCGTCCCTTCAAGACTGTACGAGTGTTTTCTCGCCTGCCCCCACCCCGGGCCCTGACCCTCTTTCCCATGCTCCACCACAGAGCCTCGCTCGGTCCCTACGAATCCATGCTTGCTGACATGACACGTGTGGCGAGCAGCGACCTGAGATCAGCGTGCCATACCTAAATGTAACTATCAACCAACAAGACCGTGTCGCTCCTGGTTACCTTTTCCTCGCCCCGTTTGGGAGCAGCCTGTCCGGGCCTCTCATATACGACCAAAATGGAGAGCTCGTCTGGGCCGGCGGTGACGTCTACGCCGCTGAGGATAATCGTGGGCCGCATGTCTACAACTTTTACCCCTGTCAGTACTTGGACACAGAGGCATCAGATGATGACCCTCATCTATGTATGAACCGGGGCATAAACGACGGCGGTACCAGTCGTGGTGAGGGTCTCATCCTCGACTCCGACTACCAAGTTGTACGCGGGGTTCGCTTCAACGGGTCATCTCCGTCGGTTGATATCCACGAGTTCACACTGGTCGAAAACGGAACTGCTGCAATATTGACACAATACCGCCCCATACCTGCCGATTTGTCAGCTTTTGGCATCCCGGGCGTTGGATATATCTACGACTGTGTGTTTCAAGAACAAAGACTATCTGATGGGGCCATACTCTTCGAATGGAGGTCGTCAGATCACGTGGGCTTGGACGAGTCCAGAGTGGTATTCTTTGGAGGGACGGGACAGTCGCCGTGGGATTACTTCCACATCAACTCCATTCAGAAAGCAGATGATGGCTCCGGCGACTATCTCGTCTCAGCGAGGCACACATCTACAGTCTACAAGATATCAGGCAAAGATGGATCCATCAAGTGGCGCCTAGGCGGTTCACGATCAGACTTCACAATTACATCTGATTCTCTCATCAATAGTGGAAGCAAAGACCCAGAAAGATGGTTCCATTTCCAGCATGACGCGAGGACCTTGTATTCCGACGGCCAGAACGAAGTCATTTCTCTGTTCGATAATGGTCGTACCCCAGGACAAGTCCTTGACTCTCTCTTCAGTCGGGGCTTGGTGATTAAACTTGATGCAGACCGACGTCTTGCCACAATCCAAGCTGAGTACTTCACCGATGGCCAGCCTCAAAACTCCACACTGGCAGGAAGCATTCGAGGGCTGCCAAACGGGAACACCCTTGTCGGTTGGGGCAAAACTGGATGCCTCACCGAGTACGACGGAGGGGCCAGGCCTGTTTTTGAAGCCTGCCTGCTTGACGAGGGGCGCCCTGCCCTGTACCGTGTACACAAGTCAGACGAATGGGTGGGCCATCCTCTAGGGAGGCCATCGATCGTGTCATACTCGAAGACAGGGACAAAGACGGCCTTGTATATGAGTTGGAATGGTGCCACGGAAATACATGTTTGGAGGATATTTGGCGCTGAAGCAGGCGGGACTGATGACCCCATATGGGAAGAAATCTTGGTCGAGCCCCGGTCTGGGTTCGAAACCGTGCTGGGGCCACTGCCACGGTTCCTGGAGTCGGTTTACGCTGAGGCTCTCGATTCTAACGGCCGTGTGGTTGGCGTTAGTGAGGCTACGAAGACTTTTGTTCCTTCTGAGCTTCATGATGACTGCGATGATCTCTGGTGCAACGCCATGGTCTTGGTTGATGTTGAGGAGAGTGGGTTGATGGATAGGCTCGGCATTGACTTTGAATCCTTGAGCTATTATAAGTGGCTCTATCCTGCGGTGTTGTTGTACATAGCAATAACGTTTTGTCTGGCGGTATTCACTGTTAGGAATTGCCTGTGGCGGAGACGGCCCGCCCTCGCGTGTTCAAAAGGGGCAGTTGAGATTTAATATTCCATCAATTTCTAGAGTTATACTCGTTTGGTAGGACGGTCTGCGCTGCCGCTTTCGTGATTGGCCATGTCTGCACCACCACACTGGTACACTAGGGTAGTCTCCAATATTTTCAGATTTAAGAGATATTTGGTTGATGGGCCATTGTAACAAATAGAAGCTTGCCAGTCACGGGTCTCGGTGTAGCGTACATAAAATTGGTGTCACAAGGCCTTGACAGGTCGCTGCTTACCTGAGTACATCATGCCCACCTGCAGTCAGAAGATCTTGAGTGACACACCTGGGCACTCTGGCGGGGTTCTTCACCTGAAAGCACCACAGTTTTGTTCTTCGAGGTTCAATTATGACGGGTACGTGTATGTTGTTCATAAGGTGGCGGGAGAAGTCCAGTGACTCTCATGAACTACTAGTATAAATAGGGGCCGAATCTTGTACTTCTTTCTTCTTTCTCACCAATCTTGCTCCACCTTCACAGACCTCGAAACAAGCCCGTCATCATTCACTTCATTTACCAGCCACTTTTTTCAACCCTCGGAAACACATCTACACACTACACCCTCCCAAGGGACTTGTGAAACTCTGCGCACCCATCTTCTGTCCATCTGGTTCACGCCGAAGCACATCATTCCTTGCTGCTGAAACTTGGCACATCACTGTTACTGCACGCTCTAGAAACCACACATTTCGTCCGGCAATACATCATTGCCGAATCATGTGTGGTGACTTCAAGTACACTTTGGGGTGCGGATGTGTCGAAACCCAGTTCAAGTACTGTGACAAGGCAACCAAGAAGGGCACTGCGAAGGGTACAGTCGCTGTCGCATGTGGCAGTGGCGAGCCACCTGGGAAGGCTGAAGCTTCCCTTCCGAATAACAGATGTAAAACGCACCGCGACCCAAAGCCTTATGATCCGCTGGAAGACCGCTCATATGGAAGGTGCTGATCAAGATGGGGTGGTTGAGGTACCCGTGGACCCCTTCTCAAGGTTGGATTGGGTGTTGTTGAAAGAAGGGGAAGTACCTAGGTACATGGACGCTGGTGAGGGCGTGATGATGGATACCTAGGTAATGAGGTAGAGTGCAATGAGACTTTTGGAATGAAAGATTACCATTCCGAGCCATGAGTTGATCACCATCACTCCCTTTGAAAAGTCATGTCGAAGCTTTGCAAGGGCGGACACGAATGTGGTGGCTGCTCGCATAAGGAGCTTGGGCTAGATTTATATGCTATCTGAGGGTTGTCTAATGTAGACAAGACGCTATTGTGGTCGAAATAATCAAAATGAATTCATTTTGAGGCTCAGAGACTATTGTCTCAGAAAAAACAACTAACTTATGCGGCCGACGGCCAACCTCAGCCGCCTCAGGTGGTGGATATGACTCGGATGTGATAGGTCAAAATCATAACGGACTGCCGCGCCTCACACGTTTCTTTTTCTTTTCTTTATTACGCCTGATTGACTTAGGCGCCGTTGTAATAACACGCAAACACGGGGCCTTGGTCTTTGGGTTGGACGGGTGCATCTCCAGTGACAGCAACGCCGATTTCTCCCTCGGGCCGCCCGACCTCCTTGGTGGCGTTTTGTGCGACCAACTTGGCCATTCTTTCCTCCAGTTCCCTGGCCTGCTTCTGTGCGAAATACTCGACCGAGTCATACTCGTCCGTCTCCTCCTCGTCGAGCTTCCCCGCGTCCTTGTCGCTCCTCCGGTGCTTTGCAAACCTCAGCGGGGTCGATGTGGCCTTCATCTTGCGCACAAATGCCTCACGCCTGGTGTGGTATCTCTCCGCCCGGGGGCTCCAGAAGTCCCGCGACATCTCGCCCAGCTCCGTCGCCCGCGCGAGGTTCAGGCCCTGTGGGGTGATGTCCGCGTTGCTCTTCCACGCGCCAGGGGCATAGCGCGGCCCGCTGGAGGTGCCGTTGATACTGCTGCCGCTGGTCTTCTTCTTCAGGCTGGGCGCGCTGCTCCTGTTCCTGAGGATGCCCCGGCTGGAGCTCCTCGAGGTCGGGCTGCTGGTCGGGCTGCCGTTGGGGGTGGACGGCGCCGAGGAGCGCACCACGGCCTTGACGTGGTTCCTGATTCTCGTGTCGAGCAGGGCGCCATAGCCTGGGAGGACATGGTCCACGAGGCCGATGGAACGCGCGTCATACGCCGAGATGGGCGTCATATCCCTCAGGATCCGCCTGCCGCCCGTGGGGCCGCATCGGGCGAAGTAGCTGATGCTGTGGTATTCGGAGCCGTGCAGCCCGAGTGCCCGGTAAGCCGGGTTCAAGACAACATCGGCACCAGCCACGACGGAATCACACGCCGCGGCCAGCGCGACACCGCCAGCAGCAGCGTTACCACGGATTCCGGCAATTGTGAGGATGTTGCGGGAGGGGAACTCGTGCAGGAGGTAGTACACCACGTCGTTGATGCGGTTGATATTGTCCCAGGACTCCATTGCTGGGTCGGCGGCTGACTCGATGACATTCAGGTGGATACCGTTGCTGAAATAGCCGTTGCCGCCCATCATGACGACTGCAGACAGAGGGTGGTTGGGGGTGTGGGTGCTGAGGACGTAGGCCAGGGCCTCGACGAGCTTGCTGCACTGGGCGGTGGACATGGCACCGTTGTAGAAGTCCGAGTACACATACGCCACGCGTGAGTGTCCAACCTCGTCGACGGCCACGAAGTCGACCCAGACCTCCTGGAAGGTGCCGTGTGGAGGCTTGGACCAGGGGGACTGGGTGGCAATCGGCCGGGAGAGCTTGGCCACGGCATCGTCTGACAGCAGCCCGACCTGGCACAGGCCAAAGGCAGCAGGGACCTTGGGCCAGAGCTTGGGGTCCGTCTTCTTCTTGATGCGCCGGACGTGGGTGATCCAGATGCCATGCTGGTCTGCCGTCTTGAAGCAGACAGCCTCGTCACGGACGGCGATGATGGCACCGGGGACAGCGTTGACAGCCGAGATCCACGAGCCGTCATCGACGACGCCGCCGTATATGTACATGGCCTGGCCAAAGATAGAGCTCTGGCAGCCGGGCTGTGAGTCGCCGCAGCGTACTCTCCTGGAGATCTCCTTGGCGCTGTGTGTCTTGATGTTGAAGTCTCGCTGCCCGGCCTTGAGGAGCGGGCGGTGATGTGTGACGCCTCCCAGGAAGGGCTTCTGGAGCCCAACGGACAACTCCTTGTACTGGGGCTTTGCCTTCAGGCCTGGGTGGATGGCACGGTATACAGGGCTCGGGCAGTTGCTCGAGCCTGGCGTCAGCGGGGGAGTCATGGGGGCCGAGGTGTAGGCGGTTGCGTTGATCCTGTCAACGGCGGCAAGACACGCCGAGACGGCAGCGCGTGTGACGGGACCGCGGTATAAGCCCGACTTTGTGAGGCCCGGCTCGTCGATGTCGACGGGGAACTGCTCATATGCCCAGACCGGCCCAGCATCGAGTTCGGCCTCAGCCTGGAGGACAGTAACGCCCCAATATGGCCTGCCATTCTCGCTCAGGGTGTCCTTCTTGAGAAGTTCTGCAGCGTCGGGCTCGGAACCATCATCACCCATGAGGACCCAGTCGAGGGAAGACGGGCCAGCGTCGCCTGGGGGGCCGGGGTGGACGATGAGGGTCAGGTACTCCTCGTATAGGTCGACTGGCACGCGGGTGGTCAAGAAGGGGCAGATGATGAGGTCTGGCTTGGCCAGGCGGGCAGCCTCCCGCATGCTATCGTCGGAGAGGGCATATTCGATGGTGACAGCGTGGAGCTGTGAGAGTGCGAGGTATAACCTCTGGGAGAGGGAGTTGTGTGCTGTACAGATGAAAAGAATCTTCATCTTGAGTGTCGTGGCCTGCACAGGCAGACGGGGTGGCTGTACTAGGCGGCTGATATGTCTGCTAGAGAGTATCAAATGCCAAGGAGGGGCGCAGGATGAAAGGCAGAGGGACAGACAGCCGGGTGGGCAGAAAAGCAGTGAAACCAGGAAGACCTGTCTGTCTCAGAGATGCACCAGAATATGTACTAGAATATGTACTGGCTGCTGCTGCTGCTGTGGGCATGGTCGCACGGCGAGGGAGGGGGGCAGCGTGTATAAATCTGCCCGTGTGGAGCGTGGACTGCCCGCCCTCCTCCAGGGCCGTGTAAGTGTGTGTGTATGTGCGTGAGTCGCGACTCGCAAGCGACGACAAGCCTCATGGGGTTCGCAAATCACCCAGAGTAACTCTGGCCAGGTGCCCCGAGCCTTGACCCCTGTGTGCGGCCCCTGGTGGCCCCTCCGTCCTCGCATATGGGCCTGGCCTCTGCATCCGCGAGCCCAGCGTGCCAACAAGGGCCGGCAGGAGCCAGTAAAGCCAGGAAACGGCGCGAAGAGGAAATGCAAATGCATGGTTCGTGGGCGGGCCGGCCGTTCATGTGCACGAGAAAGTCTGTGCAGAGGCGGGCTGTCCTGACGAAAGGCTAACCAGGCCCAGCCTACATTGAGCACAACGCACCGCACTAATACAGCAGAATTGTCAGTGTACTGCACGTATATATTGTACACCTGCAGTGTACACCGATACATAACGCACAAATAAAATACATACAAGCATCCCGGACCGGCCAGCCATTTGCAAGTCTCCCGAGGTAGCATGAGATCACGAGTCAATCTTGGCTGGTAGGAGAGACGGTATATACCGGCCAGGAGGGTTGACAGATGAGCTCAGCTCAGTTCTCGGGCCTGAGCGGACCAGCCAACCGCGATGGGTATCACTGGACGCCATCGTGCAGCTCGTGAATCCCGCGAGATCCCATGAGGGTGTCGTGCTACCGACCCAGCCGGGCTAGGGCACACAGCTGTGTGGTCGTACAGAGGGCAACGGTTGGCCGCAGTTGCTGTGCAAAATGTGTGCGCAGCAGAAATCGAGGTTGGGCACATTTGGACCGACGTGCAGAACAGCCCGCCGGGAGAGGAGCAGAGGAGTCTGGGGGATCTTCGGATCCTCGAAAATAGGGGCTGCTCTATTTCCTAGCCGGGCCTAGGTTCGGGCCCTTGACACGGCTTCAGACCGTAGTACCCAGGGCACCCTAATAAAGTCCCGCATGCTGCTTGCCCGACCGCCTAGCAGCCGCCCAGGGCAGCAGGGTAGCCGGGGCGGCTGTAATAATAATCAAGGCACGGAGTAGCTAGACTGAACTATAGTGTACATACAGTACTCCGTACATACTGTACGCATGCAGACATGCAGACACGCAGACATCCCGGGCTTCCGACCTGCATTTCAGGTGCTGCTCCATCCGATGGGATGTCTTCCTCCTGCCATGCACATGTGCCAGCATGCCCTTCCAGCCCCATGCGCACTTCATCCTGCGCCGACGCTGCGAGCCAACTCTTGCAGGCCGCGCTCGGGGCGCTTATACGAATGGAGACCCCCAGCTGCAAGTCGTCCTCGCACCAAGTCCAATCAAGGCTGCCCCCAGGACAAGCTCGAGTATCCGTACGTCTGTTATCAGTCTCTGCCAGCTTCTGCCAGCTATGCCTGCGTCAGGGTGACGGGGTCTCCCCGCCTCTGAAAGTGGGCTCCGTACACTACTAAAGCACTCTAATATGGTGGGTCTGTTTCTGGACCGCAAGTTGCAACGTTGTGGACATGAGCTCCGTGTGCTCCGCTTTCCCACGTTATCCATCGCCGACACCAAAACACCTCAGCCTCATCACTGGGTCCTCGATCGGGGGTCCTGTGTGGCCTGCCCTGCCTGCGCCGACTCATGAGCCCCCTTCGTGCTACGTAAGGTCGGGCATTTGACAGAGGCATATCTGCCACGATCCCGGACATAATACGGGGAGTGGAGCCAATGCCAGACCGGCCATGGCCCAGGTAATCCTCGCCAAGGTCACAGGGGGGTTGCAAGGTTATTTTCTTTGTTTCCACATGTGTGAGGATCTCGCGAGGGAGGAGAGGGAGACCGGAGGGACAAGAATAAGCGCAAAGCAAGCGCAGCCCTTGGGATTATCTGTCTACCCGCAGCGTCTCGCCCGCCTCTCTGCCCTGCTGTCCGCCTGTCCGCCTCCCCCGGGCACCCTCTCTCCCTGGCCCTCGCTCCGTCCGGAAATATTGCCCACCAGCTCGGCGACCTCCCGACTCTAGTGTGCTTGTTCCTGCCCTAGCAGCCCAGGCCAAGCTATCTACCTAGCCGACTCACGGACGCTTCACTAGTGGCCACAGGGACGATCATAAGACGAACGACTGCTGATGATTACATAGTATGTCGGGCCCGAGAGGGGGCCGGGAGTCTCTGTGCGAGCGGTCCGGCTGCTTGTTCGCGGGGCGCTAGCATTACCGTCTCAGATCGGCCTGGTCGGCCTGCCCAGGAGGTCGGCAATCCCACAAGCTCGGATTCCCATGACCGTTTGATGAACCTTCTCCAGGAACCATATGTTCGGGTGCGCCATGTGGGAGCCTGGGAGTCAGAGTGCCATTGGGTCTGTGGCAGGCAGTCTTGTCCGATCCTGACGAGTCAGTGCGCATCGTGGCCAATCTCCAGGGCCGCCCTTTCAAGGTTGGCCACCTGCTTGGGTCCCCGGAAGCACGTTGCCACCAGGGGCCCGTCATCCCCGTGTCGTCGTCGTCCCCCATCCGGCTCGAGCTCGAGCTTGGATATTGATAGCCGCACACTGCATACTGCCTGACTGCCCAGCCCGCGCGTGTCGCTGTTGGCGGCCCTCTGTCCTGCATCAGGACTTTCATCCGCTGTAATACAGACCTGGATATATATGAAGCTGCACATGCATCCGATAAGGGGTATACTTGCCGCTTTCTCGAAACCCGCGATGCCCGCCCTGCGCTCCAGGGCTGATACGACCACCGGTCATGGTTACACGGTAACAGGAGCCAGCCATCGTCCCTCTTGGTTCGACCGTAATTGGCGAGTGCTACGAAATGCTACTGCGGCCCGGCGTGAACAGCGCACAGATGCTGCATCGGTGTCTCCCCACACTAAGACTGTCTCTCAGGGGCTGAGGGGCTGTCATTCGACTGTCTGTGCAGCGCATTAACCTTTGCGCCTCCAGGGCTGTCAGTGCAACTCTCCGGTAGTGGGCTGACATGCTGCGCTGACCTGCCAGTCTGCCAGTCTGCCAGAATGCTTGACAAGTTCGGAACCAGAGAAGGGCAGCATACCTTCCAACCCGGATGCCTGCTTGCGCCTCGCGTCTGGACTGTGTAGCAGCAAGCGAGACGTTGCTGCAAATTAAACCTCCGATTAAAATTCCACTTCATTTTCTTGTTTCCAATGTCGTCGTATTCATCAATTTCGCACGGTAGTAATACATATGTACCCTCCACGTAGGACACCTGATTGGTGTGTAGACTGATTGTACCACAGAAAGAGGTTCAAGTTCCAAGGTTAAAACGCAATTCTGACGCAGGCCCACGTGCGCAGCCTCCAACAGCTCAAAAGGTTTACACGTGTAAGCATCTCTTGTTGTACTACTACCCTAGAATAGAATTCAAAACGTTGCTTGCGTCCCTATAAGGCTTTAAAGGGGGTGAATGCAGCCCTGCAAAGCTACACCGGCACTGTTCTGCCTTCCAAATAGACGGTAAGGTTACCAAATTCATTTTATGCTGCACAAGAACAAGGGGTAGAGGTGGCAAGAGAAAGAAAGGAACCGGGACGAAATGATTACATTCCAAGGCTGCCTAGGTAGGATGCGGCCCAGTCCTAGGCGTTTGTCAATTTCTATGTTTAACTGCCCACATATGTACGTATACGCTCGAGACTATGTACTTCTTCAGGTCTCAGGTTCAAGTTGATTCCCATCTTCTCCAGGACAGCTTGCGCGTGCTCATCGCAACTCAGACTGCTAGTCAACCACTTTACTTCATGTTCCGGAGCAGGTACTTGACTCCCTCGTACGACTCTTGGCCAGTCGGCAAGATCTGGCTTGCTGGCAGGACGAACCCGTTGCTTCCGGTATCACGCAGCTCCACAGTAAAGGTGTAGTCCGACTTGACCACGTCCTGGACATAGTCCACGCTGGATCCCGTTGCCGGGTAAATGGTCGTGCATATCGGGCCATAGGTGTACCTGGTGCCGTAGAGCGAGGCGATGGCCTTGGAAGCACCAGCGGCCAGAGTCTGCAGCTCATTGTTATTGGTGGCAGTGGCGGAGCAGCTGTAGCCGTACGGTGTCATGAACAGCTGGGAGTACGAGTGCCAGTCGATGAAGAGCTTCAAGCCCTGTGCCGACTTGATCGCCGCGATCTTGTCCCTCAGAGACTTGTTCTCGGGGGCGTCACCAGCAGCAGTGCCCTTGAAGTCCTCGGCGCACGGGTTCGTGGAGGCACCACCAGCGACGTTCCACTGGTAGGGCCAGTTCCGGTTGATGTCGTGGCCGAGACAGGTGCTTCCCGAGGTCGACTGCCTGTTCTTGCGCCACAAGCGGTCGGTCTGCGTGTAGATGAAGCCTGTAAATCATTAGCAACGGAGCTCTGGGCCGCGCTCGAGTGCCGACCTGGGCTTCGGATGAGAACTCACCATCAGGGTTGACAACCGGGAACAGGTAGAAGTCGTACTTGTCGACAAACGCCTTGGTCTCGGTGTTCGTGGCGTAGTCACTCAGGAGGATATTGGCGAAGTATTCAACAGTCTGTGCTTCGTTAGCAAAATATTCTCGGGCAATAAAAGAACCGGCCGAAGGTCACACACCATGGTGGTGATCCACTCTCGAGCGTGGACAGTGCCGTGGAATACGATAGCTGGCTTGACACCCTTTCCTGAGCTTCCATAGATGTGGATGCCCGTGATGGTGTTCCCCTGCAGAGAACTGCCCGATGTGACAATCTCCGAGTTTGCAGGGTACTGGGCCTGGAGGCCATTCAGGAACGACAGGTGCTGTGCATACGTGTGGTACGCTGTGAACCAGGTCGAGTTGATGGCGGCCGCAGCCCTGTCCAGCAGCACTTCGGACGCGGGCTCTTGCTCAGCCGCGATGGAGGCGCCCAGATCCTCGTGCATCACCACAATACCTTCGATCCCGGCAACCTCCTCGTTGAACGCCTGCAGCTTGTCAGGAGAAACAACGATGTCGGCGAATGCTCCGGCCTTGTTAGGGGCCTTCCAGGTGTCCAACTCCAGCTTCTCCACGATCTCGGTGACCTTGGATGCGTCGAGGCCGACGGGGACACGGAAGACCTGGTATCCATCGTAGGAGACCGCGCGAGGCTGTGGTTGGCCGTAGGGACTGGCCACGGCCAACGAGAGGGCGGATACAAGGAGCGCAAAGTGCTTCATCTTGAGGTCGTGTCTCGTTGTGGGCTTGACTCTGACTTGTCCAAGTAGGTATGGAGTCAGGAGATGCCGGGCAGCCTCGAAGATGGGACCGATTCAAATAGGCAGTGAGAGACAGAGAGGGTGAGCCAAGACAGGAAGTAGGACTGAAGTTCAGACAAGCTTCTTTCAAGGAATAAAAGGAAGGGCAGGTCTTGCTGTTTATAGATCTAGTGTATACTACAGTAGGAGATAATGAGTGTGTCGGATAGGTGAGTGTGTCACTGCGGGGAGAGGCAATATTGGGAATGGTTGTTGAGTGACCATGTCAAGTTTGCCCAGCTGCCTCTCTCGCGCGTAGTGCGACTGCCATAGAGTTCAGGGACTAGCACTCCCGGTCTTGCACTCCCACCCTGCATGTACGTGCTTGAGTACCACCTACCTCCCGAGGTCTACTTTACCTTCCTCAAAAGGCTTCCTTTCTTTAAAGGGCCGTCTGAGGCGAACAGCCGCGAAGGGTCACGAGTAGGACCTAGGTAGGTACGACCCGAGTTCCGACGGCCCACCCGTCCTGTTTGTATTTTGAAAGCGTGCCCACGTGTACTTGTTTTTTAAATAGCTTTCAAGTAAGAGATCCCTTCGTGTATAGATTCAGTGCTTGGTGTATGAAAACCTTCAAAGGCTAGAATGTTCCTCCCCTCTCTTAGGAGGTCACGCTGCGCCAAATGGTTCGTGCCAACATGGGAGTGCCAGACCGGGAGTGCCAGATGCTGGACTCACTGCGTGGAGTTGCGACTGCCATAGGTGCAGAAGTCTAATTTTATGGTTAACCTTGCCACTGAGACCTTCCCCTTTTGGCCTGGCCCTATGTTGTCGGGGAGTTGTGACCAGTGACTGCCTCTCACGTCGTGGTCTAGCCCTGCCTCGGCAAATCGCCCACCAGGGATCGCGTAAATTACTCCGGGACTCGGAGTGAGCCAAGCTCATGCAAGAAACACGCGACTCGGGTTCCTTTTTTCCTTTTTTTTTTTTTTCTCTCACACAGATATCTCTCCCCGAGTTGATTGTTTGTTCTGTTGCGCATCTGCCCCTCTGTTGGCCTTGGTCTGACGGCTCGTATTCCCCAAGATGATTGCAAGCAGACAGTGCCACGCTCTCGGTGGCGGTTTGCCAAGAACAACCAACCCAGGAAGTGACCTAACCGGCAGAAGGCTCGGCACACGATGTGACCCCCAGCTAGGGACCTGCCGAAAGGATGACTGCCAAGCTCGGTAGCAGGGCGAGCTGGCAGGTGCTGGCCGTGATAAGAAGGTTGGGAGTGTTCCACAGAGATTCTACCAGGTCCCGGGTTGTTGTGCTCATAACGTGATATCATGACCACTTATGCGCCCGCTTCCACGGCCCAATAGGATGGTGCCACTCAGAGAAGCCGACCTGCCGATTCAGGCTGGTGAGGTGCACAAATATCACTGTCGCACCAGCACGACAGTCCGCTTATTGACTTGTCTGACCCAAACTTCCCAAGAGGGAAGGCAAACAGTCCGATGGCATCGCGGAGAGGACAAGATAAAGATTCTGGGGCATCGGTCACGCTGTAACCTTATTTGCTGAACTGTATATTCTAAATTTTGTCTATTAGTTGTCGTCTTAGTCGTCCTAGCCTTCCGACTACCTAGGTGCCTTGGGTGCTTACCTACCTTACCTGGTCTCGTTTCTATTCCGTACTAGTATACGGCCGAAGCCATACACGGCACCTTCATGCAGTAGCAAAGGCTCAAGACCCAGTATTTACAAATCATACAATGCTGGTGATAAGTATCTAGGGATAAAACAATGCTGCAACCGTTAGGCAAGGACTGCTACCGGCCAAAAGACCCTAATACCAATCTGTCAATTTGGGTTATCTCTAGGAGTATGTGTCGTCCCGTCTAATAATTCTATTTACGAGATTTTCTGCTTTCGTTCTTGTTCTGTGCTTAGGTATACATTTGAAAAGATGCGAGGGGCCTTGTCAGACTGGCAGCGGTGACCGCTAAAACACCCTTACGAGATTGATACCCCATTTTCTTTATAGGCCTTCTTATGCTGTAAGTGTTTTAAGGTGGCTCTGACTATGCGCAAATCAAAGTTCCCACTGGTGATACTTGTTCATATATGCCGTGACTGGCCTCGCTAAGCGACCACGTGGGGTGGGGTGTATTTGCTACAGCACCAATTAGTCCAGCCGCCAGCTTGACTTGGTCTCATAGCAGCGAACAATTTCCACTGATGGTGGCAGCCGTGGCATTTTCCACAAACAAGTGACAAAGCCGCATCGTTATACTATTGGTTGCAGTACGACTTGTCCTTTCGAGGCCGCCTGCAGGATCACTGTCTTCCAGCATTAGACTGTCAACCTTGGAATCCAGCATGTTTTTCATTTAACCTAGCCACCATCACCCGAGGCTACCATCTTTGTGCTCTCTTCAGCCTGTCCGCGATGAAAGTAGTACCCGAGGATCTCGGCTCTTCTCACGTCCTCGGACGTATACGGAATAGAAGCGAAACCAGTCAAGTACCACCGCAATGGCGTAGGGGGGTAGAAAAGTTCCGACCCTCGGGTCAACTGGTACCTACCATTCTGCACATTCAATGTTATGAGTGCCATTAAAAGATTGCTTAATGATGCAAATAGTTAAATTTGATTGCTACAAATTGCAGCCCTGGCATATTTCATATCACTTGCATGGCGTTCAGTCACAGAACCTGGACCAACCTTACCTAGGTAAACACGGCACTCACCAGACCCGCACTGGCAGTACCGCAACGTTTCGAACAGGGCAGAGCAGGCTGTGGAAATTCTGAATCTAGCGGAAGGTTTTACGGTACAAAATTGGGATAGCTGTGGCAGCCTCACGTCACTTCAAATACACACGCTTGACCCTGATCTACCATCCTTGGCCTCAGCTCGCTTAAGAATTCGCCAGATTGGGACATCTTTTACACATACCTGCCGCCACACCCCACATGCCAAGCTTGGTCTGGGTCGTTATATGTTATATGTGCTTTTTTACCCAGCAGGACCGCTGTGTTGCAGGCATGAGATGTCCGGAATGCTGACAGCTGTGCTTGACATGGTGTCTACACAGTTGAACATGAATATGCCGAGACGAGACAAGGCTTGTGCACTGTGGATGATCTGATGCGGAGTGGCACATCCATTCTCTTCCGATGCAGTCATTTTGCAAGCCACGATACGCGTCTTCCATAACCACCGCCCGCTCCAAAGAATATAAAAGAACCATGGTCCTCCCATGAAAGCGTTTTAGATTGATCCGTCTCTCCCAACCGCTTGCAAAGCAGTCGAATAATCACACCCAGCTGGGCTCTATAGTCTTTTACAGCACTCTATACTTGACCACTACCTTCTCCTCATACACAATGAAGCTAACAATTCTTCTTTCTCTACCTGCGATGGTGCTTTCCACTGCTATTTCCAGTGAGTTGCTGGCTGGGAGCAAGAATGCGCGGGCCTCGCCCGCGGAGAGCCCTGAAATTGCCGACCTAGCAGGCCCTCTGTTCAACGACACGGAGACAGCTGGGTTTGATGTCCGTAGCGGCGGCACGAACAAACGAGCCTATCACAACGTTTACTTCTGCGTTGATGCCAACTGGGGAGGATATTGTGCAAACCGTGGAAGCAATGCAGGGGTCTGCAGTAAGTTGAGAAACCTTGTCTACCCATTCACAGCTTCATGGCTGGCTGCCCTTGGTAGGTCCAAATATTAACCAACATGCTTTTCGGGTCAGATAATCTGGGAAGCGACCTGAATAATAAAGTCAGCTCCGTTGGCCCTGATGCTGGCGGATACTGCAGATTCTATTTGTGAGTAGTACATCTTCCTCAAACGACAGTGAGAGGCTCTTCTTTAACAGGTATGTCTATAGCAACGCCGGTTGTGTTGACAATGATGGCTGCCTTCACTTCGACTCGACATCGCCGGGCCGCGCCAACCTAGCGCTTAGCAGCCAGCGGGTGTGCGGCCGGAATAGCCCCAATGATCAGATCTCGAGCTGGCAGTGCTGGGATCAGTAGATGGGAGCGGGCGTAGTCGAGCGAGCATTGGTTTTCGTCTCATAGTGGCCTCAGCACCTAGGTAGGCCGAGGATGGCCAAGCTCTTCTCATCTTTCACTTCTCAAACGAATATGCATGGATTCAACATACATGAACATGTACTGATTCATCACATGACTGAGATTACAAGTGTCATTTTTCACAATTCAAGTCTTTATTTGAGCCTACAGAATGCTGAAATTTCTTGGAACCCCTGGGAAGCCACACCCATTCCCAAACTTTCTAGCTGATCGTGAAGAGACGGCTTTCTAAGCCACAAAGGCGTATACCGTACAATAGCAGGGATCCAGTCGACGGGGTTGGCAATTCGTCGGCATTATGATCATGTATGCTTTCAGCAAGACATTTTGAGTGCTGAACAGATTGCATTATATGTATTAGTTATTATCACACTGACCGAACAGCATCTTCATCCAAAGCGTCCAGCTGTCAAGCCTTTGCCATGGCCACCATTCTATAGCCCCACACAGATATATGAGGATTTCCACCGTTCAAGGTTTGTACACTTTTTGTTTATGTTTGCGTTCCAGTCAATGATCTGTCGTTCCGTCGCTCCGTATTGCTCCCCCAATATTTGGCACGTATCGCCAGCTGAAACCTTGTGTAAAAGACACTTCTTGTCAGGGATAGAGATTGTTTTTCCAGGGGTCAGCAGTCTGCACCATACGTCCAGGTTGCTGTTAGCCTGTATGATGCTAAACATGGACACGCTGTTCTTTGCCGCGATGCTGTCACATGTGTCCCCGTCCTGGACCACATAGTCCCGGCTGGCCGGACGCGATCCAGAAGCAGCAGTGGAGTTCGCGGGTTTGTGATTCTGACCCGGACCCCAGGCCATTGTGGTTGCATTATTGGTGGTGTTGGCGGCGGCAGTGACGGCGGCAGTGGGAAGGGCTTGGCCATATGGACCGGGTGTGGTGTAGGAGTAGCCCGAGGCAGAACATGACGAAACGAGACTGTGGAACTTTTCGACCAAGGCATCACCCCGGGCGTCGATGTGTGCGATTTTGGAGTTCACTTGTACCTCCAAGGGGCCGAGCATGCAGTCGTCGCAGTCGTCGACGGCCGTAGTAGGCGTGTTCCCGAGTCTCTGCGCAGCGAGCTTCATATCACAGAACTGTCCCGTGTTCCTGCATGACACATAGGCGAGTCAGAACAGTCCTTCGGTATCGGCAAGGGTTCAGAAGATGTGAGCGGGATTCCCCTTGCTTACCTGTTTTTGTAACATGAAACGTCGTAGAAGTACAAATACCGCTCCACTATGTAGCTTGCTAGACCTGGCGTTTAGCTTTATGGAAAGGAGTATGTGCGATAGGGATCACGAACCAGGGTAATTGGATCCTTTCCAAGTCAGAAGATCGCTCTCCTGGCAGACGCCATTGATCTTGTCGCGCAGATCAAGGAGTGACTGCTTGCAGTTCTGGGTGCAGACGGCCACGACGTCTCCGACACCGAGAACATCAACACTGACAGCCCTGCACTCATGTCAATGAACAAAGCCCAGTGGATCGGTGTTGTTGGAAAATGGAAATGGAGGGTCAAGATCCTGTACTCACTCGTATCGGTGGAGATTTGCAAGCTGGTCCACGCAGTCCACCGTGGTGTTCATAGCCTCGTAGCAAGCCTGACTCAACCCGAAGTTCTGATATGGCGTATGGAGCAGAGGAAACTGCTGGGCAGCCACGGTGCCAACGAGGGCAAATATTGCACACAGAAATCCTGGGCCATTCATTTTCGCCATGGTTGGAGTCCGTGCTGCTTGTGGGAGAAACAGTAGGGCGTTGGGGGGCTGAAGTAAGCTTTAACATTCCATCCACAGTCATGAGGCATGTCAACAATGAGGCAGCCGTGTTAGTGCTGTTACTCAATTATTAGTGTGCCGTAGAAAAGTTTTCTATGGTCGTGTCAATGCCTTCGATGTCCTAAGTGGATTCCAGCCCTTCCCATTTCTGGCGTCTCCCGAGCCGCCCTGAAAAGAAACTTCGGACGGAACCAAATATCGGACACAACCAACGGTGACATTTTTAAGGGTCCTGGGCCGAGAATAGCACAGGAGTCAATGTCTTCCATGAGGCTGAATCCATCTGAGCCGAGGTTCAGGGTCTAGTCTCACATCTTATCCTGATGTGTAATCTTGTTGTGGTAGATGTTACCGCACTAGGAGTTAAGCTCATAGTGTTTATCGACATCCTTCACACTAAGTAACCATCGATGACCCTGTCTCTGTTAGTTTGTGTGGCCTTTTAGCCGGAACAACACCCTCACCCTTTATGCACCTAGGCGCAGCAGGTTACCAAACTTCTGTAAGGATTGTCTCTCAGAAACATACGCTGTTGATTTTCTCGTGGCCTTCCTACTCATGTTCCTGCCGAGTGGTTACAGGATTCCCCATGGGTTCTCCAGGCGATGGATCCTCTCAACCCGGCCATTCGGTCAATCCGCCGTGAAACCAATTTGCCTTAGCCACGGTTCATGAAATGATAGCCTCGGTGGTGGGATTTCAGATATCGAATAGTCTCAAAGTGGAATGAATTCCGTAACGCTACCCCTTGAGGATTCTCGTGCATGTGAAGGCTTTTCCGTTTGCCAAGAAAGTCCAGAAGGGGAGGCGGCGCTCAGAGTTACAGGAGACGATGATAGGCGATCGTGAATTCATATATACCGAGTGCCACGTCGCGAACTCTGGATTTTACAGAGGCGGATGTAAAGCCTTTTGTCTCTTGGTGTTGTTGTTGAGATGAAGTTCTCTCAGTTTCTCGTATATGGCCTTTGCTTCGCCTTCCGGCAAGCGGCGGCCAAAGCCGTCTTTGCCCACTTTATGGTGCGCCTATGTCTCTCTTCCTTCTGATCTTGCACAGAGACTAACAAGAGCTCACACAGGTTGGGAATACGGCCAACTATCAAACCAGTGACTGGGAAGATGATATCAACAAGGCCCAGGAGGCACATATTGACGCCTTTGCTCTGAACATGGCAAACGGGGAGTCGATGAACGATGCTTCCCTCGCAGCCGTCTTCTCAGTTGCCGAGTCCAAAGGCTTCAAACTGTTCTTCTCTTTCGACTATGCTGGTCAAGGGCCATGGGATAGCGGTGTCGTTACCGGGCTCATCAACAAGTGGGCGGCCAGCGCAGCCTACTACCGCCATCAGGGACAGCCTTTCGTCAGCACCTTTGAAGGCCCTGATCAAGCCGACGACTGGATATCCATCAAGGCGGCTACTGGCTGCTTTTTCGTCCCTGACTGGTCGTCGCTCGGAGCCGCAGCCGCCATGCGGAAGTGTGGAGGCTGCGCGGATGGACTGTTCAGCTGGGCAGCGTGGGCATGGGGTGATAGGGATATGGATGACTATGTTGATGCTTCTTATCATGACTTCCTGGGAGGAAAGCCATACAGTAAGTCACATGCCTGATCAATCCGCAGTCCGACTTATACAACGTGCATGGAGGCGTTGCCTTACTGACTTTATTCATCCGGTGTAGTGATGTCAGTGTCACCTTGGTTCTATACCAACCTGCCAGGCTACAATAAGAACTGGCTCTGGCGTGGAGATCATGTCTGGTATGATAGGTGGATCCAGGTGTTTTCCAGAGAGCCGGAGTGGGTCGAGATCATCTCATGGAATGACTACGGAGAGTCTCATCACATTGGGCCTATGCGCGACCATGCCATGGATGCCTTCACCGTGGGAAAGGCGCCCTACAACTATGCCCTACAGCACGATGGTTGGAGGTCGACCCTGCCGCACACAATCGACATTTATAAAAACGACGTTGCCCACATCGACACCGAAGGAATACAATTCTGGTACCGGCTCCACCCCAATGATGCGTGTACCAGCGGGGGAACATCCGGAAACACGGCTCAGCAGTTGCAATATGAGTTCGAGCCTGCCGATGTGTTGCACGACTCCGTCTTCTTCACGGCGATCCTGGCGTCGGAAGCAGATGTGGAGGTGACCATCGGCGGCGAGGCGGGCACGGTCTACTGGCGCAACAAGCCCGAGGGCGGAGTAGGCATGTGGCACGGCTACTCAGGAGTCGGTTCTCGAACGGGCAAGGTCGAGATCAAGCTGCACCGGGGCGGCGACGTGATCGCGCAGGTCACGGGTGAGGCAATCACAACGTCGTGCGAGAAGAACGTCAACAACTACGATGCCTGGGTCGGGTCGCAGTTCACCAAGCGTATCCCCACCGTCACCACGCCGCCACTGTCGTCGATGGTGTGCGTGGACGGCTGGGCGGTGGATGACTTCCTCTCTCTCTGCTCGTACTCCTGTGGGCTGGGCTACTGCCCACCAGGAGCCTGCATCTGCCGCGCCATGGGGACAATGCCGAAGCGACCAGACTGGACCGGCGTGACCGGATACCCGGCAGAAGGCTTGAGTGGCAGCTATGGCGGGCTCTGTAGCTTCGACTGTGGGTTCGGCTACTGCCCTTCGGAATATTGTGGGACGACGCAGTATCCTGCTATCGAGCCGCGCGTGTCTCCTTTCCTGCCGCCGACGTGTACCTCAGGAACGGCAGACGGGGCATTCGAGGCTCTGTGTAGCTTCACTTGTTCTCACGGGTTCTGTCCAATTTCTGTGTGCACATGCCTGTCCCAGGGGCCGCTCAACCTCCTCGACCCTACCACGCCCTCCATCGCCAAAGCATTGCCGCACCTGGGTGATGACCACGGCCTGTGTGCCTTTGCGTGCGCGCGCGGGAACTGCCTGTCGGACGTGTGTGACTCCCTATCAGGCCTGCCAGGGCGAGAGACAGAAGACCCGACGCCGGCAGGACCAGACCTGAGCATCCCGCACCTGGGCGAGGACTGCTACCGGTACGACCACTGCGAAGACCTGGAGGACCGCACCACATGGTCGTGCAACGACGGCTACGAGTACGTCGGCTGGGACCTCGACGTCTGCAAGGGCCTCGGGGGCCAGTGGGGGAAGCCCATCTGCTGCAAGTCGTCGGACCTTCCGATGGACTGCATCTGGCGCGGCGGCGGGTCCGACTGCAACGGGCAGTGTCACTCTGGCGAGGTGACGCTGTTCGAGAGCGGCGACGGCGGCTGGCCGACCGAGAGCAACGACGACCAGTGCACGCGCGGCTACAAGAACTTCTGCTGCGAGCTGCGCACCTTTGACGACCTGACGGGCCGGTGCCACTGGACGGGGTGTGGCGGATCGTGCAACGACGACGAGCAGGACGTCGCCTACGCCTACAACCTCGGCCTCTGCACCATCTTCAACTCGGGCCAGCACTACTGCTGCCAGGACGAAAAGAAGCCGCTGGAAAACTGCCACTGGGTCGGGCAGGGCGACTGTGCCGACAATACGTGCAACAGCAACGAGGTCACGCTCGAGGTCAACTCGCAGGGTGACACTTACGGGAGCTGCGCCTGGTTCCGCAACAAGGCGCTGTGCTGCACGGCAAACGACGACGTTTTTGAGCAGGCCACGTGTGGCATCCAGCTCTGCGACACCGAGTTCGCCGCGGCCGAGGGCATCAGCTGTGGCCAGGACCCCTACGCCGACGACATGTCGGACGAGGACCTGTGTGAAGACCCCGGCTCGCTGTCCACGAGAGATGATTTACACTGGCATGTGGACAACTCCACTGGCACTGCAAACACCGTGACGAACTCGTCGTCGCTCCTTGTCCTGGAAAACCCCTCTGAGCTGACTCGTCGCGGCACAAAGCGCACTTATGAGGTCGACTGGGAGTGGCTGACCTCGGCCTGGACCCTTGTTGTCTTCTCGAGGGCCTATCCGGGCTCGTCGCACTTACACGACCGCACGCGCAGCACCCCGGCCACCAACCTGGCCTTCCGGATGCGCGATGGCTGTACGTCGACGGATATTATCACGGTTGATACGACCACTCTCAACAGTACTGAGAGAGCAGCCCACTGGGACACTGAGCATAACCCGGATGTAAGTCTGTGCCGAGCTGGCTTTGAGTTTTGAAGCACTTGAGACTGAGTGTTCGTTTTAATATCATGTTGCTAACGCTGTCTTGCCCGTGATCCAGCTCCAATATATTCGCGACTTTGTCTACACCTTGGGCACGGGCATACTGCCAGACGGCACGCGGACGACCAACAACGCCTTTATCAATGGCCAGGACATGGAGTCGTACTGGAACGCCCGCGTGCTCGACCGCAGCCTGCCCCAGGCGGGAAGTAGTCGTTGCATCCGCACGCCCAACGACTACTTCATGGACCGCTTCGGGTCGCAGGGAAACCGGTACCCGCTGCTGCTGTGCGAGCGGAACCTCAACCAGATGAAGGGCATCGTCTTCAACCTGGACCAGACCAAGAAGAACGCGGCCGGCGAGGTGGTCCCCACGGATCCCATGAGCACCGAAAACTTCGAGACCCTGGTCGAGCGTCTGATGGGGGGCGACGTGCAGGCGCAGAACCAGATCTTCGAGCACCTGCGCGTCGTCATTGCCGTCTTCGTCTACATCAACCACCCGGACGCGCAGCGCATCATCCAGCACAACCGCCGCGAGCTGCAGGCCGCCGCCGACGCCATCAGCGGCCAGGTCGGCGCCTTCAGCCGGGTCGGCGCCATCCACCGCGAGTTCAACATCAACTGGTACCGGCGCGCCGCCGACCTGGCCAGGACCTGGGTTGGTGATCGGCTCATCGATATCATCGGCGCCTTGAACAGGGCCTCGAATGCCAGCCCGCAGACGCTCCCACCCAACTGGCGGTCTATCAACCAGACCGTATCAGAGCTGTACGACGACCTGAAGAAGATCAGACCCCCGCCGGATCCATGAAGATGAGGATGGATGTGGCAGAGAATTCAGTTCAGTCTAGAGGGACTGCTCTCAAGTACCATTCTAATACTCGTCGGACATCAAGATGTAGTTATAAAACCTAGACGGCCCGCAAGCATGTAACCCACGATAACCTATCATTTGTTCTAATAGATAGATACAATAATTAATCAATGATAATGACTATGCGTTCTTGAGTACCCCGTTTTCCGTCACCGCGTCATACCCCAGCGGAGCAATCTTCGGCGGCCGCCTATACTCCGGCCCATCCAACAGGCGCGAGTCCAGCTTGTCGTAATGAGTCGACAGATACTTCACCTGCACGTACTGCCAGCCCACGTACTTGCAGGTGTGCCCGTCGACCTCCGGGTACTGGCCCTCCTCGTCGGGCGCGGCGCGTGGCCCGCCGCGGACATAGAGGCTCTCGTCGTAGTCGCCATCGATCAGCGCCACGACGAGGGGAGGCACAGGCGCGTAGCGATGGGCCGGCGGGAAGTTCTCTGCAAAGGCCGGGAGCGTGTTGAGGCACTTTTGGTCGACGTAGATGCAGTATGTGAACCGCGGGAGGCGGTTGGGCGCGTCTGTGGGCAGCGGCATGACCTTCTTGACCCAGTGCTGCTGGCGTGCCACATTGTGCGTGTCGCGCCATTCCACAAACTTTGCCCGGACCGTGTCGATGGAGGCGTTGTCAAGGGCCTCCTTGTCCTCGATGACTGTCCACTTGGCATACTGCGGCAGCTTTGGGTGTGGGGTTAGAACTTTATCAGGCTGTTTTTTTCTTTCAATTAACGAGAGAGGTTACTGCAAGAACTCACCACTGCGTCGCCGCCGAAAGTCTCCAGGCCGCGCATGAAGTCGTCCTCAAAGTACTTCATGAACCGCTTCCACTCTTCGTTGTCGCCGTAGGCGCAGCGGTAGATGACAAAGCCCCATTCGTGCAGGCCTGTCTCGATCATGCCACTTATTGTGGCGGCGAACGGCTGCGTCGACCATCTGACAGCGTCGCCCTGTTCGATGAACCACTCAAGAGTTGCTGAGGAGGTCATGGTGCTGATGTCTCGGCGGTGGTTGATCCGTCGGCCGTTGGCCGTTTGCTTCAAATGTTCCGATGAGAAGAAAATGTGTCTGGTGAGTGTGCGTGGGAAGAGAAAAAGCGAAGTTCGGGACGGGTGAGTGCTTTGGCGCAAGGCTACAAGGTTGAGAGTATCTTATGCTTAAGTAACTGCCCTCTGTGGTGCTAGTGAACAACACTGGCGGGGTTCCAGGTTTCACACATTGTAGGGAGTTGCTTGAATTTCTGGTAGCCTAGCTCACGCATGACAGCCCGCCCACTCTAGCGTAAATTTGGAAGAACGGGCATGTCTTCCTGATTGGGTACTCTAAGATATTAGGGTGGATAAAAATTTTTACCTTTCCTTCCTAAGGTATTATACTAAGATTCTATTTAAGAAATACTTAAATAATAATTAACTATTTAAAGTATTATAATTATTTTATTTAAAGAAATTATTTATATTAAATAAGTTATAAGTTATAATATTTTAAATTTAAAAATATATAATTATTTAATATTAATTAATATAATATTCTTATAGTCTTTTAAACTTATATATATATATATATATATATATATTATTTTTATAAGACTTTAATAGAACTTAGTTAGTGTAGTTAAAGATTAAGTTATTTAGTGAGAAATAGTTTGTGTGAAGGGTGAGCGAGGTGCGGGAGGGATGTATCAACCTATTAGTGGGGATGAGGCTCTGTCTCTGTACATATAAAAGAAATGATTCATGATTACCACAGCTTTTCAGCTAATGAGATGCGTTAATTTGGCCTTGTTTCCGTCCCTTTCCCCAACTATCTTTGAAAAGTCATTCATTCTATTAAGCTCAAGACAGGATTCACAAAAACAGCTTGATAAAGACGAATGGCATTGCAACTGCGCTGCTCGCGGCCCTGGTGGCAAGGGGAAGCCCTGGAGGCCCGCAGATGCCCAACAGTCAGCGTGTCTAGTAAAGCCGAGGGCTTTACATTCGGGGTCACAAGTGGTGGTGTGACGATACGGGCGTATAGACTGCTGAGAGTAGCCAATTCCTTTAAATTGGTTATTGATATGGTCCAAACGCATAATAATAGGAGATTTACTGGCCAAAATTTGTTACTTTCGTGTGATTTGGTGCTTTAAATGTTTCTTTTTGGCAAACACGCCCTATCTGCTCCTAAAAAAGGATATACCTACTAACATCAAAGTACATACACCGTCCAACCATGGACTCAGTCATCTTGCCGTCTTTTTCGAGGCTCACCTTGGGCCTCACTTCGTCAACTGGGTTATCCAGATGAATGTTTGAACCGTGCATATTTCTGAGCTAACGCATGGAAAGATGCCGAATGTAATGTGAAAATTGTTGCGATTCAAACGTGGTATCCTTGGTTCCACGAAAAATTGTTGTGCGGAGAGCAACTATTCGCCATACACCTCTTTTGTGTGCATTTCAGGGCGAAAATAAAGATCTCAGGCCAGTTTGTAGCCTCCACTATATGTTATACTTTGCGGCCTCATGAATGGGACGCGAATTTACAACAGGGCTAGAGATCCGCCAAACCAATCGCCAGCTGCGTTGCAGATTATACAGACCAATTAACGGCAATACTCTGTCCCGTCGCCTGTCGGACCCATACGAAAGCGTTTAAAGGCAGTTTTGAATCCGTGATAGGGAAAATAAGCCTTGATAAGGCGGCATCAACTCGAAGTGGCTACATATGTAAGCAGTTTCACCCATTCATCGAATACTCCAGATGTCTGCCACAACATCTTTAAGAGGTCAATACCTAGGTAGTACTACCACGAACAAGGCCAACTTGAAATCCTACCAGATTGGAGCTTGCAGATGGAGACCACGAGAATGTAGCACTCCATAGGACCCTGGCCCTACCTTCCTGCCGGCCCAGTGTTGCCGCTTGTCTCGCCACCCACCAGAGGCGATTTCCGTACAATGAGCAGACACCAGTCGCTCTAGCATCTTAGGCCGAGCAGTTCATGTGCCAGCGCCTCGGCCTACTGTCGAGTCCTCGGAACGTGGCTCCGGACCCACGAGGGCTGGACCGGATACTAGGTACTTACTTAGGTATCTAACCCAGAAGACCTGGCCTAGACGGCGCCTGGTCTATTAGAGCCGGGAAATGGCACATGTCACTAGGTCAGGCACGCAGTACCGCGACGCTCGGGGATATGCTGTGTTCTTTCAGGATCCTCCTCCTGCACTCTTGGATTGGGCTAGAATGGCCTGCCGCTGATTCCGTGCGCCAACATGACAGATCTGTATACTGCGGAAGGGCTCGAGCACACGGCCCGATCGATGGACTTGCCAGGCTAATAATTGGCATCTCGTGGGCGACGGTCAGACTTGGGCTTACTCGGGCTATCCGAATACTATCATTGATGTCTTTCTTCCGCCGCTAGCCACACGGCCACGATGGGTTTTCCAAGTGTGGTTCCACCGCTAGGCGTTGCCGTCAAAGGAAAGAAGCGGTTCATGGATATGCAATTCTTCAACGGCTTCATTGATCCGGGTGTGACTTCGGAGAAGTTGCCCTCTCATAGCACTTCGTCCAGCAATCTATAATCCATAATATGGCAGACTCTCTCGTAAGATTCTAGGAGATGCGGTTCAAATATGCCAGTCTATCGTCTGTCAAGACCTCAGCCTTCGCAGCGTGATAAATCTGCATTTCCTTTCTTCGACTTGTCCCAAGACATATATTCAACACTTCACAGATCGTAATGCCTTCACTCAGATCCTTACTCCTGGCCTCCGCAGTGGCCACTTGCACCTCCTCCTCCCCACTGTCCCTATCCATACCCACCCCCATTTCCAACCTAATCCCGTCGCTCGGCGGCTCGGGCGGCGGCGGAGACTTCGGAGGCGACACCCAGAATGGCCTCCTCGCCGGGGCCTGCAAGCCCCTGACCATCATATTTGCCCGCGGCTCCGGCGAGACCGGCAACGTCGGCACCGCGACGGGGCCGCCCTTCTTCCGGGCGGTCGCGGAGCGGGTCGGCGCCGCGAACATGGCGGTGCAGGGCGTCGAGTACGGAGCTGCGTTCTTAAGCGTGCTGGGCGGTGGGGATGCACCCGGCAGTGCGAAGATGTAAGTTGTTTTCTTGCCTACTCAGTCTCTAGAGGTTCGTTCACTGTTGTGGCAGGGGCCATTCACTCCAGCTTGACTGTTATTGCGCCGGAAGAGGCATTGGCTAATGGACGACGGCGACACTAGGGCCGAACTCGCCCAGCAGGCGCTCTCCAGGTGTCCGACTACAAAGGTTGTCTTGTCGGGCTACAGCCAGGGTGGGCAGCTTGTACACAACGCGGCCAAGCTGCTGCCAGCCGAGGCTGCGCAGAAGATCGCGGGCGCTGTCACGTTTGGGGACCCAGGTAGGGCAGACACAACCCCTTCTCGTTCCCACATCATGGGGTCAAGCTTGCTGGCTGGCTGGCTGACCTGCGAAAATCTCTTTAGATAATGGCCAGTCCTTTGCCAACATCCCGCCTGGCAGTGGCAAGATCTACTGCCACCCCCTGGACAATATCTGCCAGAACGGTGTGCTCATCACGCCGTTTCACTATTCGTATTCGACGCAATATGTACCTGCAGCTGCAGACTTTGTGGCGTCGACTTTGTCAGGCAAGTCATAAACTCGGGTATGGTGGCAGGAGGCAAGGGAATTGGACAGCCAGTTGGAGTTGTCAATGTCTCGGCGCAGCAGGAAGACCACATGCAACAAAAGCAATGGTGATCAGGACCGCTCTTTAGAGTATGGGTTACAATTCAGAAGGCATTCCCATTCGTTGGCCCTTTTGTGTGGGCCGAGAATTCGTGTGGATTGTATTTCCAGCCTAATCGAGCAAAGGGGTATTGAACAGAAACTTGGAATCTTGCACCCATGCACCCGGTTCCCTAGTAACGTGCCGCAACATTCCTCCCTCCCTCGCTACCAACAGCTCTGTTCCGTGGTATTTCAACTCCCAACAGCGACTCTCCGCGCAACAGCTGGGACCCAGCACGGCTTGTTTCTGCCTTTATCATTTACAGCATCAAGTCGTCCACTTCATCATCATCATTTCCGTCATTTCCATCACTTGGTCGTGAGATGGTCTCCGAAATCCTCGAGCAGGGTGCTGCAGGGTCGGAGTGCATGCGCCGTGGTCTGCGGTTCGACCGCGTGCTCTTCACCCCCGCCTTCGCAGCTGTCCGAGGCAGGTTGTGACTAGGCTCGAGGAAGGAGAAGCCCAAGCCCTCGAGCATGTGGCCAGAGGCTCCTCAACCCCAGCCAAGCATCTCGAGCGTGCTCTTTGTCTCGAGGCCGCTCAGTCCCGCGACGCCCAAGGCCCGGACCTGGGTGCCCCGCCTCAGACGCTGCAGTCCCACGGCGACCTTCCACCCGTCCTCCTCACCGATGACAAACATGTACCTCTTGCCCTCCTGGTCTCGGATTGTCGCTCGGAGGAGATGTAGCCCCTTGGCCTTCCAGTCCCCAGTCTGTGCCGTGCTGTTAGTCACGCGGGTCGATCCGGACGACACGCTCGAGGCGTCGTCGTGGTAGCCGGAAGAGCTAGGCAGGTTCGAAGCAGCAAACTTGGACGCGCAGTCGCCCAGGCGGCAGGAGTCCTTGCACGAGCGGAGCACGTCGGCGAGGTAGGCGTCGGCCTCGTCGCCAGACAGCGACTTTGGCGACCCCCTCTCGGCAGCGCGCAGCCGGGCGCCTCCCCCCACCACCTTGGCAAAGAAAGCAGTACTGATGTGGTTCGCACTCAAAGCAGGGTTGGACGAGGATTTCGAACCGGTCGGGGATGGAGAATTCGCAGCAATCGCACCAGTCAAAAAGTGCACGGGACACCATACCTCTACCGTCTTGAGGGTCCAGGCCTTGACGTCCCACTCGCGCTGGGCAACGCCACGGATGTCGTCGTCGATGAACAGGCCCTCTGTCGTGATGCGGAGGATGAGACCATCCGTCACGGTGCCGACCCCAGAGACGAGCTGGGAGGCCGGGGTCTTTGCGAACTGGTTCATGAAGCAGTAGACGGCCTTGATGACGATCTTGTCGGGGTCCTTTGTCGAGTAGGGGCCGCGCACAGACGGCGGCGGCGACGTACGCGCCGTCGACTGGGACGGGGCCCACGAGGACTCGGACATGTCGGACTTGGAATTGCGGCGCGCAGGCCGCCTCGGCTGGTCGTATGGCCGGAATGAGTAGCCGTCGGTGTCGTCGCCGACGAAGGTCTTTGCTGTTGGGGGAGGGGGCTTTTTAGTAGGGGAGGATGGCGTGGGTGGTTTGCCGTTGGGCCAGGGGCTCGTCTTCTCGCCGACGCCCGAGTAGGCGTATGAGGATGTGCTGCGGGCCTGGCTGCCCGCCTCCTCCCTCCGCTTCCTGTCCTCCTCGAGCTTCCTGCGCCGCTCTTCTCGCTCCCTCGCGAGGCGCTCCCTCAGCTCCTTCTCGCGGGCCTCCCTCTGCTCCTTCTCCTTGCGCTCTTTCTCTTCCTTCTCCTTGGCTTCCTTCTCCTTGGCCGCCTGCTCCTGGGCCAGCTTGTCCTTGGCCTCCTGCTCCCGGCGCAACCTCTCGGCCTCTCGTTGAGCCCGCTCGCGTGCCTCCTTCTCCCTAAGCTCCTTCAGCCTCTGAGCGGCCTCGGCGCGGCGCTTGTCCTCGGCCTCTTTGGCCTTGCGTTCCTCCTCCTTGCGGCGGACCTCATCCCTCGCCTTCTGCCACGAGTTCTTTGGTGTCTCTGCTTGTGGTTTAGTGGGCTGGGGTTTGGGCTGGGGTTGGGGGGTTGGTTGGGGGGTCGGCTGTGGCGGTCGTTGATACGAGCCACTGGACGGATTCGCACTGGGTTTCGACCCACCTGGTGGAGGCGGGGGGGAGTGGGCATCTGGAGGTGGGCCAGCGCCGGGGGAAGAGCCGTGATGGGCGCTGTGGGGGCTGGATCCAGCACTACTGAAGCCACCACCGCCGGGCATTGACGAGCCACCGGAATAGAAACCGCCTCCCCCTCCCGCTCCGTCGCGTCCGGTGCCGTCGGTAGATTGGCGGCCGAGAGACCAGGCGCCAAGGCCGACAGCTATTACGAGCAGGAGCATGCCGGCGTTGCCCATGCCCTGGAAGTTTGCCCACCAGGCCTGGAAGGCGGGTGCCATGCTCTGGCCGAGGACGACCATGAGGAGGGCGGATGCGAAGCCGGCGATGAAGCTGTTGGTGTTTGTGCGCAGCGAGGGCAGGTACAGGAAGCCCGAGCCGGCCGAGTGCTCTGGTATGATGAAGACATCATATTTTCCGGGGGGCAGGCCTGAGCCAGATGTCGTCTTTGGCGACTCGCCGTGGGGAGGCGGCGGGGGCGGGGGCGGGGCGCCGCTCATGTTGTCGTGAGAGGGTTCGAAGTCGGACCAAGCAGGCCGGGCAAAGGAACAGCGCTATGAGTGTGGTGGCAATCAAATTCTAGTGGTATCTCGGAGAAGCCATTGGAAAGCAGACGCTCGAGTCGCTGGACGTGCACTGTTTTGAGCAAGAGAAGGGTCAGCATCCTATGCCAGCAAAGCCAAGCACCTGGGAAAGCAAGCACAAAATTGGTGTCATGCGGTGGAGAAGGGCGACGACATCGAACTGGAAGGACAAGAAGAAGACGGCCGGGCAGTTGGTGAGATCAAGGGCGGGTGGTTCTGACTCACCAGAAAACAAATGAGACGTGAAGCAAGCACAAACGAACGCCAGCCGATGCAAGAAGACAAGTTCGACAAGACCCTTGGAATGGGCAGTCCCACGGGATTCGAGGACGGGGGGAGACCTTGTGCCCTTAGTTGGAGGTATTGTGGCAGGGCTGGCAGGTCGAGGCCGAAGTTCGAGTCCGACTTCGAGGACGAGGAACAAGGTGGATAGGACGACAAGGTCAGGCAGGCGAAGCTCAGCTGGTGGTCGGGTTGGGAGTTGGGAGTCGGGACTTTGGATGGCAGTGGCAGGTCGTGGAAAGTGGCCGGTGGGCAGGAGCAGGACGGCAGCGGCGGGGAGGGACCCTGTGACAGAGCAGGCAGGGGTGGCGGAAGACGATGCTTTGCCGTGATTTTATTTACCGTTGCAGGCCCGTTTGTGGTGTGGTGTCACGTCCAATTGCAGTCGTCAATGTGAGTGTGTTTATGTACTTGGGGGAGCCAAAAGATTTCGTGGAGTGGGGGAGCAAGCTACGGTGCTGTTAGAACAGGGGGGTTCCCTGAGCTCCTGCACTTTCTCTGCTGGGGATTTTGTACGGCCACCGTTTCTGCGCGTTTTGCCTGTTCTGCCCGCTCTGCCCCTCTCGTGCCCGTTCTACGCCAGATATCCTGCATATCTATGAATATCGTCCCTCTCGAAAGCCCCCGTATCGTGCCTATCACGGTGAACAATCAGTACTCCGTAGTCAAGAGGCCACTTGTCTCTTCTGCACCTGGAAACGGAGGGCAGAGGACAACAGACAGGCCAGGCTAGTGTGCTGAAGTGCCTGTTTCCCAGCCTTCCCTTTTGCTGGGCTGGCCCAATCACCGGGGCAGCTGCTGGGACGGGTAAACCCATCTGGCCCCACCACGACAGAAGGACTGCAGACGGTCAATCTCGTGGGGGGTTGCAACCGTAACCGCTGGGCCGACTTGTCACATCAGCCACCGTCAGCCAAAAAAGCACAGCAGCCAGGCCGCCTAACACGGCCGTCGGGCGTCAATTGAGCTCGGCTGAAGTTGGTTCATGATGCACGTCCAAGAACAGTCCAGTCCAATCGGCTGACAAGCGAGCTAATACCACTGCACCGTTTTGTATGGACCTACGTAACTCTTGGGCGTCCAAAATGCAATCGCAGCCCATCGCCTGCAGATCAACCTGCTGCAGTTCCATCTCCCATCATCTATCCCACCGTCTACTCTAGTGTTAGTGCGAGCCGTTGACGGAGCAACACCCTTGCACGGGCCACGGCTCGCTCCCCTCCAACGGTTTGTCCCATCCAGGATCATCCCCCGACCAATCGCTTACATGCATGACGTATTGCAAGTACATACGGAGTCCTGACCCGTCAACAACATCCCAAGTCGGGCAGCCAGCTCCTGAGGTACCTACTATTGAAGGTGGGATTGCATTAACCAGGTCAGGTCCCAATTTGTTTGGCCTCCATGTGAACGCTATACTATGTACATAGTAACACGAGCGGCAACATGGCCCAAAGGCCAGTCGTTGGGAGAGATCATTTCCTAGGGGCTTATCTCCTAGGACGACTGTCCATATTAGGTGGTTCCGAGGTCTGTTGGTGATAAATAATCCCACTTGAGGTGATCCGCGGGGGATAACCCTATGAGTTTATGAGTTCCTCTGTACTGTACGGACTTGTTTACTCCCTACAATAAGATGCCCCGAAGAAGACACTGCGGCGCCATGGTTGACACCCGAGCCGTGGATGCTGTTACATCCCGTCCCGTATATTGCACGGACACGTGTAGTCTATGTACGTACAATGCACGTCTGTACTGTGACGCTGGTAGCAGCCGTTGGCGGGAGATCAGGGGCGGCAGTCGACAAGTCTGCATTGGCCTGCTCAGTGCCCGCATCACCTCGCATTGCATCCCGCCGGCGCATTCTTCGCACAGACATAATCCCACCAGGTTGTCGGGCTGGGCTCGTCGACCAGTACATACACATACACAGCAGCAACAATCACCCTGTGCCACACGGAGAGTAGGTGAGGAAAGAGTCAAGCAGGGCGGAGTAGCAGCCCTGCCATATTAGAAGACATCGTGTCCCCATTTGAAAACACCCCTCAATTTGGATGCCATGTCTGTCTGTTGGACTATGCAGTACACAGTGATTACGCATGAGAGCACCCCGCTCAGCTGCTCGCCGGTCGTCGACGAGCGAAATATCCCAAAATAAGCTCTCCCAGACTCCGTACTCCAGGCCCAACCCATCGTCATTCCACATCAACTCTTTCATGAACTGCCACAACACCCATGGTCGTTCGCGCGGGGAGGCTACTGCCTCGCAGCCTCGCACAGACACAAACTCCATATCCCGACATCGACCAAGATAGCGACGCTTACTTGCCCAGCCTCCGGGCCTTGTTGTTGGCCACCTTCATCTTGGCCCCGATGCGGTCCACGTCGCGGTCCATCTGGTCCAGCATCTCGTTCTGCTGCTCGACCTCGCCCTTGATGGCGAGGCCCATCTCCTTCTGACGCCGGATGATCTTGGCCAGCTCCTCGACGTCCTGGTCCTGCTCCTCCATCTGCTGCTTCTGGAGCTGCACCACGCCGACGTTGTCCAGCTCCCGGGTCCTCTCCGTCTCGGGCAGCGGTGCTCCCAGCACCCTGCCGCCGCCCATCCTGGACCGCGACGACGCTGACGACGAGGACCCCCCCGCGCCGGAGAGCAGCGTGGCCTTGTCGCCGGCGCTGGGCGTGCCCTCCCTGACGCCCCGCGCCGAGGCGAGGCTGGAGCTCAGCTTCTCGAGCCCGTCCCTCTCGGCGCGCGCGGCGGCCAGCAGGTCCCTCCTGCGCCTCAGCTCGCCGTCGCCCAGCCGCTTTGTCTCCCCCATTGCCTTCAGCCCGCCCTCGAGCGCCGCCAGCAGGCTGCCGGCCCTGACCAGCGCCCTCTTGGCCGACGCGCCGGCCTCGACCGCGGCGGTGGACCCCTGCTTCCCATACGCTGCGCCAGGGCCGGAGCCGGCGCCTGAGTCGCTGGCGGCGTCCCTCCGGGCAAGCTGCATGCGGGCCTCGTGCAGGTGGCCCTTCATCTCGCGGTGCAGGTCGGTCCAGGTGGTGGGGTCGCTGGCGGCGGCGGCGTTGGGGCCATGCAGGTTGATGGCGGGCACCCTGCCCTCGACGGCGACGCCGCTCGAGCTTGCGGCGCTGCCGCCGCTGGCGGGGGGCAGGCCCAGGAAGCGCCTCCAGGCGGGGGTGTCACGCCATCGGCGGTCGGGCGACTCTGCGACGGCGCGGAGGTAGGTCTCGAGGGCGCGGCGGCGGTCCTCGGTGAGCTCGGGCGAGGACAGGGTCGACTTGAACCAGTGTTTGGCCGGCAGGGGCTCGGGCGGGGCGGCGCCGGTGGTTTTGACGAGCTCGTCGTGCAGGGCGGCGAACTCGGAATAGCGCTTCTGCGTGACAAAGGAGCGCAGGGGCATGCGCAGGGTGATGTTGTACTGGGTGAAGGGCTTCGAGTCGGGCGGCGAGTTGACCGATGTAGTTGGGATTGAGATCTCGATGGGCGGGGCCATAGTCGTCTGGCGGTCGAGGCAGACTCCGCGGCCAATCGTTGTTGTTGTGTGTCAGGGCTCTGTCGGGCTTCGACGGGGAGGGTGGACAAGGTGGCCGAGGTCGTGTGTTGTTTTTTGTTGCTGTGTGATGGCGACGACTTTAATGTGCCTGTCTGCCTGTCTGCCTGTCTGCCCTGTATGACGGTGGTGTTGGTGCGTGCGTGCAACTTGCAAGTGCGAGAAGAGGCCTGCAGTCCAGTCGGGTAGGTGCCCCGTAGACTACTGAAGGCCAAGCTTCGAGGGCCCTTAGCTGCGGCTCTGGCAAGGAACGGGTAGTGTGTACCTAGGTCGGCGGCTAGACTGCCTGGGTGGGCGTCGTACAAGTACTTGAGTACCTGTCCCCGTCGGTGAGCACATGGGGGTCCGTCAGCCAGCGTCGTCAGCCAGCACAGGGCCCCTTTTAATAAAGAAATGGAAGGAATGTGAAGAAAGAAGTGGCCAACCTGGCAAGACAGAGAAAATTTAGAGTACTCTATTGCCCACCTTGTCTTTACTCTGTGCTCCGTACTCCGTACTGCTGACCCAGCATCGCCTGCTAGAAGCTGTAAGCTGTAAGGGGCCTGCAAGGGCCGCTGCAAGGTTGGAGACGCAGCGAGTCGCAGGCTGGAGAATGCCATCATATATGCGCTGTCGACCTCCAGGAGGACTCGACTGCAGCCGACCTTCTCCACAGTGCCACCAGGCCCGCATTATTGGGGGACCTCAACCACCTGCCAACGCAACAATGGAGCTGTGCCAGTTAATTCGGTCAGTCCAGTCCCCAGAGTTCTCTTTCCGAGTAGCCGTGAACTGCAAGCAACTGGTTGGTGTACAGAGCAGCAACACAACCGAGCATCGCCAGAGAGAGAGTAGGGCACAAGCTGCCACACCTTGGAAAACTTGCCTGATGTCTTGCCATAACTTTGGTATTTTGAGTTGTTCTGTAGACCTCCTATCCAGGCATCCCTCACTAGGCCATCCTAGAGAGGGTTATATATAATTTAAGGTCAGGAGGCTGTTCCTCGGGAAGATGTCACTAAGGGGGCTGTCTATTAAGAGCCACCCGTAGAGAGGTTATGAATTAGGAAGTAGTTCTATTAGGAGGTTGTCTGTTGGGAGGTTGTCTGTTAGGAGGTTTTTGATTAGGAATTGTCGATTGGGAGGTTGTCGGTTAGAAGGTTGAAAAGGGCTGCCTATAAGAGGCTTGCTATTAAGAGGTCATCCTCTGGAGGTTAGAAGACACCATGGCCAGGTGCGCAGCTCACGATGCCACCCTTAAAAGGTACCAAGCACCGTAAAAGCCACACTAGTACACCGTTCGTACACACAGTAAGAGGGCATGAAGCCGAACGGCAAGCAACGCACGTAGAGAAGGAAGGAGTCACAAATAGGAACCGAGCTTTTATGTTCCCAGTTTCTATCGCAGCAAAGCCTCCCAGTACGCTGCCAGTCAGAAGTCAGCCGTCAGCCACGGCTGTCACCTACCACAGAAGACAAGGAGACAGCAGCCTGTCGGGGGCCCAGACCAGTGCATCCAACCCTCACAGGCCACCAAGTCTGCCCGACCCCGAGCACATTACATCTTCCACCTTTAAAGCCCAGGCGTCCCGGCCGTTCCCTCGTGTTGGTGACTGTCAGCCATGTTGTCCCTGCCTCCCTCAAAACGTCTCCTGGTCCTCGCCCTCGCCCTCGGGGATCTCGAAGCCCTCTTCTGTCGAGTACAGGATGGTCTGGATGTTCTTGATCAGGCCGCCCTCCTCCTTGTCCAGCTCCGGGTCCTCCTCACACGCCTGCTGGACGAGAAGCTCTATGTCCCGCAGCTTCGCGAAGTAGAAGTCGCGCTCGCGCTCCAGGCCCACCACCGTCTCCTTGAGCTGCGTGTTCTCCGCCTGCAGCGCCGCCGACGCTGGGGCGGCCTTGACCCCCAGGCGGGGCCCGCCAGAGGGCGTGGTGCCCCCGGCCGCCCGCCGCGCAGCCGTGGTCGTCGCCGCAGCCGCCCGAGGTGCACCGCCACCCGCGCCGGCGGACATGCCCTGGCCCTTGCGCCGGGAGACAGCATCGTAGTCGCCGCCGGGGTAGTATTGGTCCCAGAACCGCTTCGTCCACTGCAGGAACTCGAGGTTGTCCTGCATCTTGCACTTGACCAGGGCCTCGACGGGGACGGACTTGTCGACCTGGTGCTTGGCGAATGAGTCTGGGCAGGGTCGCGTGGTGTCAGCAGAGGAAAGAAAGACCGCGAAGCAGCCGGGGGCAGGGTTGGAGGTGATCTGTACTGACTCTGCAGGATCTTGAAGTTCTGGATGTAGGCATACTCGGTGTTGACGTTGAACTTGACACGCGACATGGGGACATCACCGAAGATGCTGTCAAACACCTGGCAAAGAGCAGCTCTGGGGCCAGAGACGACAACGGTTAGCCATGGGAGCTGTTGGATGTAGGCTTCGTGGTGCGATGCGTAAACGAGGGGCGTGGCAAGAATCATTCATTGCCTGGGGAGGTTCGGGCGTACGCACCCAGTTCCACATTGCTCGACCTTGGTCATGTTGAGCTGGAGGAGGCTGTTGAGCCATGCGATAAGTTCTTGGCTGTGGTGTTGCGAGTCTCGTTAGCATCCATGTCCACATCCCACATCCAACGGCGCATGGAGACAGCGTAGACAGGGCACGCGCCACTGCGCTGCTCGCTGCCCCCTCGAGAGGGTTGTGTGGCCGAGGAGAAGAGTCGCAGGTGCTGACCGTGATTCACCCATCTTGGTGTGGTGTGATTGAAGATCTGGAAGCAGGAGTCGCTGTTGGGTGACGTGGTCGTTGGGAGGCTGTCGCAAGCAGCGACGCGGCGTGATGGGCCGAAATGACGTGTGGGTATCTTAAAGGACGGCGGGGGAGGGGGAAATGGAGATGGAGATCGAAGCAGAAGGGAAAAAAAGGAAGCAGGCTGTCTGTCTGAAGCAGGCACACGACAAATCAAAAATCTACGTCTAGGCTGCAACAGGCTGTGTGTGTGTGAGAGAGGGAGGGTGAGTCTGGTTCCGTTCTCTTGGTCGAGGCAGCAAAGCAAAGCAGCAGAAGAACAAGACCGGCGACGCCGCCGTGGATCTGGATACGGAAAGAAAACGCAATCTGAAGACCACACCGCCGTCGCCCAATCAACGGAGGCAAAACAACACAGAGGGGGACCGTTTACGCCCAACAGGGCTCGGAGAATCGGGTCAGAGGTGGGGCTTATTACCCTGGACAGACTGACAGAGCTGCCCAAGACTTCCAGGTACCCAGGTACCCGGTACATATGTACTGTACATGCACTCACCGCGCTAGCATCACACCGCCCGGTAAAAAAGTTCCCTGACTTATTAGCCTGGCAACTGTGAACTGCAATTATTTCCTTCCCTGCGACCGCCCGCCCGCCAGCCAGCCAGCCAGCCAGTCAGTCAGTCAGTACGCCACCATGGCTCCTTCCAAACGCAAGGCCGAGGATGACTTCATTCTCACCATATCTGACGACGAAGCCATACCTGACGAGGAAGGAACAACCCCCCCACCGCAGAAGAAGGTAAAACCCACCAAAAAAGCCAGCAAGAAAACCGTCAAGGGTACTGCTACTGCTTCAAATCGCGCAAACGAAGACGGCAACGATGGAGACGACGGGGCTATGGACTCGGACTTTGAGTTCGACCTGGGCGAGGAGAAGAATTACCTGGCCGAAGACATCGAGGAGTGGACTTTCGACGGCGCGGCCAAGTCTATGAAATCCGGCCAGAAGCAGCAAATCCTGGAGGGTATAATACGGAGGAGGACCAGCAAGGCCCAAGACAAGGTCGCTGAAACGGGAGGAGAGAACGGCAACGGTGACGACCTGCCCGAGGGCGGTGGCGATGACGAAGATGACGAAGACGAGGAGGTTCTTGCCGAGGATGCGTTCGGCATGAATGTGGGCTCCGACGTGGAGGAATCGGAAGACGAGGACCGAGCTCGCAACATCGAAGACGGAGAGGGCGAGGCTGAGGGCAGCGACGACGACGACGACGCCGCCTCGGACAACGACTCAGTCGCAACCCCGGTCGAGCACCCAGACGACGACGCCGAGGAGTCGGAATCGGGCTCGGATGACGACGATAACGAAGATGCCGAGGAGATCGCCAAGAGGGACGCCTTCTTCGCGCCCGAGGAGAAGGCCAAACCCGGCAAGAAGGACACAGTCGGCCCATTCACCGCCATGTCACTATCACGTCCGATCCTTAGAGGCCTCGCAGCCGTGGGCTTCGCCAACCCCACGCCCATCCAGGCAAAGGCGATCCCCATCGCCCTCATGGGCAGGGACCTCGTCGGCGGTGCCTCCACCGGTTCGGGCAAGACAGCGGCTTTCATCGTCCCCATCCTGGAGCGACTACTCTACAGACCAAAGAAGGTGCCAACCACCCGCGTTGTCGTGCTCACGCCTACCCGTGAGTTGGCCATCCAGTGTCACGCCGTGGCAACCAAGCTCGCCAGCTTCACCGACATTACATTCTGTCTGGCCGTCGGAGGTCTGAGCCTCAAGGTCCAGGAGGCCGAGCTGCGGCACCGTCCCGATGTCGTGATCGCCACGCCCGGTCGTTTTATCGACCACATGCGCAACTCGGCCAGCTTCTCTGTGGAGGGGGTCGAGATTCTGGTCCTGGACGAGGCTGATCGTATGCTCGAGGACGGTTTCGCCAACGAGCTAAACGAGATTCTCCAAGAGATCCCAAAGTCACGCCAGTCCATGTTGTTCTCCGCCACGATGAACTCCTCGGTTGACAACCTTATCCGCATTGGCATGAACAAGCCCGCCCGGGTCATGGTGGACTCGCAAAAGACAACTGTCAACACACTTGTTCAGGAGTTTGTGCGTCTGCGGGGCAACGAGCACCTGCGCTTCGGCTACCTCCTCCACATTTGCAAAAAGATGTACACAAAGAGGGCCATTGTCTTCTTTGCTAGGAAGACGGATGCACACCGCGCACGCGTCATCCTGGGCCTCCTGGGTCTGTCGGCCAGGGAGCTCCACGGGAGCTTGAACCAGACAGAGCGTGTTGCCAACATCGAGGCCTTCCGGACCGGTGAGGTTGCGTTCCTGCTGGCAACCGACCTTGCCTCTCGTGGTCTCGACATCCGGGGTGTCGAAACGGTCATCAACTTTGACGCACCCAAAGACATCAGCGTCTACCTGCACAGGGTCGGACGTACGGCCCGAGCGGGGCGGCGCGGTACTGCCATCACCCTCGCTGCGGACCCCGATCGGAAGGTGGTCAAGGCGGCTGTCAAGGCGGGCAAGGTCCAAGGGACCAAGACCAGGAGCGTCACCATCGACGCTGCAACCGTCAAGGAGTGGCAGGCCAAGGTGGACGAGCTCGAGGGCGAGGTGGATGAGATCCTGGCCGAGGAGAAGGAGCTGAAGCAGCTGCAGCAGGCCGACATGGAGATCACAAAGGGCGAGAACCTGATCAAGCACGCCGACGAGATCAAGTCAAGGCCCAAGCGGACGTGGTTCGAGACGGAGCACGACAAGAAGAAGGCCAAGGAGCCCGCGCCGACGAAACTGAACGCGCTGAGGGAGAGCTTGAAGAAGAAGCACGCCAACGGCAAGCTGAGCAAGAAGGACATGAAGAAGCTGGACAACAAGGCCGAGAGGCAGAACGGGAGGTTGTGGAAGAAGGGGGCGGCCGAGCGTGCGGGCAAGGGGGCCGTGTTGAATTTGCGCAAGAATGCGAAGAAGGGTGCTTCGAAAAAATCCAAATAGAATTTAGGCGCTTATCCTGTAGGAAGCTGGGAAGATGTTCTCATACCAGAGATTATCCCATAAGACTTTATCCCATGAGATGTAATCCTATGAGAGGTTATCCCATGAGAGGTTATCCCTTGAGAGAGTTATGCTATGAGAGGTTGTTCTATGAGAGGTTGTCCTATGAGAAGTTGTCCTATGAGAAGCTGTCCCATGAGAGGTTATCCCATGAGAGGTTACCCCACAAGAGGCTATCCTATGAGAGGCTATCTATGAGAGGCTATCCTATGAGGTTGTGTAATGAGAGATTGTCCTATGAGAGTTTACCACATAAGACATTGCTACATTAGAGGCCATTCTATGAGAGGTCATCCTATAAGGTGTTTCCCCGTAGAATGTTCATTGAAAAGAAGGAAGTCAAGTCTGTGCCTGCGCAAGTCAAGACTGCTGACGATTTAACAGGATAACCCTGAATTCTCGTGCACCGCTTGCAGCACCAACTGCTCGGGTTCAACCACGCCACCGGGTCAGTGGACCCTGATTTCCATAGACGGAAAAAGTCAAGCGAGCTATTCAAGAAATTTATTCAAGAAAGCTTCACTCTTAGTACCTAGATAGTTTTACAGCTGAGTCCTGTTCTAATTATTGGAAGCTCACATCCATGCCCTTAACAGGTACATAAGCAGGTACTCCGTACAGGGTAAGCAGCTCAGGCTTGGCGCACGTGGCGTCAAATCAAGATCCGGTCCAGGAATGACATCACCGCCAAACACTCCTTTTTCGAGAATCTATGCACTGTTCCATAGACAACTCCCCAGATTGCAGCGTGTCCCCTCTGATCGTCAAAGCTATACTCCATCAATAGACTCACGGATAGTTCACGGCCGAGCTCAGCAGACAGCATTGAAGGTGGTAGTCCCAACCATGGCGCCGGAGAAACCCAGTCGCGAGCCAACGCTCTTTGAAGTCCTCTCCATCTCTCCACGGAGTCTGGAGGGGCAGGACCCAGCATCGCAAGCCAAGATTGCCAGGCAAGCCTACCGCCGCGCGCTGCTCAAACATCACCCCGACCGCCAGGCTCAGAAGACAGATGAAAACGCCGCTTCAGCATCGGACTCGTCATCAGCTTCAACCACAGATACATCGCAGCACTTCACCGTAGACCAGATAACAGAGGCCTACACCGTACTCAGCGACGCGGAGAAGCGACGCGAATACACACGCACATTACGGTCACAGACCAAGGCAACGTTTTCGGGTGGTGCTAACCAAAATTCCAAGAGGAGACGAAAGTCTAAGGCCTCGGGAACTGATACGGTCGTTCTGGATGACGACATGTCATGGGATGGCAAGCGTCGGCTGTACTACCACGCCTGTGATGGGTGTGGCAAGTCGCGTGGGTTTAACCTGCGAGGGGACGAAATCGACGATGACAGTGAGGATGATTCTGAGCTGACACTTCAATGTGTGGGATGTGAAAAGAGTCTCAGAGTTCTTGTGCCGGCTCTCGCTGAAGATGACGGCGGGCAGTGGGATGGGCAAGGGAGCTCGGGTCTGGGGACTGTACAGCCACAAGCGCAAAATATGGCTACCCAGCAGAGCAACAAGGACGAGGATCCTCCAAAAAAGAGCCGGGGCTGGGGATTCCGTCTTGGACTCGGGCTATCACTTGGAGGAGGCGTGAGTGCTCGAGCTGGGAGATGATGAAGGGTCGATCAAGCTGCAAGGGCGGCTGGATTCCCAGGTGGAAGATTCGTGATGAGGCAATGCGTTGTCTAGCCGGGAGATCCATCTTTTTGACTGAAAAAATCCTGGCTAGTGATGTGTTTTCGGCGGACATCAGTTTGAGCCTCCGTCTGACCGCAATACTGGGGTCTTGTCTGTTCTTGGTGTATACCGTTCCTGTCGCATTGGGCCTCTGTATGAGTAAGGGCAGGTCAAATGGCATTATCAGCAGTAGCATGCATTCCAAGGTCCATTGCGGGCCAACAGATCATCTGCTGTCTCCCCTAACATACTGTGACGTCCGCTCTGGACGTTTTGCACTTGACCCAAGCCTGTTTCTACTATCGTTTGGGAGGCCAGCCGAGGCAGGCAGCCATTTGACTAATATTGTCAAGTTAATAGTGAAGAATATTGCCTTATCTGGGTCGTTAGTTGACTTCATTGACCGAGCACACGTGTCTCCTATCCCATCAATCATGTACTCAGATTTGAATTTGGAGGCGACCAGTCGACCCGCCCGGTATGCGAACTGGCAGCCTTGGAATCCGAGGTCGTTTTGTTGGCAGCGAGGACTTTGCTATTACCGGTCTCGCTTGTGAAAATACATACCGAGGACGTGCACGTCACAATAGACTATTGCACAAGCTTTGACCGATTGTGGGGACGGCGAGCCCCGTGGGGCAGATCACCCTTATACACTAGTTAACAAGGGGGCCACAATTCCAAACAAGAGAAACACAACAATTACACTCGATTAGTAAGTCAGTTGAGTCGGCATCGATTAGGTATGAATTTCCAGTTGACTCGCTTTTCTTGCCTGTAAGCCGTGTGGAGGAAGGCCGCTCTTACAGGTACCCTGATCCTCCGAGTACAGTGAGCTCGCTTGCGCTCGCTCATTCTCAGCCCCTTATACTAGCTTGGCAACGGCATTAGGTAAGTAGGTCCTATAGGGGGTTTAATTACATCAGCCCTAGCATCCCTTAGACACACTTAGCCTTTATTATAAAGTTAAATAGCGCAATATTAAGAAATTATAGTAGAGTATAAATTAAGCCTATTAGAAATTATTAGACTATATTCTCTTTTTATTATTATTAATATTATATTTCTTTAAACACTAAGTCTTAAGTGTTTACCACTATATAAAGGCGCTACATACATTTTATATATATAGGGATTAAAAATAAAACTACTTCTTAGCTCTTTATATTAGCTTAGTAACGGTATTAGGTAAGTAGGTCCTATAGAGGGTTTAATTACATTAGCCCTAATATCTCTTAAATACACTTAACCTTTATTATAAAGTTAAGTAATATAATATTAAGAAATTATAATAGAGTATAAATTAAACTTATTAAAAATCATTAAACTATATTCTCTTTCTACTATTATTAATACTATATTTCTTTAAACACTAGATTTTAAGCGTTTACTACTATATAAAGGCGCTATATATATTTTATATGTATAGGGATTAAAAACGAAACCATTAAACCACCTAGGGATTAAAAACGAAACTATTTGAGAATCGTTGGTTGTTTAGAACGCACCATAGGTGGTATCCAGGACAATAAATCATAACCTACGAGCAATTGCTTGTACACCTGGTTGAGGGCGTTTTGAATATCAGCTGTCTGTTCAGATCATTGGACGGGAAACTCAGCCAAGCAACAAGTGAATAAAAGGTTGCTCTTCAGGACACCTAGATCATTCTTCCAGCCTTTTCCGAGCCTCAAGATGCCCCCTCGCCCCCGAATTTTGGCCTCAACTAGATGCTCTGAAGAAGGCCTTCGAGGCGCGTTTTCCCGGCATGACACCCGATGTCATCCTACTGTTGACGTCTCTAAATATCACGACGGCAATATTGACCAGCAGCCGGAGGCATTTTCTGTTTCGAAAGTACCATCCTCCAAACGGTTCACTACTGTCATCGCTGGGATCAAGAAGGCGCAATATCACGTTGAAAGCTCATTGACTTCGACAAGATCAACCTGGAGTTCCGAGCCACCTTAGAAGTTTGTTATGATGCCTGGCGTGAGTTGACTCCCAGAATTCGTGAAACGATATCTGGCCAAGGACTAACCGGAGAATAACGGCATTTGGGCAGCTGGTTCGAGCCTGGTAGGTTGAAGCTCTTTTACCAGAATCCTATCGGCACGCTCGGGGACTGATTGAAGACGTGTAATACATGGAGGAAGTATCAAGTCATCCATATTTGCCACTGTAACTAGAAGCTTTGTATCTATTCGCCGCAAATATATAGGAATGAGTATACACATTTTGACATCGAAACCATCTTAATTGCAAGGCGTAAGAGATAGACACGTCAAGATCAGAGCCCCGCGTGAGTTGGAAGAGACGTCCGTGTGCCTTTAAAATATGAACGGATATTGGGCCTTGGTTTTCGTGGAGACAGTAATTTTTATGTGTGACCAACCTCACCTGCTTCTAAATTTATTTGGAGTGATTCTCAATATTTCTGTAGTTGATTCGAATCGCATGTAGTTCACAGTCGAGGTTGAAAAGATGACGGTGAACACAGTTATAGTAATTTGAAAGCCCAGAGTCAGCCCAAGATTCCTAGATAGCCTAATAAAGACTCACATGTGCATGGATGTTGTCGTTGTGGTCACGGTGTAGTAGTGGGCTAGGAACTCCAACGTTGAAACAAATGTTATTGCTGGAACGTTTGTATTCTCCAACAGGAAGATAAAATCACCCTTGAGGTTTCGCCTAGGGTATCAAGACAAATCCAAAAACAACAACCTTGGAACAGAAGTCGAGCTACTCCGCAAGATGACCTGCCCCACGGCACCCTGGACTGGCACAGCCTGTCTCCCTTTCGTCAGCACAAAACCCAATGACGTCCCAGCTTCACAAAGTTCAAGTGGCTCGGGCCCGCCGCTCAGCACGTCTCGCAGCCTTTGCCGTTCTAGCTTTTGGGCCACGAGCTTGGACGGCCTCGACCTATTGTGTGATCAAATCAGTTTTCTGCATTTATTGACCTAGGTAGTACGATTGCCCATGAGGAGAGCTTACCTTGACTTGAGCTTCGTTGTTGGCGGCAGGCCACCTCTCTTCGCCTAGTCTCTGGAACTCGGCCAGCTCATCTTCGAACCGCTTGAGCGCAACGGCAGAATCCTCGTCATTTCCCGAGGCGTCGCCGCGAGGACCAATCCAAACACCTTGTTCGTCGCATGGCATGTAACAGTCATCTCCGCCAGTTGAAAGGATGACGCCTATATAGCCTGGCTTAGTTGAAGTTATATTGCGATCGCCAAAGATATACAACTCACCATGAGAAGCGCCAGGTTGTATACCCATGGCGCTAAAAGTTAGGATGGTGAGAAGAGTTGTGAAGTGCATTTATGTGATGTGAGAGGAGTAGTATCTGTGGTGTGTTGGTGGTTTGTTGGAGTTACTGAGAGCGTTGCGGGTGCCTCTGACCTGTTGAAATGATGATGGATGATGATGGTGCTTATGATGAGGAGATATCTCCTCTAAACCCAGGCCTCGGGGCTCGCAGGCTTATATGTGTCGTCGTCGCTCCCCTGGTAGAGGCGATTGTTGTTATCGGAGCTGTACTGAAGTCACCCACGCGAAGCCTGGAAGGACTCCCCGTACCCGCGACGCGGTCGGTTGGTGTGAGATAAGCATCCAAGTGCTAATCACACTCGCTTTTGTGGCGGTGACCTCCTTGGGGGCCAGTCACACCCTTAAAAGGCAGGCAACAGTGACTGGAGCCTAAGTCGTCTCGGTCACCTCGCCGAACGGTCACCAAAAAGGAGGCAATGCTGTGAAGGTGGGAAGAACATCCCATATGGTGGCAGAGCGGAGGGCTCAACTCTGGAAGTGTGTGGCTGTCAGCAAGGTGTCAGAGATCTCCTCCCCTCTTTCTATTTCCAAAAGAATACTAGGCACGTCATCCGGCTAGAGTGTGTGTTTCCTTGACCACGCATACTATTCCGGGCCGAGACTGCGCATCCCGGGCCCAGCAGCCCGGAAATGAACATATACTTCGACTCCCAGCACATGACTCTGCAAATGGGCCTATCACGGGCTGCCCATAAGCTGCAATTCGCATCCTTCTGTGGGTCGGATGCGGCTTACAGTCCGAGATAATAAAGCGGAGCCCCTCAACTCTAGGCTGACATCCCACGCCCACGGACCACCCATCTAATATCGCATGATCCAGTGTGTGTGCGATTGGATGGTTATTTCCTTATCATATCGACCGTCAGTCAGAGTTGGTGCTCATCGTATGACCCAACTAGATGGTGCGGGTGGCAGAGCGACGTTCTGGTCTAGTGTTTCTCTTTCATTTCTTGGCCGGACAAAAATAATGGGGGCCAAGCCTGAGGAGTAGTACATGCTCACGTCAACATCCTGGCCATGCAGGCTCAATTCATGCGGAAGCAAGTATGTTGCGAGCGCCTTGCTTTAAACTCGAATCCTCCTCGAATCTGAGTCATCCTAGTGAGCCAGGCAGAGTCACGGCTCGAGTTGACTGCGCAATAATTCTAGCAGTCCGTAATTGTGGATCCGGTCCGAAAACTTGGAACCCTATCTCCATCAGAAAGAGACCCTGCTTTTTCCATTTTGGAATGTGCCACCAGCCAACCTATCGATAGTTAGACTACCGTCAGGCGGTTTGCTTACAGCTGCAGCGCGGACACACCCACCCACCTCAAGTGCTACCAAATCACATGTCCAGCCCTACGGGGCGCTAGCCTCGATCCTCTGGCAGCATCTACTAAGCAAGAAGTTCCCGGGCCAGCCACTTCCTCCTAAAGGGGGGCTCAGCATGACCGTTTCAGCCATCATCTCAGCCCTGATAGCGGAGCCATGCACTTTGTCACACGCGGCCATGTGTGTTTTCTCTGGGGTTAGAGCTCGATAGGCACCCTTGACGGTATATGGGTGCCTGGGCGGCCGTCTAGTATCACCAGAGCGCCTGAGCGCGTGGGGAAAACCGCTCGGGGGCTGTGTACGACGTTGTGTTGGTTCTTGTGATGAAACGGGAGATATGACACTGGCTTCCTGTCGTGTGCGCCTCTCACTTGCCAAGAGCTTATCTGTCTCCAGTGAAAAAGCGAGCTGGGAGACTTGGATATCAATGCAGGTGACTCAGCTGAGGTTCTATATAGGGCTCCAAAGATGTTTTGAAAATATTGACCACACCTTATTCCGTGGCAGATATGCATACTCACCAGTTTCGATCCGCCTGACGCAGCGTTCCCGGTCCCCACCTGACATCCGACAACGTCCTGAAACCTTTTGTCTTCAATTTGTTTCCCCCTCACTACGGAATCTCTGTTAGCCTCATTAGATCGGGACTTGAATTGCCACTACTACTGGACAATGATGTCGGCACGACCATCCTCCTCAGATGAAGAAGAGAGAACGGCCTTCATTGAGCAAGGCGCCTCGTATCACGATGAGAAGCAGATCCCAAGGAGACGTGTCTCGCGTCCTTACATTCTTCTCAGTGTCTTCAACGCCTTGGTATTAATGCTCACCACTATCCTTCTCGCATCATGGCGTTATGGGCACGTAGAGCCATTAGTTAAACCCAATGAAGCATACCGACAAGTTAACGGCCACTCTCCGCTTTATGAAGATTTGCCGCTCAATCCATACAAAACCACCACCAACGGGACATTCTGGCCACCCAATAGGCCCGATGGCGGCAGTATAGCCCGAAAGATGCCCAATCCTGTCGATGAGGCTGTCTGGGATGACTGGGAGCTGACCACCGTCGTGCCGGTGACCGCCTCGGGCATCCGCGCGCTTGGCAAAGACCCCTCAACGGCTGCAAAGCTGGAGGATGACGTCTGGGGCATGGGAGATGATGCATATGCGGCAGTGCTTGACGTCTTCCACCAAATCCACTGCCTGAACCAGTTGCGCAAGTTTGCCTACGCGGACTACTACCATATGAAAATCGCCAATGCGGACCCGGAGGCCCTGACTTCACACGAGGTACACACAAACCACTGCGTGGATATCATACTACAGGCTATACAATGCTCTGGCAATTTACGTGAGTGGATCTGACCCCTGACCGAAACCGCTCTGTTTCTTTTACCGGTGTTGCGCAAAAATGCCATGGAAAGCATGACACTAACCAACTATTTAGAATTGGTCACGATGCACTGGATGGAAAGGCAGCAGTACCCGTTCCCCGACATGAGTACGAACAGGCAATGTGTTGATTTCAACAGGATTGTGGAGTGGCGCAATGACAACAGGATTGATATGAAGAAGTTCGTGGCGACGATGAAGAAACACGAGCAGCCCGGACCTATAAAAGAGCGCCCTGCGGAGAAAGGATACCTCGATATGTTTGGGTGATCAGTAATGGTACGTCAGATTGGCGCCAAACACACCGAGCTATAATTCTTATAACAAAGCTAAAAGAATTTTTAAAGAAGAAAACTATTATCCGAACAGCCCTAGAATATGTGAAATAAATGAATTACATATTGATATGAAAGATTTAGTTTTACTTAAAAGTGTTCTAAGGATTATTTCCTCTCTTTACACATGTACTAATCATCATTTATTAGTTACTTAAGTAGTGACTTGTGCAAGTGGAGTTAACCTGGTGTTTCAATATGGAAGGGTGCACACTGTTGTTGATTCCTAAAACTGCCAAGTTTGGAAGATTAGTATGATGTGGAATATTTCATTTCATCGTGAACGGTACAATCTCAGTAGTTTCGGTAGTCATTCTAATTCCTCAGTCTATAAGTCTGCCTGTGGAGGATTCAGGCTGCAATCATCCACGATGACGCAATCCGGTCTTAGAAGCACTGGTTCTGCCCATTCCGGAGTGAATGAGCGACATGCAGGCCAGGCCCACCCGCATGCAAACAAAGCTACACTACCCTTATTAGTCCAGGCACCAACCGCCCTAGTAACGTTAGCCCGTTTGTGCAGACAAGGACCACTTCTAACATCTGAAAGTTGTCTCCTGGCCACAGCAGACAACTCTCCGAGCTTAAGACTCCCCATCGCCTTAGCTTGTCGAAAGAACCACTGGCAACACCCATTTATTGGCATCATGGCCCAAGACCAACAAGTGGCCGACATCACAGACCAAGATGTGGCTCGGGTTCAACAGATCCGCCAGTTCCTGCCCACGACGACCAACAGTATTGTCAACTTCGACCGCGAAGTCGTCAAGCGCGATGCCAGGGACACGGTGATCATTGTCCATGAGTCCTTTCCGAAACTATGCCAGCTTTTTCTGGAGCACAAGGTCAGGCATGGCAGCAACGTCGAAAGGTTTCTCTACATGTCCCTGTCTTATCGTCAGATGATCATCCGCCTCGTCGAGAAGCGCCCTCTGTCCTTTCTCACCGCCGCAGACACCACGAAGCTTCGTGACGGGAAGGTGATTGCCAACGCTGCCGTGTTCTGGGACCGTGTTGGCACACCCGAAGAGGACCCCAACGAGGACATCAAGCTCGAAGACTATCTGAGCTACGACGAGATGATGCTGAGCGCGCTGGTCGGGGTCTCCGGCCCGAGCTATTTCGTGAACGATGGCGATAGGAACAACCGTGCCAGGCCGGGGCCGAGTGGTACATTTGAGGAGCGCGGCGTCATCATCGGACTGGTCGGCGCACGATTTGAGAGACCAGATCGCATGGAAGCAACCTACATCCTGCCACCGGTCGAGAACCCCAGGATGCATCCGGAACTGCTGAAAATATGGCAGAAATACCTTGGCATCGCACCCACGGCACCAGAAACGACCTTCAACGAAGTGGCATACCAGAAACGAATTCGGATAACCGCTGAGATGCTCCTGTGGGAGGCCAACAGTCGTGCAGGTGCCGTGGAGAAGAAGGCTTACGTGCACATTGTCGGCCTCGGCCTCGGCGTTTGGCAGGTGGTGGACAGACAAGCGCAGCTCTACGTGGACGTCTTTGCTCAAGTCATAGAAGAGTTGGGGGCTGAGATGACCGAGCTGGGAACGCTGGACTTCGCCTGGATCGACGTGACATACGAGGACCGGACAAGGATGAGAGGGGCTGCGCAGGCACATGGCATCGATGTTCGGTTCTCCAAGAGGAACCCCGCAACGAAGCTGCCTCATGATAAAGCCGACCAGCTGCTGGTGCTCAGCTACGCATGGGACTCGAACAGCTTCCCTGGAAACGAATACTGGCTGAAGCAGCTATCCGCAAGCGGGGACCCGGCGGCGGCTTGTATGTCTACAATTGCCGAACTGCATAATCCAGTCATCAACCGTGACTTTCTGCAGAGGATGGAGCCTCGCGTATATTATAGTGTCCCATATCGGTAATTGCGGGCAGCATTGGGCCGGGGACATGAAAAAGGAATTTATTGATTTCCTCTCACATACTTACGATAATGCCGTGAACCTGGGTACTTCAATTAGTACTCGTGCAATTATGTGGTTTCGCTTCTATTCCGTATACGTCCGAGGACATACATGGCGCCTTCATACGGTGTTCGTGCAATTATGTAAATCCCCTGGTGCTATCGTCTGATGTTCCGATTCGACATTGGATACCGCAGCGGAGGATGCTAAATCAGTGGTTGCACTGGTTCGATCCCAACGTTGAACACATTCAGGGAAATGCGCATATCTCGCTGGTTTGAAGACATGTAGTGGTAATAAGAGTGCGAGCCCAAAGATTCCTGACATACGATTGCGAGCCACGTGCTTAGCGATCAGTTCAACGTCGTGTGTTCGGACGACCGTCCAACGACGATCGGTTGCAACGTAGCGAGCATATAGCATGATTATTATGCTGGTCATCCGAGCTGTGCTTGGGCCCCTGTGCTTGTCACAGGGTTCGTCCGAAGTATGGGTAGTAGTGGAGTTGATTGAAATCAAGCCGCAGGTGTTTGTTCCACTTCTTCCTTCTCCTGTCCGTCCAAATACCCCCACTCGCAAGTGTGAAGGGCAATTGAAAATATTCCGTGAGGCACAGCTGGGTCAGTATAGATCCGCTGCTAAACTCCTGGTGTCTTCACATGCCCAGCTGTCCAGATGCCGCGGCCTGCAAGGACCAGCATCTCAAGGGTCACGGCTCACATATCACTGCATGCTGCATATTTCCCCGTGCCTCCAATCATGTTGCTATGTTGTTCCCCGCAAACCGACCTCAGCGCAGGAACGGGTGCAAGCTTTTCCCGATCAATCCAAATGTCCGTGACTCGGCCGACGCCATCACTGAATTTAGTTCGCCCTTTCCACGGCCCATCACAATCACCGTGGGATCCTGGCTCATATCCTCTGCAAAAGAAGAGTGCTCGATGATTCAACGGTGGGAAGTGTACCGAGATATGCTGACTCGATCAGGAAACTCATCGACAGAGGACACCCGAGCCCGTTGAATATTCCGTCAGCCGTTGCGGGGTAGCCCGTAGTTATTGCTACCTTGCCAGGTTTTCGTTGCTCAATACCCTGCCTAGAAGCTCTTGAGAATTGTACAAGGCCTCGAGCTTGCGGGGGCCTGTTCTCCCCTGCATGTCGCCTTGCTGTGCGTATAAAACCCACGTGTGCCAGCACCTGCTTCAGCTTGTAGTTACCCAGTCCTCTCGGATCGCCTCGCCCGTCTAGCTCACCACCTTGCCTTGTTGCTGTATTTTGTGCCACTGTTGAGAGCCCTAGCAAAACCAAAACAGCATGCTCATCGCCAGAGTCATCCCCGCCCTCGCCCTCGGCGTTGGGAGCGTCCTCGCCGACGGCGCCGCAATCGCCAATGCCATCGCGGCGATTCAAAACGCCACCAACGAACTGACCACGACGGTCAGTAACTACAACGGCAATATCCTTGGGTCACTTCCCATCATTGTGCAGTCCACCTCCCTCCTCTTAACTATCAAGAAGGGTACCCAGACCGCCGAGGAGTCCGCTGCGCTTTCCGATCTCGAAGCAGTGACCGTGGGCTTGGCCACCATCACACTGGTTGGCAACGTCAACGCCTCTCTAGACGCCATTGTCGATGCCAAGCCCAAGTTCGACCGGAATCTGTTGACCCCCGTCGTGCTCTTGAACCTGGAGCAGCAGAGATCTGCCTCGGCAGACTTCAGCGACGCTGTCGTGAGCAAGTTGCCGGCCACATTTGTGTCCACAGGCCAGCAGCTCGCCGCACAGATCAGCGAGGCCTTCAGTGAGGCTATTGGTGTCTACAGCGGGGGGATCTTGGACAAGTGAAGGTATGGGGGCCTGAGCAAGCCTTGTGGGTGGTAGCACGTTGTAAATACATGGTGGTATCAATTATAATAAGCGGCGCATGTCGACATGCAATGTCGCCATGAACCATACTATATTTTCACGGGGTGTGGTGACTGTCGCGGGTGTAACTAGTCCGCATCCAAGGATGTATGTCTGTAGACGCGAACAGAACCGCACATCCATCTCAAGATGGATGTGCTACCAGTCCGTGTACCGAATCTTCTGCGATACTATGTCGCCGGAATCTAGTCTCTCAGAGATTAAGCTCTAGCCAGCGGCGTTCATTATGAGTTACAATTTTCGTATCTCGAGCTTAAAAAGGCTGTGAATGTGATCAATACTACTGAAGTACGTATGTATTTTAGAATATCAACTGCTCCCACCCCGCCCACACCCCGCCCACTCCAAAAGACAGATTTGCCTTGCAGTATGCGCAGATCAGCCCCCAAGCTCGCCAATGAAACACCCCCTTTTGATAGATACAGACAACTAGAGAACTGTAGCCGTGATGATAAGGATCCTTTCAATCCCCGTCTTGATGCCCTTACTGGAATGAGGCGCGGTACTGGTCCCAGAAAGAGTACATTCGGTCTTCCTGACCGGGCGTGAACTCCTCATAGCATGTATCGTAAGTGTAGTCCATGTAGTTGTGGATTGGGTCGACGCCAGCCGCCGGGCAAGTATCCCGGCCCACTGGGCAGCCAGAAGCAGCACTGGCCTCAGCAGGCGTGTCATCCACACTGTCACCACCAGAGCAGCCACCCTGGAATGTGTGATACAGGCCAAACCAGTGTCCTATCTCGTGGACAGCGGTCAGTCCCAGGTTGTAGTTTGTCTCAGAGCCCCCGGGAACGGTGGATGACAGGATGGTGCAGCCATCGAGGTAGAAGTTGCTGTCAGAGCCGCTGGTGCTGGTTGGGAAATAACAGTAGCCGAGGTAGCTCATCGAGTAGACAAAGTACAGGTTGAGATCCGCGTAGGTTCCCTTTCGGAGAGCTCTCTTCATGGCAGTCTCGGAGCGGTCATTGGCATAGTTAGAGTTAACAGTCCAGTCAGTTCCGGCATTGACGAAGTTGATCCCATGTGGAGCAAAGGCCGTGTTCATAGCGGCAAGCTGTGAGCTGATTTGGCTTGACTATTTGGTGTACGAAATCAGCCACGTTGTTGATGCGAGACGGTGAAGGTCTGGACTAAAATAGACGGTGACGAGGGACGTACACTAAGATAACCTCCAGACGCGGAGGTTGAGGTTGCCAACACATGGAAGTAGACATTGACATCAATGGTGGCCGCAGCCGAGGTCGCGTTGCCAGCCAGACGAGCCTCCTTCTCGATCTGGTAGAATGTCTTCGCTATGGCTATCTCCTCTTCTGTGGGCTGAGGAGCACCACAAGCGCGCTGAGCAACAGCATGGGAAGCCGCGATGGCAGTGGCAAAGATGGTTTTGAACAGCATCCTGTCTTTTCCGTGGCAAGTGTCGAATGACGGTGGGTTCCTAAGTACAGCGAATGTAATACTGGTGAGAGTGATGCGACTTTGACAGCCACAAATGAAGGGCAGGTCTGACTATTTTAATAGTCAACACAATAGAAGTTGTCAGCGATACTCGGCGCATTCTCAGCCATGTAACGTCTACATGCTGCCCCCGTATCTGCAGACCTTTGAACACACTCGTCGAGAGATTGCGCGTTTAATTTCGCGACCTTCCTTTCTAATACAATCTGCCGGGTAGCACCACTTCCATGGATGGGTAGCAAGTCTATGCCCAGGTGTGCAAGTAGATATGCGCAGCTAGGTCCAGCTATCACCAGGTTGCAACCCCATATCCGTCGAGTCGCCCGGTAATTAGCTGTTGAAGTCTTGGCGATGTCAAGACGCGTTCGGCCGTCGTTCGGCATGGAGACTAGCATGCCTGCAGGTAAGCAACGGCGCTGCGTGAATGGAGGCCTGATGGGTCACCAGAACACTCATGTTGCCTTACCTGGAAAGATAGAGCAGCATTGGGGCTGCTTTATCTTGCTCTTGGTTCGCGCACGCAGACTTGGCATGTAGGCTGCTCTGATAAGGCATGGGTTCATGTACTTACTCCGCAAATTACTATGCATGTTCCGTCAACAGCCCTGAGCGTGGCACAGCATGTGCCGCCCGGCCCGGCAATAATTGACCTCTGGTTGGCTGTGCTTTTCGTTCATGTGCCTGCATGCGCTCTTCCTCTACGACAGAGCGCACGCGCCGGCGCTCCTCAGCGGTCAGCTCAACCAGACAAGCGATTCCGCCAAGAGATGCCCAGAAATGCCCAGACGTGGTATAGAAAAAGCACACAGGATGAGAAAGACGACCTCCTTCATCTGGCAGACCTCCCTCATCGGGAAGCCTCGCAGGTGGTGTAACACGTAATGTGAACACGTACAGTTTCGAGCTCGGAAGTCCGCGGCGATGGAAACAGCGCACGTATAGAGCTCGCTTAAGCAGTTGTCGAGCGGAGTCGAGTAGGATAACTGAATGAGTGCTCTATCTTTCAGTATTGAGACTCCCGGTTGCACACGTTACATCCCGGTGGTAAATGTTTATCCGGGCTCGTAAATGATGTCTTGGTTCGAATGAAGGCCGTATAATATCCCTCCTGAGTGACCTGGCGGTCTATCGTGGGGCTGCGTTTTCCGGAAATATCAGTCAAATAGTCCACGGAATTGTGTCAGGGTGATACGAATGTGCGAGGGCGGTCACCGCGTGAGGGTTTTGAAGACGTTGTGAGTGCTAGACATTCGGTCAAAACCCTGAGTGCGTTGGAAAAAGAGCACCGCTGGACACCCGGAAATCAATGTTTGAGAGCAAGGCCCCGGGGATCGAGGACTAAACACCTGTTTCGTTCTCGCGCTGACACCTTCAGGGGGATGTAGCATGGGGTCCGAACCATTAACACCTATCACTAGGCAGCTTATGAGACTCAAGAGAGTAAGAGCGAGGGACCATCTCTTACGTAGAATATGCCATTTCTCATATCCAAGAACATGAATTTAATTCAATTTATGGACAAGGCGCAGCCTTGTGGACTCAAAAGTCCGTTAGGTCATGGATCGTAGAACAGGGCAATGAGTTCCCAGTAACTTAGCCATACTTCTAAGTTGTCTTGCTTGAAGCGAGTGGGTTTTATACAGATCCTCCGAGATACTCCCAGCCGGCGAGCACATGTGTTTTGACGACAGCCAGGAAGTCCTCAATAGATACTCTCTCGTCCTCTGCGCCCATAGTATCCGGTGAAACACCAAAGATGTATGCCGGAATCCCGCGATAGCGATAGAACTTGCAATCCGTCGCTCCCATGCTTGGTATCGCCAATGGCTTTCGTCCTGTGACTCTTGCTGCATTCCGTGCCAGGATATCCACCATTGGGTGGTCGTGCGCACACGCAGCCGCTGGATTGCTTGCTGCTGTCTGGATCTCGACCTTGGCCTCTGGGTACTTGGCCAATGTCTGATGGATCACAGCCATGACATGGTCGGAGTTGAGCCCCAGGGGCATCCTGATGTCTGCCTCGAAGAAACACTGTCCTGGTATCATATTAACCTTAAGACCGCCATGGAGCGTTCCAATATTCAGAGTGCACTTCATGGCAATGTCTGCCGCACCCTTGCCCATGGCCTTGTCGATGGCACCCCTCACATCCTCTCGCTCCAAATACGCCTTGAGGCCGGGTTCCAAATCCGGGACGATAGCTTCCACAACAGCCAGTTCGGAGATCAATTGGGCGGCTATCCTCGTTGCGCTTTTTTGCAGGTGAGTGTAAGCCCCGTGGGCTCCCGGCCCAGTATCAACGATAAAGGTCAACCTCAGGGTCCCCTTTTCTGCGAAGCGGATTGTGTTCAAACCTCCAGGCTCGGCATTGATGGTCACTTCACCGGCCCACTTGCTTCTCTCCCCCTCAGAAAGCTCATTTCCGTCCTCATCATGACCCAGTAGCCACTTCGTCCCGAACCGCCCGCCCGTCTCCTCATCGCTGACAGCGCAAAGTGCCACGCTGCCCGTCAGATCCTCCTTGTAGCGATGGAGGTAGGCGAAGGCAATGACGCTGGCGGCGGTCCCTGCTTTCATATCCACCGTCCCTCTGCCGAATAACTTCCCATCAACAATATCTCCGGACCAGGGGCTGCGCTCCCAGTCGTGGCCGTCCCCAGCGGGGAACACGTCTATATGCCCGTTCATGGCAAGCCTTGGTCCATGTGTCCCTCCGCAGACGAACTCAGCGACTACATTTGGGGCTTCCTGTCCGCCAGGAGAGATGATTCGAGTCGGTATGCCGTACTGCGAAGAGAGATAGTCACGGATCACGGCAGCTGCTGCGCGGGTGTCCCCCGGTGGATTTGGAGAGGCGGCCTGGACAAAATGCTGCAGAAACGAGATGTGTGCCCGGGTGTCAGCCTCTATGGCCTTGAGAAGGGCTTCTGAGTCCATCTCTTGGACGGAGCACATCAATGACATGCAAGTTGCCGTATCACAGGTTCAGAAGAAGCTTCTCGACCGTAACAAAAAGGACGTCCAAGCGAGACTGTTGACGAGCTCAGAGGTGCAACCGCTTCTTTCATGGGTGTTGTTAGACGTTGTCACATGTCCATGTGAGTCATCCGGCGAGGCTATCAACCACAAGGTCTCTTTTACCGTTGTCTATGAAGTGGAGAAGCGAACGGGAACTATTGTGCAAGATTAGTGCAACTGCCATGATGCATGATGACTTATTAGCCAAAGCTTGCTTGCCGATCTCCCGTGAACCCTGCCTAGGGAAATAGAGAGTTCGATAAGGGCACAATACCGCGCACGTCAAGCTGTACATGATACAAAACACCTTGTAGTAATTCAGGTCGCGTATACTTTGACGATATTATATAAAGATGGTAATCCTGCGTGGTATCCCTGCCTGTGTTGTCACCCTTGCCAACGCCGTGCTCATGCCGCAAGTCTTGCGCGTAGAATCCACTTACAGAAGCTGGGCGTCATATGGAAAGGAAAAACAGGGCTCTCATCTACCTCTGGGTATTATCCGTGCCTCTACTAGTACTGTGCTTGGTGGCTTCCTTGACGATCCCCACCGCCTCTGATACGACATCCTCCCCCCTGCGCCAGGTGTACAGTCTCACGCCCTCCCGCTCCAAAGCCTCGTGAGCTCTTTCCAGCCTCCGCAGCCACAACTCTAGCTTCTTGTTTACCGGCAGATTCTGGCCGCCTTGTTGCATGGTATGCCCCGTGGTTGACCCCAGGATGGAGTCGAAAGTGGAAGCGGTCCCTGTCCGATTGGGGGGTCCAGGCCTGGGTGTCGACATGGGGGCTGACGAATCCAGGTTCAGGCTGTCGATGTCCGAGTTGGACGTCGCGCGCCTCAACACATGTTGACCAGGGCTGGCATTGGCCAGGGAAGGTGTACCGCGGCGACGCGGCGGCGGCGGCGGCGGAGGTTGCTTGCTGGATGACGCAGAGTGGGAAGCGGAAGGGGACGGTGCGTTGGGGGAATCGGTGTTGGACCTCATAGAGCCGGCATTACTATTGTTTCCATTGCTTGGTTTCCGGGGAGGGAGGGTCGGACTCTTGCCCAAGCTCTGAGTCGATGAATTCTGTGTCTGTGCTAGGGGGTGCGCGGCTGCACCCTTGTACTGGGAGGGATGTAGGTTCTTGCCCAGCGTGGGTGTTCCGCCCCCACCGCTGGGCGCTTCAGTCTTCAGCGACGCCGAGGAACCGCCCCTGAGTGCAGCGGGCTTGCTGGGTCTCGGAGGAGGGGGTTTCTTCCGCGGTGCCTGATCCTGCGCGGCGGTTGACGGCAAGGGGGTTGCCCATGACTTCTCCAAGATTCTCTCCTCCTTCGCACTCATATTTTGAGGCTCCTCCGACAAGTCGATCAAGTCTTCGTCGGGCGCTTCTTGTCTTGCAGGTGGAGCAGTAGCTCGCGATGGCAGGGCCGGCCTCCGGTCAGGGTGGTCGCTCCCAGAATCCTTCCTCGAGTGTGTCTGTGCATCGGTGGCTCTTTGTCTACTTGGCGGGGCTGCCGGGGGAGGAGTGCTGAAAGCAGAATCGAAGTATCCGGCCTGCTCTGGAGTTGTGACGTCGCGTATGAAGATGGCAAGGATCCGGCCCGGGTTCGCGAGCGCCAGATCAGTGTACACTTCCAGATCAGCCTCGCCGCTGTCCCCGACGAGAATGAATCTCCGCCGTGGGAAGTCGCGGAGGATCTTGTCCAATGTTCCCTTCTTCCTCTCAGCCACAGGCTCGAAGATACCTTGCAACATGCCGCTGTACTGCTTCAAGTGGAGCGACCCCGGCGGAAGGCCGGCGAGGCCGAAGAAGGTGGCAATGACGGGGAAGAGCTGCCAGGGGCTGTTGGAGCAGTAGTGGAACTGGACGCCCATCTTGTGGAGTTCGCCGTACCACTCCTTGACACCGGCGACGGTGAGGTCTTTGAGGTCGCGGATGAAGGTGTTTCGGAAGATCTCCCTGGCACCCATGGAGATGCTGGACTTTTTGATGGTGTCGTCGATATCACTGATGACGCTGACTCCATTGTCGCTGATGATATCGACGGGTTCGACTGCCGACAGCTTCTCGTTGGCCAGCACACGGACGTGGGTGGGGACGAAGTCCAGGGCCGCCCTGATATAGAAGTGGCCGGCGTCGTTGGTCATGACCGTCCTGGACACGGATTGGTCGTCGTTGTAGAAGAACAGCGTCACGGGGAGCTCGACGAGCGGTGTGGTCAGGAACGGGCCGAGGCGGGCCATCAGGTTGGCGTTGGCCACGGCCAGCTCGGCCTCTGTCAGCTCCACAGGGGCGCCGGTGTTGTTGGCATAAGGCCGCGCAGAGAGCCTCGGAGACGAGGATTCAGACATGGGCGTGGCACTTCCGCTCGCGCTCCGACTCCGAAGCGAGGGTGCTGGGCCTTCGCCTTCCGAGTCCTCGTCCCTGGGCGTCTCGCTGTAGCCCCCCTTGACGGCGGCCTCCTTCTCAGCCTGGCCGCGGCGCTCGATCATCTCGGCCTCCTTATCGATCTTCTGCTGCTCCCTGGCATCCTCACGTGCCTCATGGCCGGTCCTGAGGGAGTCGGACTGGCCAGATGGCTGGTGGGTCTGCTGCGGCACGCCGCTCAGTCTCCTTGCCAGGCCGATGAGGACCCTGTTCTTCCTTGTCATTGGGCCCTTGTGCGGCGCATAGACCCACCCGCGCACGTCGACATCGACCACAGCCTTCTTGTCCTCCATCCTGGCCCACTCGTTGCGCCAGTAGTCCTCGTCGCTGAGGTCGGCGTCCCTGCGCTCGCCCTCGACATGGGCGGATGCCTGCCTGTCGTCGTCGGTGAAGCGCCTCACATGCCTGGCGGCGTAGGAGGGGAACAGGACCATCTGCTCGTCCCCCTTGCTGACGATTGAGACGTCGGGGAAGGAGCCGGGGATGGAGACCTTGTAGGAGGAGTCGTCGACGTCGACGACGCCGCGTATCCTGGTGTTGTCGTACTGGTTGCGGATCTCGGAGGCGGTGGCCACGCCGGCCTGGTAGACACTCTTGGCAAAGCCGGCAAGCTTCTTGCGGCGGGCGCCGGGCTCCCTGTCGGAGGACTGGCCGGGGTCACTGTCACCGTAGCCGTAGCCGTAGCCGTAGCCATAGCTGCTCCCACCGCTGCCCGACTGGGCCATGTTGGCGGGCCTGGACCTGTCAGCTGGGCCTACTGTCCTGGCGGGCGCATCCCCACGCACGGGCAGGTGCTTTCGGTGCTGGGGAAGGGCGGGGCGCGCGGCAGCAGGGCGTGGCCCGAGGAGCAAGCGGCGACTGCGCTGGGCAGCCCTGTTGATATGGTCGACCCAGCGGGTGCTGGAGAGGCGGCGCTGTTGGCGAGCGAGGATGTAGCGATAGATGCGCGACTGCAGGCGGTGCTTATAGTAGGGGAGGGTGTCGAGGCGGAAGTCGAGGATGCGCTCACGGTATTTCTGGCGGACGGCGACGGGGGAGAGGAAGCGCAGCAGGGTCTGGCGTTGGTTCGGACGGGGCTGGCCGAACAAGCGTCGGAAGGGCCTGAAGAGAGCCACCTTGCCGAGCTGTCTGCCTGACAAGAGGCTTATCTGAGGGCTGTGGGGGGTGTGGAAAGTGTGCTCTTGAGGTTGTCAGGTCGTGAGGTCGATTGATGATGGGAGAGGGAGGGCAGTTGAGGGCACAGCTGCCTGGGGCCAGGGTCACACACAGCACAGCCTCGGCACGGGTGGTCGAGTGTCAATGTCGAGCGTCAATGTCGGGGGTCGAGGGTCGAGTGCCGAGTGCCGCGCCCCGTTTGGCTGCTGATGGATGGATGTGTCTGGATGATGGATCAGATATGGATCAATCGATTAGACCAAAGATCAGACCAGTGCCTTGGTGGCTGCGTGTTTGATGCCACACTTGCACCCTCTTGCATAAATCAGTTGACGTCTTCCGAGACACGTGGGCCAGAGGCAATGCAGGCCAGCTCGATGCACAGCAGAACCAAGTGACTCGAGTCCTGTTGACCCCTTGCTGGACCCGATGCTTGCTGACTGGCGACCGTGTTCAGGTTGTTTGGGCGGCGACGGGGCCCATGGTCACCTAGACGGTTGTTGGTGGCGCATGGTGGTGACTTGATGCAGAGGTTTCGGTGCGGCAAGCTTCAACCGCTAGTCCTAACCGCAGCGGACGGTGCTTGTAACCATTACGTCACCCGTGCCTGTAAGTCTGACAGCTGAACTCTAAGCTGCACGCCAGCACTGATAACTTGTACCAGTGTACCTGGGTCCCTAAGTATTCTGTATGGGCCCTTCCTTACTCCCACATCACCACACAATACATGCTACCCTAGGGTACTTAAGTAAGTATGCTTGTGGCCATCTCACAGTAGGTATCTAGGACTTGTCAACCTTGGCCTTGGTGTCAGCCTTCAGGTCGCCAGGCGCATCAAGCCCCGAGGAATTTGACTGTGTTACGCACGGGCAGACTGAAAAGGAAAATGTCGGATGCTAATATTGATACTCATTGATTTTCCTGTCTCACAGCGGCCACATTATGCTGCTTTGGACCTTGCACCCATCCATTACTTCCCATATCCAGATATCCAAACAACTCTTTACAGAGACACTGTGACCCTTTCTATATAACTCTAGTGACCACTAAATATATCTAGGTACTCTGATTCAATACGCGCCTACTGTACTACCAAGCTACCTCCTGTCTATACCAGAGGTCCACTGTGAAATAATTCTGACTATCCTAGGGGACAATCCAAGGACAAGAATCACCAGGTGGGGCAGATCTAGTAGCCCCGGTATGTGGGCGCATACAACTCGCTGACGTTAGCCGGCTCATTGCTTGCCTCGTACACCATCGTGCCCGTTGCCGTGTTAGGACGACGAACACTTCCATTTGTAATAGAAGCAGGTCCGTATGTTGTGGCCTTGGAAACAGGTCTGGAGGTGGGGCCAGTGAGTCCATGAGTGCCCATGGGCATGACCGTATCTTGTTGATGCTGTCCTTTGTGACCTTGTGCAGCGGGAGCTCTCTTGCGCCGCAAGATCAACCAAGTAGCCAGCACACCGACCACTGCCGCGGCAGGAATACCAACACCTAGTCCTATCTTCGCTGAGGCATTGAGGTCGGAGGAGCTTGGTGTTGCTGAGTTCGAGTTCGAAGCCGTAACACCTGCTGGAGGATCGGAGACAGTTGTGGTGGGTGACAATTGTGCCTTTGTAGCTGCACTGCTCGAGGCACTTGGCGCGCTTGTCGAGGCATCTGACGTGCTTGTTGGGACAGTGTCTGAGCTGGCTGCCGTAATGTTGAAATAAACGGTCATGTCGCTTGCGGTTGTGGCTCCTGTGAAAAAGAGCATCATCACGAAGACGTTGGAGACACTCAGGTCCTTGTTTGTCACCACGATCCACTGACGTGACGTTCTATCAAAGGCCTGGCCCTCTGGGGGCGAGTACATATCAGGTCGCGTCCTCACAAATGTATATAACACAAATGCAGCGGATTGAAGCGAGACTCACCCGCGATATACTCAAGGTCGCCTATCGTCACTGGAGATTTACTGGAAGCTAGAGTTGAGCTCGTATTGACCTGGAATCAAGGCAACTGTCGCATCTTGATCCGAGAAGGGTGAGGTCCAGCGGACCTGGAGGACTGAGTGCTCCGGGTAGGCCGAGCCTTGTGAGAAGCTGCTCTGGCTGCCATGGCTGGACGGATTCACAAACTCGAATGATATTGCAGTAGGCAGGACTGCCCAAAGTGCCACTAGCGATTTGCGGACGCAGAAACGCATTGAATACAGACCGAAGTGTCACTGAAATCGAAAATCAAATAGAATAGAAGATGCAAATCGCCAGCGAGCAATGATATGTCTACCACTGGCAAGAAGTGGAGGCAAGGTGCCGGTGAAGTGGAGTGCAGTACACAGTAATAAGGCGATACAAACACCTGGGCATGTACTGGCGTTGGACTTCCACCCGGTATCTCATGCTAGGTGCCGCCAGCGGTTGACCAAAACAGTTGGAGCAATCCTACTGCAACCTCATCCTCCCTCATTGCAGCCTACGAGTAATTGTGTCGACCGATCCAGCGAGTCAGACGGCGTTTTTTAATCACTGATCAACCAACAGTGGTATTCAAACGGGGCTTGTGTCCGGATCTGCCCCTAAGTGAGCCCTGGCCAGTTACAGAGTGTTTTCAAACCACTGTTGGTTGTATCTCGGCGCTTACATATTACTGCGCTTCGGACTACTGAACCACCACTTCCCAGACTTGTCAGGGACCCGCCGACAGGGATCAACCGCGCCCCTCCAGAGCTCGGCAGTTCACATGCATGGTCAAGGGGGTTAAGCGCTTATTTATCCCTAGACATCCTATTTTTGGGGAGATCGTCGTAAACCGACCGATTTGTTGCCTGAGAAGATATGCCTCAGGGGTGGAGCGATACAATAGAAATTTCACCTGCATCAGTCCTTAAATGGAAATCGTCTGCCTTCCGTGTTCTATCTTCATAGGAGTGGAGGAAACAACGTCGCACATTGTTTACGTTTACTTCTTTGCTCCAGTCGTCGGATCTTGACGCTCACCTGCTGCCTTACACCATTCCAAATCGGTTGCCTGCTGTCTGGATGCCTCGATTCTACGATGAAACTCTTCATTGCCCCTCCCTCTTCGCAAAACCGCCAGGTGCTCACACTAGCCGCGGGCATCGGCATTGTGTTCCTCCTCTACCAAGCCTGGGGTCTTCACGACCGTCAATTATCCCTCTATCCCATCGATTCGCCAGCACCAGCCCGAATAGGATTCGACGCAATCCCAAAAAAGATATGGTACAAGCTTGGGGCAAGGGGACTCAGCGCGGATGCGGTGGCGTGGACTGGCAGCTGCATGAGACATAATCCCGCATATGCGGTCGAATTCATGACGGACCTGTCCGCGGATGCGTGGGTTGCAAAGACATTCGCGCATCGCCCTGACCTTGTTGAGGCCTTTCTCGCACTCAACGTACAAATTATCAAGGCCGACTGGCTTCGCTACCTCCTGCTCTATGCCGAGGGAGGAATGTGGTCGGATCTCGATGTCTCGTGCAACTCCCCTATCGAAAGTTGGATTCCTCCACAGTACAGAGAAAACATCTCAATGGTCGTTGGCTGGGAGTTCGACACACCTTGGGAAGGCATAGGAGAGGCCAAACATGAGCTTGCCACTTGGACGGTCCTCGCAAAACCTGGCTCGCCTCACATGCTGACTGCGATCGATGGCCTGTTGAAAGGAGTGCAGGGTGTTGCAAGAGATAACGGTGTCGACATAGCCGGGATCACAGCCACACCGCCTATGATGGGAGACATCGTCACCTTCTGTGGGCCCAGGAGGATGACGAGGAGCATCTTCCAGAGCCTGCGGCGGGAGATGAACATGTCTGATGACGACTTTCGAGCTGTAGAGGAAGGTTCATGGTTTCTTCTCGAGCCCAAGCTTGTGGGTGACGTTCTGATCTTACCAGGCTACGCATTCTCTCGGCCGATGAATTTCTACGATGAGGCGTTCACCGACTCCTTGCCTCCTACACTGGTCGATCACCATTACGCAGGGACTTGGAAAAACGAACAAGGTGGTGAACCCCCTTTTTAATCGCGGGTGGCTGGATCAATGCTTGTTTTTTGGTTCAAAACTGGCTGCCTTTACATGAGCAGAGCGATAACATATTACATTGCATGCCAAGGAGTTTGGTTATGATAAGGTGTTGTCTAGACATTATATACCACTGTATGCGGGCGCATTGTATGTCTTCGGACATATGTAGAGTAGAAGCGAAACTAGAGAGACATTATAAATCTATTGTACATACTAGCACTTAAGTAGCACTTGAGAACTAAGTAAGCAAATTAAGTACTATTATTCCACTCTACTTACTACCTATAATCTAACAGAAGCCTTGTATTACCCACAACGCATCCACCGAGCATCTCCACCTACTTTGTTGTCGAGATGATCTCTCCAGTCTAGATAACGACCACAGTCACTTGCATCCCGGCCAGCAGGTTTCACAGCCGTGACACCTCTCCAAATCAACAATTACTAACCTCGTAAACGATCAAGGAACTACTCCTCATCCGCCACAATTTATACAGCATTCTCTAGCTACATCTAGACGTTAAAGAAGGTCTGGAATATACTGGTATTAATAAAGGTTAGGTTGGTAAAAGTATTATAATTGAAGTTACCTTAGGAGCTGATAAGAACGGTTGTAGGGAAGTCGGCGTTTGTCTTGATACCCACCGCCTTGCCTGCGGTGTAGTAGATGTATCACCAGGCATGTCTCAGAGGAAAGTGCCTGGGAACACCAAGTCATTAGCGGGCAAGCCATGATCCTGCTCTGGATCAATCTAGAAACACATCTGAAGCCGGCTGATGGTGGCGACTAAAACGAGTATCTTTGGAGTGGAGATGACTTGAGACGTACTCCCCGCTGAGTTCCTTGACTAAGGGAAAATTGCCTTCGTAGTGTTCTCGAAATTGCTTGGGGTTTGTGCCGGGCCTGCGGTAAGCGAAGATCAGGATGGAATAAGCCATCGTCTTAAGGTGGCCCTGCAAGAAGGGTATGGGAGCTGCGGTGCAGGGAGTGAGGGTGCTGTTGTGTTGATTCTCCACAGTACTTGGCCAAACGAAGAAAGGGAAGACCTCGGTATCTCAAGTGCTTATTCACATATGTTCAGTCGGGAGCGCTGAGCTCTCATGAAAGAGGGCTTGAAGGCGAAGTCTCGGCACCGTCACACCCGGGCGCCTTTGCGATCTCGGTTACATTTGCAGGCACGCGGTGTGACTATTCACTCAGCTATGGTCTGAGGAGTGCCCTACTTCTCTGTACAATACCATGGCACGGAAGAATGTAATGTGAGTCATAAAAGCGGAGAGAATACCGTCTGGTTTTGACGAGGCCAAGGTCACATACTCCGTAGAAGCTGTTTCTCCAACAGAGGCGCGGATGAGGGGCTGGATCGTTGGCTAAAGTACGTACTACCGTAGTAGTTTAAGATGTTATCGATAAGACCCAACTGGCCAATCCATGCACAAAAATCATGTTGCACCAAGCAGCCCGTCGCAAGCTCGGGTCACTGTTCGCTACCCGGGTACCTGGGTACCCAGGTGGGCTTAATTAGTCACACGATAAAAAAAGCTTGACGCCATCGCTACATTTCCCCCCCTCCAACATCTCCCTCCTCCGTCATCAATTAACCCAGTGGACGTGCAGACCAGATGAAGACACCATGTCGACATTTGGCCACTACTTTCGGGTGACGACGTGAGTCCTTCCCCCCCCCACCAAACTGCTGGGAACGCAGGACAACGACAACAGCCTACTGACCTCCATCGTCACAGCGCCGGCGAGTCCCATGGCAAGACCGTCTCCTGCATCATCGAGAACTGCCCGCCGGGGCTGGCCCTCACTGAGGCCGATATCCAGCCGCAGCTCAACCGCCGGCGCCCGGGCCAGTCGGCCATCACCACCCCGCGCAACGAGAAGGACCGCGTGACAATAGGATCTGGATGCGAGTTTGGGCGCACGTGTGACAACCCTGCAGCATGCCATGAATGTGTGCCATGATCGATGCTAATACCTTGGGCACGCAGATTGGGCACTCCTATACTCCTGACCGTGCCGAACGAGGACCAGCGCCCTCACGACTATGGCTCCAAGACCATCGACCTTTACCCCCGCCCCTCCCACGCCGACTGGACTTACCTTGAGAAGTATGGTACCAAGGCCTCCTCTGGCGGCGGCCGGAGCAGCGCCCGCGAGACAATCGCCCGCGTCGCCGCCGGCGCTGTAGCCGACAAGTGGCTGCGCGAGGCCTACGGCGTCGAGATCGTTGCGTTTGTCTCCTCGGTTGGCAACATCAAGCTCTTTGAGGACAGGCCTACGACCGATGGCGACGATATCGACTCCCTAAGTGGCAACCCCAAGTTCCTCGAGCTTGTCGACTCCCTGACCCGCGAGAAGGTGGACGAGTTTCTTCCCGTGCGCTGCCCTGATGATGCCATTTCGAGGCGCATGGAGGACAAGATCGCCGAGCTTCGCGACCAGCACGACTCCACTGGTGGTACCGTGACCTGTATCATTCGCGGCTGCCCCTCCGGCCTTGGCGAGCCCTGTTTTGATAAGCTCGAGGCTCTCCTTGCCCACGCCATCATGTCTATTCCTGCTACCAAGGGCTTTGAGATTGGCTCTGGCTTCCGTGGCGCCGAGATGCGCGGATCCCGCCACAACGACGCCTTCGTGTCTACCGCCCTCGCCGACGATGCGACCCCGAGCGCTGGCGTTGGCATCCCTCCCTCCCGCCTGCAGACCAAGACGAACCACTCCGGTGGTATCCAGGGCGGCATCTCAAACGGCATGCCCATCTTCTTCCGGGTCGCCTTCAAGCCACCCGCTACCATCTCCCAGGACCAGACCACTGCTCGCTACGACGCTTCCGGCGAGGGCGTCCTGGCCGCCAAGGGCCGTCACGATCCTAACGTTGCTCCTCGTGCGGTTCCTATCGTCGAGGCCATGGCCGCCCTGACCATTGCCGATGCCCTCATGGCCCAGCACGCGAGGCAGATGGGCATGAAGATCGCCGCAGCTGGCCGGTAGTACATTTCGGCCACGTAAGGAACAATCGAGTGGCGGCCTCGGGAAGCGTAGGCGCTCACACTAGGAAGACGCGAGGGGTATTTTGTCAGCCACGACGAGAGGACCCGGCTGGCGGGCAAGACAAAACGGACAGTAGCAGATGGTGAATGATCAGGCGTCGGCATCCGTCTTGAAGGGAGCACGAATGGTCGTATGCATTATCGCCAAGGTATTATCTCTGGCTGGCACTAAAAAAAAATAACCGCCATATTTAGAGGCAAGGTCTTCCGCGATATAAAGGAGACCTGTAGACTAGCTTCGTGGAAAACCTCAATCAAATAGATTCCGCAAAAGAATCAGCACTTCTCTAGACTTGATCTCGTTAATATCATTTCGCGTGATAAAGCGAGACATCTTGGCATGCCCAGGCGGTTTTGTAATTCTATTCGTTGTCGCTCTCAATCCGCCCACTCACTTTGGCGACCTCGGGACCTTAAGCGCCAGTTTGATGGAAGTGAGGAAGACACAAGGTGCTATTGAATGCCTCGTCGAAAGCCATTGTGCGTGAATGGTGATCTCCTTTATGGTTGGTCCGGGGTCTCTCAAGACAGTCGCAAGCAGAGCTGAGAATTCGAGCCACAGCCCCAACCGGTTCCCGAGCGGTGCAACTCGCACAATGAACTCCACGTCTGCAACGAGGTTGGCAAAAGACCAAGAACACTCTCTGCGTCCACTCAATCTTAATCGGGTCAGAGTGGGCTTTCGTATGCATCAACAGAATGCCTGTTGAGCGGCCCATGAGTCCACGGGCCTTGCAGGTTGACTTCAAATGTTATCTTGGGCGTGTTGAGATGCCAGTCAAGGAGCGAGAAAGGTAATTAGCATGATTTTTGCCTTAAGTGTGTTCCCAAATCAAATAAAGGAAACTAGAGCCTGTGTACAGTGATAGAGAAGTATGGGCCAGGGTGGGGTCTCTGAGTCCTTCCCTCCTTCCCTCCCGGACGTCTTCGTGGTCCGCCCGCCCAGGTGGTACCTCCACGCTTCGCCTCCGCTCTCCCAATACCTTCCCCACGCAGCCCTCCCCTTATCAACTCCGTTTTCTTTCCATTTCCCAATAATGTCGAAAGCCCGGGTGGCCGAGTGGTCATGGCGTCGGTTTATTAGGCCGGTGAGGGTCGTTCTAGGGCACCGATCCTCGAAAGTAATCCCGTCAATCATGTATGCCCAAACGAGTACTGTGATAGAGAGGTTCCACTAAACATCTAATCCCGGGGTCAGGAGCGGGTTCAATTCTCGCCCCGGCGCAACCCACATTTTTTGGTTTTGTCTTTCATTTTCATTTGAAACTTGGTACCTGTTCCGTAGAATGACTTCGTTCTCGAACAAGTAGGGTGAGTGGCGATCATTGGTCGATGATTCAAAGGAAGTGCTGGCCTACACAAGGGTTGGAAAGTCCATGTCTACCGTTGATGCTTTCTTTTCGGAAACGAGGCTGACATTGTCGAGAGCAAGCTTCTTGGCGCCAATATAACGACCGTCCCATCTTAAGACAAGATCAACCGTAGCTTTATCGTCGAAGCATGCGTAGCCGACGTTCCCCTTCCTGGCCGATTCTTGGGCACCCCGATGCTTTCTCTCGCAAACCGCTACGGCTAGCGGTATGGCGACGTTCCTCTCGAGAAATTTGAAGAGCCTCTCTGCAAACTTGAGCTCTTCGGGCAGGGAGGTGACTTCCCCAGTTTCTTGCGGCTTGGTCATTATACGAACCATGAAGGGGAACGTGGATGAAGGAGGTTTCTGGGACCAGATTCTACGGCGCTCTCGCTCCAGCATTCTGAAGGGGAGAACCTCCATCTGACACCCTGGCGGTTTCGACCAAAGCTGGATTAGGACGGCCAGCACCCGCGCTGCATCCATGCCCGGCGAGTGGTGCTGTCTCCACGTTCCCTGGACGTAGCGTCTGTCAAACCCCATCGATAGCATGGTGTCCCGTAAGGAGGGTCTCTTTGATCCTGCAACCATGGTTCTTAATACAACCTCGCTGACATCAACCCAGCGAGAGAAGCAACGAGCAAGCCTCGGGAATAAGGTGGCCATGGCGTGAAATTCGCCTTGGCAGCCCCAAGTCACCAGGATCGCTTCGCCGGCTTGCCCCAAAGTCTTCCCCAGCCTCGCGCTCAGCCATTCCAATAGATGTGTTTCTATGCAGTCTTTTGCAATCTGACGAACTTCACCAAAAGGAAACCTCTCAAACCCAGCCTTTTTCCGACGACTTGCGCAGCCTAACACATATGCATCGATCTCGTGCCTCCTCATGATGTCAGAAAGATCCACAGAGCCTTCAGTATGCAGAGAAGCATCAGTCAGGAGCTTTGTGTCTGGCCTGGCACAAGCTGCTATGCCGATACTGTTAACGCCGTTTGATACACCTTCTTGGCCCTCCACATCGAGACCGACGAGATACACATTTTGGGACAGGACTGTGTCTCGAAGCTCAGCCAATGTGCCAATTCTGCCATCTTGAAAGAGGCACCTGACCGGTAGGACGTCCGCGGTATTGACCTGAAGAAACTTGGGTATACGACGGTGGCCCATTTTGGATATCCTTAGTTTGCCTTTGTTAAGGGGTGAACCTGAGTACTTTTGCCTTAGCCTGGATTTAGAAATTAGAGAAAGAAACAGTCGCATTTGCATGCATAAATGTGGAAATGGGGGACATTATTAAGTTAGGTCTTTGAGAGTCATCTTGGCGTGTACTCTCTGGTTGACTAGTTGACCCTAGTGACACGTGGGCAGGCATAGAAACCTCCTACTCTAACGCGGTCTTGAGACTAATGCAGCGGTAGTAGTAGCGGTCCTACCGGAGACCATCATTAGAAGGCTGCCAACCGCTTTTTCGAACTGTCTCCCAAGTACCGGTATTGTTGGGCTCAAACTTAAGATGCGAGTAATTTTAAGGTATAAGCCTCTATTGAAAGACGTGTTTAGTCTATCCGTACTCCAATCAGGACTAGGACTTAGGGTGACCTGCATAGCACTGCCTCATTGTGAACCGATTAGTTAAGCGGCTGTGCACCAGCTGCAGCAGCACTGCCTCAATCAATGAGTGAGGGTTCAAATAAGAACATCTACGTTTTGATTTCGTACAATCACTTTGATATCCTTTCCTCTATTGTATTTCATCGGTCTATCAGTTCGAAGGTTGAACCTTCATTGCCAAAGTACTGCCAAACATCACACCGGGCATCACTGGCACTGGCGATAAGCAGCTAGCCCCTGTGGAGCCAGCTTCACATTTGAGACTCGCGTATTACCGAGGCAGACCTCATGTGCGCTAGGTGAACACCATGGCTACCTTTACTTACTCCTCTCTTGACACTACACACCCATCTATTCGCCTCGTCCGCCTCCTCTCCGGGCATGGCCCTATCCAATGCGAATTGTTCACCTCATTCCTCCCACCTGCCTGCTCAGAAGCACACCTGACCACGACTGTCCCATACGAAGCATTATCTTATACGTGGGGTGGCAGCGAGAAGACAGATACAATCATCGCCAATGGGTCACTGTTAGGCGTGACTAGAAACCTGTATCTCGCTCTCAGTTACCTGCGCCGCGAGGACACCGATCGAATCTTGTGGATAGACGCTATATGCATTGACCAGGACAATGCAAGAGAGCGAAACCACCAAGTCAGGCAGATGGCCAGGATTTATGAAAGTGCCGATGCGGTGATCTTGTGGCTGGGACAGGCAACGTACGCAACAAATGTGGCACTAGACTCATTGAGGCATTTGGAAATTGAAAGCAAGAAGGTCGCTTGTAGGGGATGGAGGAAGAGCGATGCACGGTGGCACACGCTCTGGTCAAAAACGCAGAGGAAGTTGGCACGACGATATCCAGACCTCGTGTCAAGGCAAAGAGAAGGGATACAAGACCTGTTCAACAGGCCTTGGTTTGAGAGGATGTGGATCATTCAAGAAGTGGCTTACTCGCGAAAGGCACTTGTTTGTTGTGGGAACAAATCTGTGTCGGCCAGGGTGTTCGCTCTGTCCCCCTACCTGTTCGCCGTCAAGCCATCAGACCAAGCCCAGGCTATCCTAGACATCATGCCTGGGCGTTCCAGATACGACTCGTGGTGGGCTCATGGCCACGACCTTTACACCCTTCTTCGAAAATTTCGCTTCAGCAAGGTCAGCGACCCAAGGGACATGATATATGCTCTGGTCAGCATTGCTTCTGACCCTGGGCTGCAGGAGACCCTGATACCTGATTACGAGAAGACCGAACGGGAAGTCATTCGAGAAACAGTCTTGTTTCTTTGTCACGTTGACATTGAGCTTATTCCCGAGGTGTTGGACGGATACTGGAATGCCATGGTAGATGACCAGAGTATGATGGGTTTTCTCAAGAGCATTGATTCACTGCATGCAGCAGCAATGGATCAACATCTGCGCAATCACCGTGGCGACTTTACTAAATCCTTCTACACATCGAAGGGCCATAATGTTCGCATTACGAACGAGATGATAAATATCGCAGACAAGCAGAGGAAGACAGGCGACACCGACTTCGAAACACCAGTAGGGCTGATCATCAAGAATCATGCAAATCTCGCAATATTGGAAAATGCATTGGAGAATTGGCACACCGTTCCATGGATAAGGTTTTTACTCAAAAGCCTGCCACCTGAGGTGAGGATCACAGAAAGCACCATGGAGCTGGCCATGAAGAACGCGTACTGTCCACGGGTGCTGGACTTGTTGTTTGAAGAACGGGGAAGTGAGGTACCGATCACAGACCGAATCCTATATTTTGCGGCTGGGTCAATGCAGGTCAAGGAGATATTCGAGGTTCTGCTGCAAGCTAGAGGTGCCCAGGTTCGTTTGACACCAACTTTGAAAAGGATGCTAGAGGAAAATGGGTCACCGAAGCATAAGGCAACACTTGAATTACTTGAAAGCCTTGAGACTGCATGGTTGGTCAACCGCCACCCACAGGAGGTTTCTAACGAAACCCTAGGGAAGGTGGATACAGAGCGGCTGTTGGATGAATTCAGAGCCGGATGGGATGCTTTTGGAATGTATCGTTTTTCTTCTATTGATACCTAGATAGCACATACTCTCCAGTATAAAGTCTTTCATAAGGTAGTAGGATATTTATAAACTTTTTAGAAGCTAAGAGGTGGGTATAAATAACCTTGCCTTAACCTCGTCGTAGTTCCCCTCTTCAAACTGAGCCCCGACTCCAATCAGGTCATTCTTCATATATTCTTCTTTCTCACTCTGAAGGGCCATCCTGTCGTGGATGCTCGCTTTGTGGACGGCATTTTTCTCGAAAACTGACAACTCCCGGTGAAGGCCATTGCCTTGAAAGTCCGGGAGCGGCCGGCTGAGGTTATGCTCGACAAATTTGTGAAGACTGAAAACAAACTCTTCAACAACAAGAGAGGTCAAGGCTGAAATAGGGCGAGTCGGGCAATAAAACAAAATCATGTTAAAGCATTCTTGGATAATTCCCTCAAGACATGAGCTTTTGAAATTAGGCTTCAAGGTGTGAAACGGCTGTCCAAAGGCAAGGATTATTCACATCTACCTATGTAGTTACACCGGCTTGAAGCATACACAGGGCATCTAGGAGGTGTCTTCCCTCTCTCATGCCCAATTAATGCGGCTCAAGTCAGCCTCGCTCCAGTAACCGCGTCCACCGTCTTCATAAACGGCAGCCCTCTCCCGCCACGAGCGTTCCATCTGGCCTCTACCTTTCTCGACCTCATCATGATCGGCAACAGCTTGGCGGCGGGCGGCACGAACACGGCTGCGCACTTCGCCCCTGTCAAACGTCCTAGGAACATCCCACATCACGTATCCGTAATGTCTAAGAAGGGAGTTCTCACCTTGAAAGACGGACTCTTGTACGAAGGAATGTTTGTGCACATACCACCATATGTCGAACGGACCAGAATCAAGGTCATCAGGGCCGTCAGTATCTCTGGCTCTGAGTTCAGACTCGATCTCCTGTCTAGTCCATCTACGGTCTCCTAGAAGGTACTTCCCCGGTGGGCAACACCTGCAGACATCTTGAGGAGGAGCCCTGTGGAGGTGGGCAGCTAAGAAAGAAGAAGTGTGCGGCAGGCCTTTGGACTTAAGGAGCTGCAATCGCTGTTCGTAGCCCTCAGCACGGTCGACCCGGAAGAGGAAATGTAATCCGTACGAAAGCTGGCCCAGTCCACGAGGTGTCAGTGACAAGGTGCTGACTACACAAGAGCTTGTGACCGGGCGTGACTTACGTAGGCCTGCTTATGCATGTTTTCCTTTCCTCGGGAGAGCCAGTCCACCGACTTGGCGCCCCATTCCACGTCATGAGCCGCAATCTCGTCAAATACTCATGGAGTGTTAGCGTGATGATATGTGTTGTTCGCATGGCTTAAGGTACAAACCTCTTGATAGTACTCGTTCCAGGTAGTCATGCATACAGGCAAGTTGCTCATTCACCCAGGGCGAGAAGGCACGGAAGTGGGTGTACTCTTGGCATCCCTTGCGGACGGAGCTCCACCCCTGGCTGAGGTCTCCGCCCGGCTCGCCATTATCATCGTCACGGAACCCCACGTTGCAGTATATCTCGAAGCGGTAGAGGGCCCTGCATGCGCGGAAGATCTCGTCCGCTGAGGCCTCGGCGGACCGGGAACGAGCAGGACCGAACACCTCCGGCGCGAGCGGCAAGGTGTCGGCGAGAAACCGGCGGGAGAAGTGCTGGACGACAGAGTGCGTGCTGCTTAGCGCAGCGGCGAGCGCGGGAGCGGCGGCGTTGTTCTCGATCCTGTACTTGAGAAACCGCTGATGGAAAGTAAGACCGCGCCTGTCGCGGCGGCCAAGCGTTTCAACTAGAAGTTGGTCCAGGGCTTCTTTATCGTCGCGATCAATGTGGCGCGCGTCGTGGGCGACGACTGCATATCGCATGAGGCCGGGTGGAATCTGATTTCGGAGGATGGACTTAAGGACGGTATTGGTGTCGTCCCGATACGCTGCGTACAGCAGCCGATGGCTCCTGATAGCCGATCCCAGCGACTGCATGTCGTCGAGCTCTGAGAGGATCAGAGTTAAGAGATGCAAAGGCATCTGGAGGAACGGATGCTCCATGGCGTCGGACGATGGCGAGCACGACATGGCTTGTTCAAAGCTGAGTTGAGTCTGTACAGTGTACCTGGTAGAGAGGGAGTAAGAGTGCAAGGCAGGTTGGTTGTTGGAGGGGAGGTGAGGTGAAAGCAACATGATGACTCAGCAGGCAAACCAGGTACTGTACTTCCAAGCTTGCCGAGACCCGGCGGATTCTGCCTGGTGGATTCTGCCCGACGGATTCGTGGCCCCATCAAGCGGCCTAGATTGTCGCGTCACGGAGTGCTGACGGTCGGTTTCAGTCTCGACCAAGGGGTCTTGTGAGGCCCCCGATGGCCGGGCAAACAAGAGAATTAACCATAAGCCTAGCCACGTTACATCATATTGAACAAACACCAGGTCGATGAAGTAGCCCACAGGATTTATGCATCTGGTACGTTCACTGCATGAGAAGGGATTAGATATGTAAGATCAGTGGAACACCTGGTCGCTTGAGTGAGCCGCAGGATTGATTGGTACTGGTATGTTCCCTGGCTGAGAAGGAATGAGGTACAGCACCGCTCGTGTTACGAAAGCCCGTCAACAGGTAAATTCCATGAAGCCAGGTGAGTACCTTCCCCGTTCACGTGTTCCATGTACCTAGGTAGTCAAATGCTTCAGAAATTTGCCGATCAAGTAGGAGCCGGAGGTCATCACCACTTTTCAGACCCAACCGGACCAAGAACCTTACATAATACGGGACAAGATGTCCGCCCTTGAGGTTGTGCTCAGGTCTATCGGCCCTAGTTGTGACATCTGGGAGGTCGGCCTGGCTGGATGGAGTGGTCCATTGTTTGAGGCTGTTGTCCTTTTGACAAATGCGTGTCCTAGAACGACCTGGCACGCGTAATGCCGGCTTCCAACGATATTGAGCCTATGGTATCCCCAAATGAGATATAAAAAGTAGGTCAAGTCAGGCTCCTCTCTATTCTGCTCTCATCTCGTTATTCCATCTTCACACACCACAAAAACTCGAGGAAGCTAGTCTTCTGTATAACCTTCTCTCACCCCACCTATCCTATAAAACAATCACTCAAAGAAGCTGGTCTTCTGTACATTCTACTCTTAAGGTACCTTTCCATAGCTTTAGGCTGTAGAAAGTTCTTCTTTGCGTCTCGTCTCTTTATACAACAGGAACAAGTACGGTCACTACAGTATCTTCGTTTTCCCCTCTTTTTATTTATCATACAAGTCTCAGCCTCCTCTTTCTCAGCCTCCACATCAACTTCCTCATTTCCTGACAATGTCTTCTGGACGAGGTCGCGAGACATCTTATCCCCCACGGTCCGGCGAGAGCCGCTCCAGCGGGTCTTCCGCCAGATCGAGGAGCCGGCTCAGGACATCAGATAGTAGCGACAGGCATGCCGGCCCATCTTCCTCCGGCACACTTGCTCTGCCTACACGATCACGCCGGCCATCCCATAGCAGCGGCGGCGAGCAAATGTAAGTAGCTTTCTTTGACTTTTCGGACCCCATCTTTCATGTTTTGAAATCAGAGCGCAACACTTTAAGCTCCGTAGTAGGTGACTAAAACGTGTCAGGATGTTCCCATACTCCTCATCCAGTGAGGATAGTGATAGTCGCAGGCGGCCGCAACCGTCAGGAAGAGGTTCAGACCGACCTTCGGCTTCAAGCTCTTCGAGAGTGTCCTCGAGCAGTGGCAGCTGGGAGCCCACACGCCCTGCCGCAGGTGCCCCGTCTTCGAGATTTTTCGGTGGCGGTGACAGCTCTTCGTCAAGCTCCTCGTCCAGGTCCTCGAGACGTGTTCCTGTGAGCGCTGGAGACTCTGGCGGCAGCGGAAGCGATATATTCGGAAGTCGGTCCGGAAGTGCCAGTGGGTCGGCCGCAATAGACATTCCGGGCAGAACCGGAGCATTAGACAGAAGGCCGGTGGTCAGGGACCCTTCGCAATATCCCGCCTCGGGATATACTGACCAATACAAAGATGGTGCCTGGGACAGCTGGAAGTCCGATGCGTCCCTGAGACGAGAGCACGACAGATATAAAAGCCTAGACAACAGGGCTACGAGCTTGGATCGACGGTACAACGATGATCTTGACAGAGCACCCCCGCCCCGTGGCGTTCCAGGACTTGGGGCAAGTCACAGTTCCATGAATACGGACCTGACTGGATCACAACGTTAGTCTATGATACCCTAGCCCTCCATTACTTATAGCGTTTGCTGACTGTTTCCACCCTTGCTTTAGATCTTAGGTACGGTGACCGAGCTTTGGAGACCTCACGAGCATATGGAGCGTAAGTACTCTGACCTCTCGATCTCATATCTCTCTATTTCCCAATTCTTTATCTCTTACCTCTAGTCTCCTTCCTCTTACCTTCTTAATATCCGCCATAAAGTATCCGATAAGAAGCTAATAATAAATAATATAGTGCGGCGGACGCCCGACATGCCAATGTCCAGGACCATGACAAGAACTACTTTAAAAAGGGCATTGTAACTCAATACGACACTACTTATGGACATGAAGAGAGACACAGAAGACTTGACGGTCAATCTAGCAGGTTTGCTGATAGAGCCGACGACCACTATAGTCGTGCGTCTAGATTGGGTCATGACGCACCCAACACTGGCGTTGGGAGGCGCGAGTATGACGAACGTTTGGCAGAGCGAGCTACAAGGCGCCCAAGAACACCGCCAGGACGTGAGCGAAACGCTGCGACTTACGAAGACCGGCTCCGTCGCGACGGCCACCTCACTGATGACGATTTGACATTTAGGCGCAGATAAAGACATAAAGGTTAATAGACGGATCGATTAGGATAATATTAGATATAGACTGTACGAGCGACCAAGAGCACCCAATGAGATGGCCCAGCCAGCTTGTCTCCAGTATTTCCAACTCCTGTGACACTCCCAGCCTCCTCGCATCTTCTCTCACCGCTGATACAACCACCTGCTTAAGAGAGGACGCCGCGAAATTAAGGATGAACCATTCCAGATCAACATTCCAATCAGTATGACGCAGCCGCTAGCTAACAGCGCTGCCCGCGAGGCCAGATAAGAGGAAGAGAACAAAGGCCACCACGGATGTCTAGGCGCGCTTACATTCCACAGGAATGTATCCAGCCACAAAACGCCCAAGCTTTTCGTATAACCTAACCGCAAGACGGTGTTAGAATCGTGACTAGAAGATCTAAAGGGCACACATTAAAATAAAGCTACTAAAAAAGGCTATCTAATCCTTAAACTTACTTTAATTAAAAAGTATAATAATAATAATATTAATTATATTTAATAGAATTAAATTCTTTTAAATTTTAATTATTATTATATAAAATTAAATAATAAACTTTTAAATAAATATATTATAAATATAAATAAATAAAATTATTTTAATAATATTTAAAAATTTAAAATAAAAGTATTTTATAAAAATAATAAATAAAATAAAAATATAATAATAATAATAAAATATATATTAAATATATTTTTAATTTTATTATTAAATTAAAAATAATTAAATAAAATTTAATAAAAATAAAATATAATTTATTTTTTAAAAATTAATTTAATTAAATTTATTATATAAAATATTTTATAATAATTTTATAATTTATATTTATAATATTATTTATTAATATTTATTATTAATTTATATTATTATATTAAATTATATTTAATTAATTTATTAAAATTAAAATTATTATAAATTATAAAAGTTTATATTAAATATTAATAAATATAATTATTTAAAAATATTAAATTTATTATATAATTTAAATTTTTAAATTAATTTAAATTAATAAAAATAAAATTATTATTAATTTTAAATATATATATAAATTTTAATTTTATTTAAATAAATATTTATTTATTAATTTTATAAAATAAATTAATTATTAATAATTAAATATATTATTATTATATATATATTTTTATTTTAACTATTATATTTTAATAGACTTAACCTATATTTATTACTAAGCCCTATATAACTTAATTAGTATTAATAGTAGTAAGGGTATTATATTTATTAAAACTTTAACTTTATATTAAATAACCTTAATATTAATTAATTAGAATATAAAGAATATTATTTTAAAGCCCTTTTTTAAAGTTATTAATTATATTAGTTTATATCTTAAATAGATTAAAATTAGGGTAGTTATAAATACTAATAGTTAGGGGCTTATATAGAGGTATAAGTGAGGTAAGCTATGAGGGAGCTTTAGGGGGGCCCGTGCACTAAGGCCTTAACATTTTATAAAAAAATATAAGGGTTAGAGTAAAAAATATATTTAAATATTAGATTTTTAAAGGGTTATAATAATAAAATTTTTATAATTATAAATATTTTTATTAATTAATTATATTTAAAAAAAGTCTTTTATTTTTTTTTAAATTTCTTTTTTATTATATTTATTTTTTTTATTTTATTTATTTTATTTATTTTATTTATTTTATTTATTTTATTTATTTTATTTATTTTATTTATTTTATTTATTTTATTTATTTTATTTATTTTATTTATTTTATTTATTTTATTTATTTTATTTATTTTATTTATTTTATTATTTTATTTATTTTATTATTTTATTTATTTTATTTATTTTTATTTATTTTATTGTTTTATTTATTTTGTTTATTTTATTTTTTTTATTTATTTTATTTATTTTAATTTTTTTTATTTTTTATTTATTTTTTTTATTTTATTTTTATTTTATTTATTTTTTATTTATTTATTTATTTATTTATTTAATTATTATTTTATTTATTTTTTATTTATTTTTTATTTTATTTATTTAATTTATTTTATTTATTTTATTTATTTTATTTATTTTATTTATTTTATTTATTTTGTTATTTTATTTATTTTATTTTATTTATTTTATTTATTTTATTTATTTTATTTATTTATTTATTTTATTTATTTTATTTATTTTATTTATTTTATTTATTTTATTTATTTTATTTATTTTATTTATTTTATTTATTTTATTTATTTTATTTATTTTATTTATTTTATTTATTTTATTTATTTTATTTATTTTATTTATTTTATTTATTTTAAATTTA